AACAAAGACAAATACAATAACTTTTCTCGACTGTCGTCGTATCTATTATATATCTAATGATATACATACGCTTTGGTCTAATATAAACTAGGTATGATAAATCGAAGCTGACAAGAGCATCTCGCGATGAATGCGAGAAAGCCTAGGTTAATGTTACTTATCATTAGATTGACTCGAAAGAAAGAGAAAGAAAGATACGCTCACTGTCCACGTTTATCATCAAAAAAATATATTGTGTATGGGCGATAGGCGTGGACCATTGCCCATTAATGGGTAACGTAAGGAAAAAGTTTCTCACCTTCTATTGAACACGCATCTATCACGGTCCACTGGTTAGTTGTTTGAATGATGCATTGCGTCCACATATATTTATATCGGTTCATTTTTGCGTGTGCGAAATATCATAAAGCAAGAAGCACGTCGTAAAAGTTATTACACGCGTCATCTTCTCAGTTCAAACAACTTCCACACAATTTGGTAGAACTTCTCATATGGCATTGCTGGAAGATCCCACTATTCAACGTATTCTCGATGAAGTGAATAAAGCCGCAACGGGCGGTATCTTCGGTATGGCTGGAAACTATATTCCTGAACCATCGAAATCCGCAGCACAAATGTCAGGCATCAAAGCTGATTTCTTCACCCAACAACAACAACAGCAACAGCAGCAACAACAACAACAACAACAACATCAAGTCCCAATCTTCTACCCAACATCGGACATGTTCAATCTCCATGGTCTGCCAAGTTTCGATGGAAATATCGACATGAACTCAATGGAATCGATTGTACCGATCGCGACTCCAAATAATTTCGAACTTTATAATTCAGATTTATACGACACGATGGCTCACAGTATGCTTTCACCGTATGAAAATTATAAAAATGGCCTATTGAATATCAATAATAACAATACAAATACTGGCATGCGTACAGCATCAAGTGTCTCGTCAGTGAACAATGATTTGCTTATAGAACATCATAGACATCAAGAATATCCAACGATTCCACCGAAAATTACAGCAGCTATTCCAAATCTTGGTTTAAACTTACGAACAACGCCACCGGTCGATACGATGCCAGTCAATGCAAGTGAAGTCGGAGACGAAGTTATTCCAAATGAGACAACAGACACAGCAACAATGGAATTAATGGCTGATAAAGATGATAATGTGTCAATTCCACCAAATAATAACGAAGAAATGGAATCACCACATATCTGTAAATAGCACGGCAATCACTTTCTAGACGAACTCTTATTCTTGTTTGATTTTTCTTTTCTTAGCAACAGCTGGCCGAATTTTCTACGATCCAAATCCTCAAATCATTCAACGTAAAGGTTCAAATTCAGTTACATACAAACAAAACATAATCGTTCGCTTCCTACAACCACCACCAATTCCAAATGCTGGTCCACTCATCATCAAAGAAGTAAGTTTTCCTTAGTTTTCTCTTCAGTCGATTCATTCGCTTCTTTATTCAGGTCAGCGGTCCTCAACAACCACCACTACCACCACTTGTGATTAAACGTAATAAAACAAGACTTTTGCAACTCATCTTGTAGTTTCTATCTGCTTGCTTTTTAAAAGAACGTCCACCACCACCAAAAACCCCGCCACCAATTATCATTCGTGAAAAACCACCTCCACTTCCTTCAACACTCTCAACCAAAGTTATTACTCGGTAAATTGAACACATAAATACTTAGCATTCGTTCACAATGGGTCATCCTTTCCCTTCTAGTCATTTACCACCTGAACCAGCTCCGCCACGTGCTGTTATTATTGAACGCTTACCACCTTTACCTCCGAAGCCACGCGACATCATCATCGAACGTTGGTTACCATATGAAATAGTCAATCAAAAACGCAAAGTTATTGTCGAACGTGTACGAAAAACTTCCAAAGAATATGTTCAGCCGAAAAACGTGATCATTACGTATGTTTTCACATTGTGATTTGTCAGCGATGCCTAATCGATTGTCTTTAGATACGAACCAGTTCATGCTAAAATCGAACGACACTTTCAAAAACAAAATGTTGTCCGAGAAGATCCACAATCATATGCCAGTCGTTTTGGTGAACAACTATGCGATGCCAATTCAGTAGTTAAACAAGCTCGTGCTGCCGGCGTACTCGAAGATCTAGTAAATGAACGGAATAAAATCGAATAGCTCGTATTCATTGTATATTTCATAGGATCCACCTGTATCATTCTTGAAATCATCAACGAATAGTGTTGCAACAGGCACAACGGACTATGAAACTATAATGAAGAAAGCAGACGAACAAGAAGAAGATCCACTCGATGAAAACAACACACAACAAGAACACCAGGAAGTGGTTTCGACTGCGATTGATGTCGGTCAAGAAGATGACGTATTAGTTGAAGAAAATGTTACGCCATTTTATATGAATTCAGGTAAGGATTTGATTGTTGAAGATCGCGACGAAGCTATTTTACGTTTATTTCTAGGTGAAAATCTTCAACAAACTTTCCATCGTTTAGGTTTTGACATTCCAGAGACAATGATGAATGAACATCATTTTTGAGATTGAAATGTCGAATAAAACTTTTGTCTTCGTTTCCCATTACGTTTTGTTGTATTTTTCTATAGTTATCGTTTGATAGAAACGAAAAGTTTTGGATTTTTTTCTTACATATATATAAGTATATATATCTTTAATGTGATCAATAAAAATGAAAACTGAAAAAGATAAAAAACTCGAGCTGGAAAGTGTCCTGCAGAATCCGTACACCGCGCTGTTGGCGTTTTTCTTTACCAACCGTTGTTGTCTACTCTCGGTGCGGAGTCTGATTGTGCGATGACACGGCGGATGGGAGATTGGGCCGAAATGAATCCAGTATTTACTGCTGGTTTGACGACAGGTCTCTGAAATGGTTGGCTGTTGAATGACGAAGAAGCGCCGGTAAATTGTTGTTGACTACGAGAGAAAGAGAGATGGGGAACTGTGCGCGATATTAGAATGAAGTTTTCATACCTCCATGTTGGTTGTTGAGGAATTTGTTGGAGTTGTTGTTGATTTCTTTGTGCATTGAGGGTGTTTTGTCCGACATTCAATGTAGTCTAAATCAATGGAAAGATTTTTGGGTTTGAAATAAGTCGCTCTGCTTACTGGACGAACGAGAATTTGTTGTGAGGTGATTGGTTGTAAATCACGATTGTAGCTGCTAAATAATTCAAAACAAACGATAAGGAAATATATTGTGAACGAGAAAGAAGCGTTACCTGAGGCCTTTTTGGGTAAAAAGGTTCGATTGCTGGTCTTGGAAATCTCGACGAAGGAATGATTGGTCACGTTGGAATGAAGTCGGTTGTTGCATTTGAACAGTTCTCGGAATAAGCGGTTGACTTTCGAAATCAGTTCGTGGAAGAAGTTTTTGCTGACCAAAGCCTTTGTTAAAAACTTTCTGTTCATTGCTATTTGGTAAAACTAAAGCGCTCGAGTGTCGGTATTCGGATACATCTCGATCTTGGTCGGTGGCTAGAACGGATGATCTCATGCCTGGTCGAGTGCCAATAGATTGCTTATGGAAGTATGAATAACCACCACCGCTACTATCGACAATCTCCGAATCATCTTTTCGTATGGCGCTATTAAAGCAAAATATTGACCTTTTTCAATTACAAGGTCAAACGATCTTACTTAAACGATCTTTGTGTGTTCGGGCCTAGAGAAAACATAGCGGAAAGTCATTAGCGTTAACTTGAGACATTTGCCTTACGTACCAGTAAATGAAACTGACGAGCAATAAGCCAAAATGGTAAACAACACAAGTAACTTAAGAAAATGAATATGCAAGTTTAGAAAATTCCTGGAATAAAGGTCATTGTGTCGTCATACATACGCGATACATGATTTATGTTATCTCTATGTTTACTTTCTTGTTAGTAAATGATAGCATTTCGAAATAAATCGCATTGCTTTTATATCTTTCGATGTCGACGATATGTAAGGGAATGACCTATTCTTTACAAGTACTGCTTTGCGTTCTCTGTGTGCATCTTTTGTTTACCTCGATCGAGTCGAAATGTTATTCGACGATGATAACACACTGAATGCGCGATGGCTTGCATTATGCGATTTCGACTATATACATCGAGGTCTTTGGTAAATGTAACGGTGCAATATGATTGCACACTTTAGCATTTAACAAACATGTGATATATCATTTGTTTTTGAAGTTTTTACTATCATGAAATCCAATCATGCTTTTACTGTCATTTAAATCAAAAGAAATTATCGAAGTACATTCGGTCCATTACGAATATCCGGCGGACACTCTCGAAGGCACAACTCGAGTTGATAAAATCATGTTTTGTCTCAGACAGATTTGATTAGATTTGAACATGACGTCGACACGGAATCAATCGAAGCTGAAGAATGTGTTACTATTTTTATAACATCTGTCGGTGATACTCATAGAAGAAAAAAAAGGATATCCTATGAAGTTTTCACATATGACTTTCGAAATATGTTAATCATCGATGTTTTTCTCGCCTACATGTTATTCTTTCTTCGCTGTGACTTTGTTTATCTAATCGAAAATGGAATTAGCAGAGCAGCTGGATGAGAATAATTGATCTATCGCATTGAAAATGTCTTCAAATTGAAATTTTGTCTCGTCGGTCATACTTGTGTTAGAATTCTTTTTACACCCACAGACAGCTGGAAAACGTCCTCTATTTCTTCATTGGTTCTTGTTTTGTAAAGCGGTTAATAAGATTTCTCTCGAGATCTAATCATTGTCTACTAGCATATGAAAAAAGCCCAACTGATGGATGTGAGATCCTTTTTCCTTTTTCTGTTCAACTCGAATCAAATCAGCAAGACATGAATTCATTTCGACACACGATCAACATTGATAGTTTTCCATTGTCTCTTTGCGTCACTGTTCGACTTTTTTTTTATAGCGAAAATGAAACTGTTTTGTTTGTTTTCGCTGATTTTTCTTCAAAAATAAAAAACAAAAAACGAATCTAGATCAAACGGGATAAAGGAGCAACAGCACACGTACACGCAGCACAAGTGCGGTGGTGTAGTGGATGGAAAACCAAACATATGCAGATATACAAAGTAAAAAGGAGAGAAAACCGGTTGAAACTTATACAGTCGATGAAAATCTACATGGTGAGAAGAGTATTTTGGCAAAAGCTTTGCGAAATTCCAAGTTGAACACAGTATAAATGATCGGATTCAAAAATGAATTGATGTACCCTAACCAAGAGCAGAGAAAGAGAATAAAATCATTAATAAGAAACGTATTGGATTTTTGTGATAATTTAATAATAGTATTAACGATATTATTGAGCACAAAGAATGGTAACCAGCAGACCAAGAAGCAAACTAAATAGAGAAAAGGTCGTAGACTTTATTTTATACGAATGTCAAGCAACGATCACTGGTAGATCGATCGAGGGAGAAGGTATGAAATTTCATTTGGAAGTAAATTTACTTCTATCTAAGCTCCTACAAGAGCATATTTATCAATTTTTCACATGACTGACGAGTAGAAAAGACGCGGAAAGCTTTCATAATCAACGGAAATTGCCATTAGTGGAGAAAAAGGAGAAACAAAGATTTTCAGTGCGAACTTGCTTCTTTCCGTTTTGAATCTTGACTTAATCGAACCTTAACCATGAGTGTCTAAGTACAGTCGAAGCCTCTAGCAGTCATTTGCCTCGTTGATCGCAGAAATGTTTTCAATTGGAATCGAGTTATATTCATATCGTTAACTTACTTAGAACAATAATCAATGTCTGAGTTGCTTTTCGTTCTTTCTTCATTCGTGAATAAGCTTTTCGTTTGGCTACTTTAGTGTTATTTGTCGATGATTTTACGGCTGCAGTCACGGCGGAGCCATCAGCGATAGTTTTGATTTTCAGACGAGTTTTTGCGCGTTTCGACGACGATGACGAATGTCGATGTTGGTTACTATCCGTTTGTGAACTACAGTTCTTACGCATTGAGGTGCTTGCATTCGCTGTCACAAGTTCAATTCGAGTATTGACATCCGTTTTATTGTCGCCGTTTGTCTGTTGATGGAGAATGAACAGTGTGACATCGTCACGTTCTTCATCATCATTCGGATCACTCGATGATACTCCGACTTTCGTAGGAGTGCCTTCGACATCTGTTGTTCGCGCAAGTACGGGAGTCGATAGTTTCAACATGAGACTGTTACGACGTGTTTCCAACGCATATGTCTTTGCTGGGGATACTTCATTGATATCAATCGGTAATGTTAAGGAAGTTTTTTCCGGTGGAAGCGACGGAGGATTGCCAATCGATTGTCGATCGTGATAAAATGTTGTCACTAAATGGTCGGCGTTCGTACGATGTTGAGCGGCAGCGGATTCAATGACCGCTTTCGGCCGCCATTGTTTTCGATTTTTTTTCGCTTGGGCCATGATAACAGCAAAGATTCGGTAATAAATAGCGAAGATAATTATACAAGGAATAAAAAATGATCCAAGAGAGGAAAAAATAAGAAATTTATTATTGAAAAACGCACACTGATCGCTCACACGTGGATAATCGGCAACATCGGACTTGTTTGCACCACTAGAATACATCGATAAACAAAACGTGAAAACGAAAAACAAACTAAGCGAATTATATTACCCAACAATAGGAAGAGCTATTACAAATGAAATAACCCACACGATAACAATCATAATGGAAACACGTTTGGGATTTTTATGTCGAGCGTATTTAAGTGGTTTTGTTACTGCTATGTAACTGAAAATCAAAACCAAAATCAAGAACTTCAGTTTGTCATATATCGTCTTACCGATCGACAGCAATTGCAACCTGAAAAGAAAGGAAAACAAATCGATTTTTCAAGAGATAGAATGAGAAAATCTTCAAAATAATCTTACGAGATTCAATATCGACGCGGTACATGCCATACAATCTGATGCAACCCAAAAGTCACACAGTCGATCAGATAGTTCCCATACTCGATTATACTAAATAGAAATGAACTAATCTCTTATGTCAGACTTGATAGACATGAGACGATATTCTGATGAATAAACCGGCATGTCAACCTTTGTTAATCGATAGGAGAAAGGCAAATCATTTTTTCAATTATGATGATAACATGAATGAGTTCAAAGGAGACAAAGAAGATTTGTCAAATATCCGGAAATTGGTAAAAGAAATTTTTCTTAGAAATTAATAATTCCGTTTGATTCGTGTTGACAGATCATCATCGAGATAATCTCTTCAAGTAAATCAACAAAATCAAACATCGACTAATTTAGGAAGTTTTTTTTCCTTTCTCGGACAAAGATCTGTCTACACATGCCTAACCATATTTGCCTCTTCAAAGAATTCCCGATGACGCCTCATCAGTCACGTAGATCACATAATTTTTTGTTAAAATTCTCTTTATACTCTCTGTTTAATTCATATCTATGACAGCTACGACGTGCACAGGATGCTCATATCCGTTTGTAAGATAATATATGTCTACACACATACGTAGAAAGTGTGTGTGTGTGTGTGTCTGTGTACTGTTTAGAATTACTTGATGAACATGAATTTGATCGCTTTTGTTTTTTCCTCTACACTTACTTCAAGATAGATCGCAAATGGCATTACAACAGCAGCGACAGTTATATCTGATATTGCAAGTGATACAACGAAATAATTTGTGATCGTATGCAGAGACTTCTCTCTGTAGACACTAATAACGACAAGAACATTGCCGAAGATTGTGAATAACGGGAAGAGTATTAATGCAAATGCCCAGTAATTAACAGAGTTAGCTTCGACTGTGTCAGCTTGTGGAGTAATTAGGGAGGATATTTTCGTCTGGATATTGTCAAGAGTTGCACTACTGTGTGAAATTGTATCATAGGCATTCGAATTATAGAGTAAAGACGACGGAATTGGTGCGACGATTAAATTCCAGGAGCCGGTGTCGTTTGATAGTTGTTGCATGTTAGAAAGCAAATAGTAAAGATAAACGCGAATATATATGAATGCGTTTGAGTAGATGTTTTGATAGGAATTGTTGTACTTCTGGCTAATAAGAATGATGAGAATAATAATCTGCGTGATTTCACCTCGATGATGAAGTATATTTTGAAATTTAATATGAATAGTGTTAGTTGATGTGGGTGAGAAGTGTATAAACGGTAGCACGGCGTAGACGGTGGTCGTTGTGCTCGAAGTTTCAAGTGGCTTGCCGAAAGCGTCATCTCCTGATTGATTCTTTCGCCATGATGTAGCATGTCTCATTTTGAGACGATCATGCGTGAGGAGCAAACGCCGTTGTTACGACGTAGGAAGAGAAGAGGAGAAGAAGTAGAGTGGAGAGAGCGAGTATGATAGAGAGAAAGAAGAAGAGAAATATGACGATATAAACAAGAAGAAGATCTTTTAATCTCCCGTTATTGTTTACACCTCGTTTTGGAATTATTAGTGATATTTCGATTCGATTAACGTTCTATTTTTTTTGTCTTTCCAAGTTTGAAATCAGTGTTGTTTCTGATTTGCTTGAAAGGGAAAAGAAGAATCTAAAAGAGAAAGAGAGAAATATGTCGAATGAAAAACAAAATCTGTTTCCTTTTATTTACATAAAAACAACGCGGACGCAACTCTCAAGCAAAACTGAAAATCTCTAAATAATAAAAATAGTCTGTCTCTCTCCCTCTCTCTCGCGCGCGCTTTCCCTCTCCAAATAATCAGTAGCTTAAAAGAATCATGAAAATCGTCGATAACATTGTCACGTTTCTTACATTGATTATTTACGACTGATATACTATTCAAATTGAAATTTACTTTGTCAATTCTAATTACTTTCTTTGTTTTTCTCGTGTGCTTATATCTAAAATAACGATACTCTCGGCCTCCTAGCGATCGAACGACAGAGTAGAAGCTCGCTTGTTTTCTTGTTATAAATCCAGTAAAGTATCGACATGAAATCGTCATGGAAAACTAGTGATGAAAGATTGATCTGATGAAAATCATATTATTTACTTTACTAATACAACCCGAAAAGTCCAGATAAAGTTGACATGAGCGTTGACATTTTCCGTCTGCTTATCATTGACGATTTGCTTTTCTTGAATATCAAAGAAAAACGAGATTGTTATTCCGCTAACGAATGACATTCGTACATTTCAATTATCGTCATTGATTTGAATAAGCAAATGATATTTTTCCATCTGATATAATTGAAGTACTTCTTAGTTACATATCATCTACTTCAGACATGATCGCTCAAATAAACAAGCAAATTTTTCGTGACAGGACATCGATCTTTTCAACAACTAAAAGTCGTATCTCTAGAGAGGACAACGATATTCGTTTTTACACATAGATAAAACATATCGTCTCTCAAGCTTTTGTTCTAGTGCGACAAGAAAAGTTCTCTGACTCTTCTCCTCGTCTGATTGGGACAGAATCTCTCACATGATGAACATGACAACGGCTGCTCACATGTCGATCTTGAAGACTCAATTTTGTACTTACCTTAAACTCGACGAGAAAACGAGCGACTGAGATGTTTAACAATAGCTAAAGAACAGAAGCGCTGTCAATCGAGCATAGATAGTAATATACTCAAATGTCGACTCTGATTCAGTCTTAGGAACACATCTACACTTGAAAAACAACACTGACGTATGTCGTATTCTATTTATATACATTGAAAAGGCAACAAGTAACCTATAGCGAAATAGAATCAAGTCTTGGCATCGATTCCATCGGTTTGGCGTGTGTTTTCTCTTCTTTAACTAAATTAGGATGTTAACGTTCTCGATCGAATTTTGTTTTTCTTTCTTCAATAATCGATGCAAAACTATTTAATATGCTTTGATATCTCTTTTTTTGTTAATATATTAATGTCGTCGGTGGAAGGGAGGGAGGGAGGGAGCGCGAGCAAAGAGAGAGAGAGAGGGAGATTTTTTTATGTTAGTGGCTGATAGTTAGGCGATAATGAGATTATAATGCGATTTGTGTATATACATCAGAATAGTAAACATTCTGTTAGGAATTTTTCCGAACAAGAGTACAAGTGACGAAGATGAGAGCGAATGCGTACGCACGCAATGATGTTGAGACTAAGAACGGCAATTCTCGATCGTTTGCATATTATTGATCGCCATTCGATACTTCGACGATAAGTAGAAGAACATATTTCAAACTCCTACAGGAAGAAACACAAGACGCATAAAGAAGAAAAATCGTCGAAAGAATGCGAAAAAAAACAATTTTTCTTCTGTCTTTCTCAATCATTATCTTTGTTGTTTTTATTAAGGATATTAATCGTAAAGAATTGAAGAGAGCGCACACATACACATTCAATCATCTCTTCATCTGAGTAGACCGAAATCAGTTTGGCAACATTCGGCAAGTCGATTTCAGCCCACGTTAAACTTGAACAAATAATGAATCATTTAAAAAAAAAAGGAAAACTCTTAAACCATTACTCATGCTTTGATTATTTCATGATAAACTCAAGTGAAAGAAATAAAAGCATGATTGAATCACTTTTAGTACAACCAAGCAAAGTTGCAATCGACAGTAGTTCTTTTCATTTCTAGATCAACGGAAGAAACAATGTTTGAGATCTTCTTTCTCGGTTTTTTATTGCTGCCATTATTCTTATTGAAGATGACATGTCTAATTATAGTTAGAGAAAACAAAAGTGAATTCTTGCAAAAAAATAGAAGCAACTCACTCAACGCATTTGCTTCTCGCCTAATGTAAACTAATGGATTGACTAAAAACAATAAAGCACATCATTATGTTCGCAAAAACATTAGAACAATTTTTATAATAGCTGAGTGCTTCACCATCGTAACATACGTGCTCTCTCACTCCTTTGTTCTGCCATTAAGTCCGTTCCTAGTACACAAACATCTCGTTGAGTACCATCAATAAACATTGTTCGACAATGAGATTGTTGTCACATCAGATCACTTGTTACATATATGTATGAAAAACAAATCTGAAATCTTGTCGAAATTAATCAATATCGACAGAGTTCTACTCGGTTTACCAAAGGAGAAAACTGTCGAAATCAGACATAATTACTTGTCTTAATCAAATCTCGGCCAGCATCCATGAATTGTTCATCGTTTCCTTGCGAAACACTTACTTTCGCAAATAGACATTTGTCTTCCATAGGAAAAGAGATCCATTTGCGTGATGATGATGATCATCATCATCATGACACTCTCACTTTTTCTTTTGTTCGGCCGTGTCATTATTTGTTCTAACCTGTCTACCCGCCACAGCTAACAGCGTGCTGATTAAACGAAAAACTTGCATCAATCATTCTTGCCTACTTTCATTTCCTCTAACGCTTTGATTTCTTTTTCTCTCAAGGGAACTTACTAACCTTTTTTCCGGATTTATTTTTATTTACATATCATCGACCGATGAAGATATACACAGAAACAAGTCGCCGAAATTAACTTCGTTTATTTGTGCGACAAAGTCTCATTTACTACTCTTATCAATGCACGGATAATTAAACATGCGCAACGACCTTGCTCGTTTGTTTTTCGCGATCATTGCCGACCTGGTCGTATATACGACTCGTACCCAAATTCATTGTGAAGCAATCAATCTAATGGTACATAATGCAGTTCTCACTGAACGATTATTGAAATGGTGTTTTTTCCTATTCTATAAACATCACTCAGAGCATATTTGCATATGTTTATTATTGCCTTTTGTCAATGGGTTATTTTTTGCACGATGATCCATTGTTTTCCGTTGACATTTCAGGGTTCACAGAGAAGTTTTGTTTTTGTGTCAACCGGTCATTGTATCCTTGGCAAATTATACTCTTATGGTAGATAAAAAGTTAATAGAGCATGTTTAGCGATATCTATGATTGAATATCGAGCATAGGCGAATGTCAAAAATTAGTTTAGCGGGCATTTGGTCATACACAGTGTGAATATAGATGATGTTCCGTAATTATATACGAGAGCTGAACTTTTCATCGACCCATAAAAAACACTCTTTCCTTTTAACCTCACTCTATCCGACCCAGTTGACATACGAAGTACCTAGAACATGTCTCTTCATGTTGAACATGGTAACCTAGATAGAAAATAATGGATCTGATTTTCTGTTCTATGTCACAGAAATGATCGATATTTGTATTTTTTGTTCTATATTTGAATGAAACGAGAAAAGCGCAGGTTACCAAGAATGTTTTAGACAGAATTTAATATTCATCTTGTTGTTCATCATTGTCTCCATCGAGTGTGTCAATTCCAACTTCCTCGTAGTCTTTTTCCAATGCAGCTAGATCTTCACGAGCTTCACTAAAATTTCAACACACAATCAACATTTTAAGAATAAAATCGCCTCATTACCTGAATTCTCCTTCTTCCATTCCTTCACCCACGTACCAATGAACAAAAGCACGTTTGGCATAGAGTAAATCGAACTTATGGTCAAGACGTGCCCATGCCTCTATTCAAATAGATACTCACACGTTCTATGCAACGATTTCAATCGAAATAAATGCTCACCGGCAATAGCTGTTGTATTCGAAAGCATACAAACTGCACGTGGCACTGACGCCATGTCGCCGCCAGGTACAACACTTGTCGGTTGATAATTGATTCCAACTTTAAAACCAGTTGGACACCAATCGACAAATTGGATCGATCGTTTGGTTTTGATCGTCGCAACAGCGCGATTAACATCTTGCGGAACGACATCACCCCGAAAGAGAAGGCAACATGCCATGTATTTTCCTTAAGAAGAAGAAGTAAATTTCACTGCATGGAAAGAGACTTTTGCTTTCGAATACCATGTCGTGGATCACATTTGACCATTTGACTGGATGGATCAAATACTGCATTAGTGATTTCGTTAACTGACAATTGTTCATGCATGGCTTTTTCGGCTAGTGAAATCGAACGAAAGTTTGCGAGAATTTCATGTTGTATGTATATACGTACCACTGATGATCGGTGCATAAGTAGCTAATGGAAAGTGTATACGAGGATATGGAACAAGATTAGTTTGAAATTCGTTTAGATCAACGTTGAGTGCGCCTTCAAACCGTAATGATGCGGTGATCGATGAGACAATCTGTGCAATGAGACGATTCAAATTTGTATAAGACGGCCGTTCAATATCCAAATTTCGTCGACAGATATCATAGACTGCTTCGTTGTCAACCATGAATGCACAATGTGAGTGTTCTAATGTTGTATGTGTTGTCAAAATGGAATTGTACGGTTCGACCACAGCAGTCGAGATTTGTGGAGCTGGATAAACAGCAAATTCAAGTTTGGATTTCTTGCCATATTCAAGAGAAAGTCTCTCCATTAATAACGAAGTAAAACCACTACCGGTGCCACCTAGAAAAGCGATCGAGTGTTATGTTCGTTCTGATGAGCATGTACCTCCAAATGAATGAAAGATTAAAAATCCTTGTAAACCGTCGCCTAAACAAACGAAAGATGAATCGGCGAAAGGCAATAAAACGATCTCTCCTACATTGATCAGATAGTTTTCGAAGACGGTCAAGTACAAGATCAATAATCTGTTTGCCAACTGTGTAATGTCCACGTGCATAGTTATTAGCTGCATCTTCTTTATCCGAAATCAATTGTTCAGGATGATCTAAATATCTCCATAAGTACGAGCTGATGTATCAAGCAATTTTCACCATACAAAGTGTTTTGTATGGGCCAGTTCGAATGACATCAATGACTGATTGTTCAAGATCGACAAAGACAGCTCGTGGAACATAGCGATTGCCTGTATGATGAAAGAACGTATCGAACGAATCATTCTTATCATTTTTTCCCTTTTTAATCATTTGTCCATCCAAATCGATTCCATGTTCAAGACAATATCTAATTCAAACAGAAGGAAATTCGTACGATACAATTTGTGTAATAGCTGTTACTTACAACTCCCAGCAGGCATTTCCGATTTGAACACCCGCTTGACCAACATGAACACTAAGGCATTCGCGCTAAACGAAAAGAAACATCATGTTGCAATTTGAGATTTTACCGAAGCTATTCTACCATATTTTGTATCGGAGAGTCAACTAAACGCTTATAGTGCAGTAAAGATAAAGAAGAATGAAATGAACTTTCGTTTTTTCATATGACCTATGTCTCTTCGTTACAGTCCGTTGAACATATGAAATCTCTCATCCGTGATGTGAGAAACGACGAACAACGAACGATCAAACAAGCGAATATCGATGTCGATTTATAGTTAATATCCATATAAATGTTCTTTATTAATTTAAAGAAAAAGAAAAAAAAACATAATTAAACATTCTATTGTCAGCTGAATAAAATCATTTCGTGGTAATAGATATATATACATAGTTGTATACGAGGAAACTTCATTGATACTATTTTTCCGACACAGAAAAGACAAAAAACGTCTGCAGATTGATTAGATCTATCTAATCAGCGCATATCGACTCGGATACATTGAAAGTATTGGATAGAGGTCGAAGGACGACTGTCGTCGATGACGGTGATCCTTCAGGAACAGGTGTGGTGTCCATTGAGTCGTCGTCGTAGGTACGTTTAATAGCCTTTTTCGTGCGTGTTGCTGCTTGTTTCGTACCTTCCTTTTCTACTAGCATTGTTTCGACTAGACCAACATAGGACATCAATTCATTGGCTTCATCTGCTTCAAAGCCCTAGGAAAATGAGATGTTCTATATGTAAACAATCATCATCAAATTGGCGACTAACTTTCTCAATTGTTTGCTCAATCAATTTCGTTAATAAATATCGAAGTTCGTCAACATCCGTCACACAATCAACAATCAATTGTGGATCAGGTCCTTGAATTAGTTCGTTAGCTTCATTTTCATCATCATAAGTCATTAGCACTTGTTGACACGAGGAGATTTCCGAATTCAAATACGCTATTGTACTTTCTAATTTTGTGATCGATTCTCGCAATGGCGTACATTGAGAATCTTCTGGTTGACTTGGATTTATTGCACTATGGACAATTGCATTGCTTAATCGTTTGCAAAATTGTTCGCGCTTCTGACTCGCACATTCACGATTTTCGATTAACGAACTCATGTCACGATTGATACCCGAGATAAGCTTTCGACGGCGAATCGCATTTGTTATCTAAGCAAATCAAACCCGAAGGTGAAAATTAAGTTACAGAACAAAGTTAGTCGACATACGCCTTGTTGAATAGCAGCGAAATGATCACTCATTTCTTTCGTAGTCTTGCGTACTCGAGTCGAACGCATATGACGCCGTAGTAAATGTACCTAGAAATGTCGTCTCATTTCGTGTTCAACCAGTGTCACCTCCTACTTCTTCTTGTTTACGTTTGAGTATCATTTCTTTTTGTTTATGTTTAGCTCGTAGTGATCGGATTTCGTTGTCTTTTTGCATTTGTGTCTGAAGAATATCAAAAAACAGCTTTTATTTAAATGCTGAGTGCAAAAACTTACTCGTTTCAGTGTTGCTATTTCTCTAGCTTTAGCTTGTTCAGCTTGTTTATGTCGAAGGAATTCTTGTCTGATTTCGCGAGTAAGCTGCACTTTCACCTTCCGTAAATCTTTCAATTCATTATTATGCTTCGCTAATTCTTTTTTGTAATATTCTCCGTCCTTCAAACAAACAGCATATTGTGCACGTAATGCTGATAATTCATTATTTTCGATTTCTAAACGACGGATCTTCTCTTCATAATCACGCCGGGCTGATTTTAAATCTTCAACATTATGCTGGTCACGCGCAGCTGTGTCTAAATAAGAATCGTGAATACATTGGTCGGTACTGAAGATCAGCTTACTCAATTTCGCCACAGCAGCTTGTTTTTCATCTTCAGCATGTTGAATACGGTCAGAGAGGAGTTTGATACGCTCTTCGTACCGTTGACGTACCGCATCGCTGCGTTGACGTGCGTTTTCGAGCATTTCGAGACATTTCTGTTTCGTATTGATTTCGCTGGTGATTATCACTAATTTCTCTTCCTGAGTATCAGCTAAAGAGAACAACGAAAAGAATATAAGAGAGCCAGTATCGAAAACTTACATTCTGCTTGAACATCATCTTCCAAAGGTGTTTGAACTGGTTCATCGTCATCTTCGCTATTCATGATATTATCTTGTTCTTCAATTGTTGGCATATTCGATCGACTGTCAAGTGGATCGGACGACGGATTGCTTGATAAAGCATAGATAGGTTCAGTTCTCCGTTGCGATGGCATTTCATGAGGCTCTTGAGGAGAACCAGGAATGGTACTAAAACCAAGACGATGCGGTTTCGCTGAATGACTATATATATCGACAGAGATTGGCTGTAAAACGACGTTTTTATGAATGATAATACAAACTTTTGTCTTAGTGATTGCTCCTCACGCCGTAATCGATCGATTTCTAAACGAATGTCTTCAATACACGGCTGTAGATCATCGGAACCCAAATTAGTTTGATTAAGTTCAAGCGATAAGGGTTGATCAGCTGAAATCGATCCTAAATAAACCCAGAGCTTTCTATAATTATTCTTTCGAGAAGAAGAACTTGACTTACGTATTGATAGGCGACTTTTTCGACGATTAGATATCGGACTACGTTTTCGAAGAATGCTGCTAACGTCGTTCATTCGTGATAAACGCGATCTACAATACATTTCGTCATGATCGGAAGCGAAATTCTAATTTATCTTACTGAATTTCATCACTCTTTGTTAAACATTCGCTGATCATGTGATCGTAATCAATTACCATCTCGTTTGTTTGTCGATGATCGCGAACTACTTCTAAATCATGTTTTAATGCTTGTGAGACCGTATTTGTTTCATTGATCGATCGTTGGATCGTGTACACATAAGAACGTATACGTTCTAATTCTTGATTTAATGCACTTGTACTCGCTTGATCGAACTCTCCCTAAAATAAATCGATCGTTTGGTGTTAGAGTTCGATTGTTACCTACCGATGCTAAATGTTCATTTTTGTCGACTAATGAACGTAGGCGTTCGATTTCCATTTGCAATTGAATAATTTGTCGACTGTGTTTATCTTGATTGACTTTCACACGATTGCGTATGTTACGTGCGCGTTGAGCATAATTAAGAGTGCTTTTGGTTTCAGAAAAATCTCGATCAACGGGTGATACACATGCGATCATCAATGTTCGACTAGACGAATATTGGCAATGAGAACAACAATAGATGAGATTTTCTCTCACAACGTACCTGTTTCCACCTAGAGAATCCTGTAATAGACGTGTTAATTTGGAATCCCGATATGGTACATGTGCTGCTTTTTTCAATGGATCGCCTAGGATTGAGATAACATTGCCGAGAACAAGCTGAAAAGAAGTTTGTGAATAGTTTAAAGAAGAAATCGTTTTCCTGGTAACACGAACCAAACCACTATTGATACTGATGCCTTCTTTGGCGCGTTGGCCAGTGGCTCCTGTTCGTTTTAAACTTTCCGAGCCAGCCAAGTCAACGAAATGAATCTTTGCACGAATTTGTTCACGTAAACTTGGATTCGGTGTCTAAACAAACCAATTTTTACAATCAATCGTATATATCTGTTTGATCTCGACTTACCGATGCTGGTGTCGATGGTATCACGCGTTCGAATTGTAAATTGACAGTAAAAATGGCATGGGATCGACTAGATACACTGTTCATACGTGTTGATGCTGTCGTTCGACTTAGTGCGCCTTCTCGTAAACAATTTAGTGTCTAAAGGTATGAGAGAACGATTTTTCATCGTTGTTTCTTCTCTAATTGGATTCTTAACAAACTTCATGTGCAGTGGTAACAAATCGTGTGTTGATATTTGTAACTGATATTTCTCCATTACTGTTTTCGAATACTACATGTTTATCAGTATTTTTTTGTGAACGAAAATCATTGTTTTCCTTGTTGAACAAATCATAAATATTTTCGTTATAAATCTAAAGGAAATTACCGTAACATCTATAAAAAGAGATATACGAAAAAGCATACCTCAATAAATTGGCATGATACAACACATTTCGGTACCATAATTCCTTTCGCTTCTGCTTCACGTTCATAACTTGCACATCGTTGAAAAATGTGCATAATAGCACGAGGTAAAATACCTTCCTTCGACGGATCCATATATTCAATTCCGCTACCCATTGTGAACGTTTTACTGTGCAACAAAAAGAAAACAATGGTTTCGTATTTTGTCATCTAAATCTTTACCCAGAACCGGTTTGTCCATAGGCGAGTATAGATGCACTATAACCTTGAAAACATCCTTCGATCATATCGTGTACACATTCACGATAGATATCTTCTTGGTTTGTTGAGGGTAGAAAAACGTGATCAAATGTAAACGCTGAACTATTAGCTAAAATTATTTCATTGGTACTTCGTTGAACTTCAACACAAGTTTGACATAAATCTTGTTGCTCATTATTTGCTAACGGACGAACTCTACAAAGAAATTCGATGGCAAATTCTACATATATTCGAATGCAAATCGGTTACCGAACAGCAGCCTTAACACAACTAGCAATTTCCTTATTCAAATGTGCTGTTTCCATTTTCTGGAGCAGGGATCTACATGCGCACGTAAGTAGCAAACGAAGTTTTTCTTGAGAGACAAAGGACTTGCGTAGGACAAAGACTCGGACTCGCGCTTATCCAAAAACCAGTTCATCGTCGATAAATTCATAAATTTTGTTCTTTAAAGTTCGTTTTTAGGCTCGAAAATGTCATATAGACAACTTCGAACTTCCGTATAGATGTCGCTAAATGATCTCGATTGTTTTGTAATAAAATGTTTTTTTTTCTGGAACGAAAATATTCTCATCGAACGAAAAATGAAAAAAAGAATTTGTTTGCCGAGAAACTTTTGCAATCATGACTTTGGATAGGCTGATTCATCTTACCAATAAATCAATAAATGAGAACAAAAAGAAGAAAAATGACGCGAGGAGGAACAGAATTAGTTAGTCTTTTTTTTTTCTTTTCTTCTATTACATATTTGTTGAGAAATAGTAGCACAATAATGCAATTCGCTTGATCGTATCTTCTAGATTTCATTACTCATCCGATATCCTCGATAATTCGATAATGGACAGTGACCAAGAGTCATCTGAAGTAAAAACAAATATTTATCCTTCGCAATTGATTTGTTTCCTACGCGATTTCTAGTGTCCATTGTGTTTGGAAGTACTCGAAGCTGATGATTTGACTTTTTTTCCATGTACATGCTGCTATCAGGTGAAGAAATTGCTCTCGAGAGATAAACAATCAGCGAAGACAAGTTTGTTTAGATTTGCCGATTTTGTTGGCATCGGATTCGAACCGATGAAAATGGTTTATGTCCAGCATGTCGCAAGGTAAGATTTATTTGGTTAAATTCCTATAAAAATAGATCGTAATGAGCATTTTGGAGAGTACGATTGTAATTTATACGATCTCTGTTGGATGAGAACAACGACATTGAGTGATACTCAAGTACTTGACTGTAGAATAGAAAAGAGATGATCATATTCGAATGTAACCAATTGAATTTTGAGAAAAGAAACATGACATTTGTTATCGTTCTAGCCATACAGTGAAAATCCCGCACAATTCAAGCCATTGACTGACGAAGAGTAAATATTCCAGCGGAATTTACGCAAATGTCTATTGCAACTGTGCATCTTTTAGAATTCAACAAGTAAAACGTGATCGAAAGTTGAAAGAATCCAATAAAAAGCCCAAGGTCACTGAAAGTCGGAAACATTTGGCAAATCTTCGGTAAAGAAAACAAACTTTCTCGTCTTCCTTCTTCTCCCAACATTCATCTTCAGAGTCGTTCAACGCAATCTTGTATTTGTCAATGGTCTTCCATCACGTTTAGCTGATACAGAGCTTCTAAGACGAAACGATCATTTCGGTAAATATGGTAAAATAGTCAAATTAGTGACTTCGCCAGCACATAACGGACAATTGAACTCAATTTGTGTATATATCACATACTCACGGTCTGAAGAAGCTTTACGTGCAATCCAGTCTCTGTGTAATTACCACGTGGACGGTCGTACACTGAAAGCCACATTGGGTACAACGAAATATTGTAGTCGCTATTTAAAAGGTGCATCATGTCAAAAAGCTGATTGTCTTTATCTACATGAGCCCGGAGACCCATTAGCAAGTTTCACTAAAGAACAAATGCAACAAGGGTATGGAAGATGATATATAGCATAGAGAGATGTTCGTTCTGGCTTTGTTATAGTCTACATTTGGAGTATGAACGAAAACTCATGGAACAGTATACGAATAAATCAACATCTAGTACACCGAAAAATGGACGAACAACGGTGAATGGGTATGTTTTCTAGACGAATCGCGTTGAACAAGATGTTTGACTTCTTTGTACATGTTTATATTTAGACATAAAAGTGAGCCATCACAAAGACGAAAAGGTCCTACGCCCTTATCATCAACAGCAAATAATTCAAATTCAGCAACATCCAATGCAATGAATGGAAATTCAGATTTCGAGTCAGGAGATGAAACAAATCATATACACACCACGTCCAATGGATATAGTAATGATACATTCACTAGGTAAAGATTAACTTTCTTGAATTATTGGATAAGAGAAATCATTTGTCTTTTTCTTTAATTAGCACAACTGCTATCAATGGTGACACATTAAATGGTGATTCTGATATGTCTTCAACATCTTCCCAAACATCATCTGAACATGATCCATCGCTTCGGACGCACATTCAGACGTATAATATTTCACCAACAAAAACTTGGCCAGATGAATCTGCACCATATTTTCTTCCACCACCTCCTCCTGATCTCATTTCTGCTACTAATCAGCTACCGAATAGACCAACCGTACCAACATCATTCAATTCTTCGAAACACATCCCATCGAACGAGAGTGTGGTGAAACCATCCGATCAATTACCAGAATACAAACTGTTCGGCTCAAATGGCCCATCAATACATTCACTTCTGTTTGGAAACAATGAAAATAGTCAACAATCTCAGCGACCAATAATCAACGGAACTGACCATGATTTACGAGAAATCGAAAAACGCTTAATGGGTAAAATGTAACTCTTGAATATGATTCGTTTATTGTTTTTTGTTTCATTTTGATTAGCACATGGTCTCGATAACACATCTTATCCACAAATTCAAGAAAATGACGAACTTGGTGTGTAGATGAACTTTAACATTTCAGAGAAATTCTCTTTTTGTTCCTCTTAGGATTTGATCCGTGTAGTTTGTTTATGTCAGCGCTTGCATCTGATATCGAAGATGAACGACGACCATCATCATCTCAAACATCTGCATCACATCGTCCAACGTCAACTAATTCCTATGGATTTCCATCATCTCAACACATTTCTTCAACAAATAATCCATCATGGATGATGCAACAGCAGCAGCAACAACAACAACAGTATCATCAGTTTCACGAACAACCAACAACACCACAGAAACAGCCAAGATATCCGATCACATTCAGTAAGAATGGCTCTTTGCATACCAAAACGGTATCCAACTCAATTTCATTTAGACGGTTCATCTCCTCGACAGATGTGGAACAACACTCAACAACCACCACCACAACAACAACAACAGCAACATTATCCAACTCAGATTCCAACTCGTTTAGACTTTCCTAATCAGATTCAACAACAACAACGACTCCCACCCAGACAATCGTCACCTTCTCCACAATACCCTCAAACAATGAACCATACGTATTCTTCAAATAGTACAGTGATCACAAATAATTGTAAGATTGAAAAACGCAAAATAAATTCTCATTCTTTTCTCGCTGTGTAACATTAGTACCAGCCAATGATCGATGGGTTAATCTAGCATGGGCGGATCCAGCTATAATATCTCTCGGGAACAAACTCGATCCAACATCTTCCCAATGGTCTAACACATCTTCGCAATCACAAGGTCCGTCTGCAATGCCATTAGGAACTAATCTCCTATCAAATCCACGTTGGTCACAACAAATACAAAATCAAATGTTTCCAAATGGTGGAATGTACATGTCCTATTCAGCAACATCAGGCATCGATGATGGCAGTCGTCCTTAATATCAACAGTTTCTTTCATGCATAAAAGAAACCAACGAGGTCCTATTTTTTTTATCTACATGATGCACCATGCCCGGCTGATGGTCTGTTCGTTTTTCTCTCTCTCTCTCTTGTACTTCTTCTACGCCTATGATAATGATTTTTTGCTTGTTTGTTTTCTCTATAACTCGTTGTTGTTTATCATATATACGTACTTATATACATATATACATACATGCAAATTATTTATATCGATAATTTATTCATAGTAGTACAGGGAAAAGAGAATCTGAATGATGCCTCCTTGCAAACATGAGAATTACTTATTCGTACGACAAGAAAATGCAACATTTATCTGGAAAACATCAAAAGTTTATCATACATATTTTTTTCTTTATTGTCATCAACATTTTTTTCTGTTCCATTTGCATCTCTTTTTGTGAGTTTCTTTATTCTTGCTTGTTTTTTTTTTCGTACATTGTGTGTATGTGTGTCTCGACTAACTCCAATAGAGATCTACACAAATCATCGCAGTCACATCTGGAAAACAGCGAAGTAAAGAAAAGGTCGTTTAGGAGAACTCGTTTACGGAAGACTACTACTCAATAATAGAATCAAGAGTGTCTGAAGTGTATAGAAAGCATAGACTCCTTTCAGCGATCATAGCTGAAAGAGATGCAAGCAATTGATGGTAGTGTTACTTACAAGTATAAAACATCGATTCTGCCTACAGTTATTCGACAACAAGATTCAATGCTTCTGTTTTCTTACGAAGAGCAATCAAAACATCGTTGAATAACACTGAAGGAATGCCCCTCGCCATTTATCTATTATTAACTGGCAATATCAATTTCACTCTATTGTTGATTATTTGTTTCAACTTGTAAACGAATACAAAAATGCTAATACTAAATTCACAACTGTCAAACGAACAGAGAGAAAAAGAAGAAAAACGAATACTTAAAAAACGCAAACAGCGAAAAAAAAACCAAAAAGAATCGATTCTATAAGAATCATAAATATCGTTCATAAAATAGAAGATAACAATTTTCCGTAATATATGGCGTTTGGAAAACGTGATCGATTTGATTCACTTCCGTAATGCGTTCATCGTCACTCAGAAACCAACGCGATTGTTCAGTACGATATAGACAAACATAATGTTCATTGGTCGATGATGAAGAAACATTCTTTGATAAATGTAAACACACGGCGATTAATCGATACCGCGAAGGAATTGTTCCTGAAAGATTAGTTAATCCGAGCCATGTTGTATAATGGACCTTGGACAGATCGAGTATCTTGTCGGGTTCGAGGAAAATCTGTGTGGTTAACTTCGTAGTGCTTTTTGAAAGACGATCATAAGAAAAACGTTTCAATTCAATGCAAAGTACGTCCGGCAAATTGGCGATCATGGTTTGAACTTTCATTTTCGAATGTAGACGAGTGTTTGTCGATGGAATGATAGTAGTTGGAGGCGCTGATGTCGAAGATGCTTGCGGACGTACAGTAAGAACAGGTGCAAGAGTTGATCTACGTTTCAACAAAGACCGTGCGGTTTCTTTTTTCTTAAAAATTTAATTTAATACATACGTTATTTTAGTGAAAAGTGTCTCCTGAAGATCTGCCCGGGTTCCTCTTTCATAAGCAAGAGGATTTTGACTAGAACAGTATGAACAAGAGATGGAATCGATCTAGAATTGAAGAGATATACGATTAGCTGGTTCATGCATTGTTTTGTCTTACAAGTTCTATTTTGGGTAATTGTGAAATCAATCGTTCCAATGAAATATTGGTTTTATTCACCGGTAATGTTAACATTTGAAACGGTTCCGAACGAAATCGTATATGCGAACAACTAAAACGTATTCATTTCCATTGAAGACGAATAGAGAAGAAAGAGTTCGTCGACTTACTCAACGCAGCAATGCGCATGAAGAAGTTGACCAGAAAATGTATGTTTTACGATCGAACCAAGTTGAATATGATGCATCAACCAAGTCAAATCAACATATTGAATTATGTATGACGCTTGCGCATCGAGATTATCCAAGGTGATTTTATTATGAAGCTAAAAAGACAATTAAACAATGACTCACGATCGAATTCCTTTTCATACTTCTGCTTCCGTTTCAAGAAAGATTCGATTGAGATAATCCAATGAAAATGTTGTCAATTTCTTATTCTGTACTTGTTCAAGTACACTGAAACACAGATGACATTTACATAAGCAACGATTGTTAATCATTTCTCACTTTGTCGAACAAACCGATGTTTGTTTTGATAGGAGATTGTTCAATACATTGATCAATGATTGAAACAATTCAGCAATATCCGTTGTCTTATGTCTTGCTAGCAAACCAGGATGATTTGCATTTAATTTGGACACGAGCGACGAAGTATCAACAAGTGCATTCCAACGTTGATGATCAGATACATGATGATCATTACGTAATTGTGCCATCAAGTCAAGAAATGTGGGCACAATCGGATCATAAGTCGAATTCGATAACTAAATTACAAAGACGTGTCCGAGAGAATTCATTTTGTTTACTTTTCGTCTGATCAAAAGTGTTTTAATTAGAAAGGATGAGCAAAACCTTAGAAGTGTGCGATCACTTCAATGGCACTTAAACCATTCTGTTCGACTTCTTCTTTTCTCTTGTCATCACTTACATTTACATTCCTTGGTAATGAAGTGCAGAAACTATTCAACGATGCTAAACTTTGTAAAAGAGAGTTTAATGAAGACGTTGTTCCATGGAGATTGAATATTCCAGGTCGCGGCAGCGTCTGTAGTGTTAACGGCTGAAAACGATCAAATAAACGTGAGAATTTTTTCAGTCAAAATCTTCTACCGATTGAAGTTCGAAGTTATTGATTGGTTTGACATGGTAACTGTATAAATATTGTTGAGGAACCTTTTGCGACGTGAAAATCCTTGGCGGTGAACGTTGAATAAATCGTTTTAGTACGAACTGGTAAAGACGAACTAGAATAGATCGCCATATTGCAATCCATACAGAGAACAACGTTTTCAATCCTTGTTTGATAACATTAAAACGTTTTTCCGTATAAAGTGTACCGATAATATGAATAAACAACAAAATCAGCAGTAGATACGTGATATGATGATAAAACGATGTAAAACCAATTATGAATCCCAAAACCATCGATTCATATATTAAAATATCAAAACGACTTTCTTTTCTAAACAAACAAGATCAAAATGACTTCTCTGTAAGTTAATTTCCTAATCGCACGTACTCATTATTAATAATGAAAACTTTGGTGATATTATCAACACATAAATATACGACAAATTCGAATAATAGATTTAACCAAAACCACATTACTGATGATAATATAAACCACAAAATATTTTACTAATAAACAAATCGATGATGATCAAGTTTCATTCGTTGACGAATCCACCAATAAAACTGATGAACTATATCTATAAGGTAGGTAGGTAGGTAATATACTCGGTTGAACGCAGACAGACAATTTCTTTTTCTTTCCTTCCCACAGTGAGGTTAGTAGAATTGATGAACTTCGCACTGATGAGTTATTGAATTGCATTTCATTCTTCGTTCGAATGAACTGAACAAATATTCATCATGCGTTTGCGTTAGACACACTGAGAATTCTCATATTGCGAAAAATGTCTTAATTAATGCAAATGTAAAAGAGATATCCCTCTCTTTCTCATTGTATCGTATCTTGTTACTCAGCTGTTTGAGCGACGTATTAAATGCCTATTCTCATGCCAGCAATCGAATGTAATACCTACTTTCATACATCCTACAGAACAACGACATCTGTAGTGTAAATGAGTTAGAAATCGGTCATTTCGATCAAACTACCCTGTGTATCATTTTCCGATATAACTCAAGATTTTCTAATACAATTTCATGAAAAGAAAACAGAAAATTGGCCAATTAGTTTCGAGATGGCATCCTCTATTTGGATTCTAGTTCTCTTTTCCATCGGTAATCTATATGATGACGCGTTTGACATCAGTACAGTACACGAGAAACGAGAGCGAACGAACAAACGAAGTTCCTCTTACTCAAGTAGTCAAACACGAGAAAGAAAGAGAACGTACTGCTTCGTTCGCTTTTCGTTCCATGTTGAGATTTGAATTCTGATCATTGCGCAACTCTCACATTTTCCCAGTGAGAACGCTTTGTGTATTTTTGTCCGCTCGCTCCCCTATTCAGTCCTTCTCACGTTTGTATAATGTACTTGTATGTTATTCATTCTCGAAATTCATGAATTTTATTTTCAATAACAAACCCACAAGTGCCTCTCTAACTTTAGAAATCAGGTACAGTCCGCAAAAGTCAGCTCATTTTGAAGTATTTGCAGTGAATATGCGAGGTCATTTTGAGATACATTGACGATGTGGATCGAAATCTTCTGTGAGTACAAATTTTCTCTCTCTGTAGAGAAATTGTTAATCAACTATTGAAAATACGCAGTTCGATATATAATTATCTTAAAAAACCATTTGTTCTATACCAATGTCGCATCTTGTGGTGATTGTTTTTCATTGAAAGCGAGAAAAAACGAATGTTTTTTTGTTTCTTTTCACCAATATGACTTATATAAGACCCTCTTCGTTTCGCTGTTATTCATGTTTTTTTAAGTAACAATGTCGTTATTGTATTCTTGTCTACCTTCCTACGCACAGTAACACATGTGTGCGCCATCATTCCATATACTTTCATACTTCAGAATTTCATTTTTTCCTCGCCTACATGTTCCACTGTATAGTCTAGAATATTTTACTTCTCAAGCAGAAACAAAAATTTTTGTGTGAGTACCATCATTGAGTTCATACGCATCCTTCAGGGTTGTTTAATTGAATCAAAAATAACGATAGAAACATTTAGAAGGATTCTTTTCTCGTTCCAATGTTTACACCGATTTTATATTGATCGAGCAATATTGCTTTTTTGTGAGCGATGCAAAATCAAATATTTTTGTAAATTAACTTGGCATTCCTATGACATTAAAAGTACATTTCTGTATTTTAGAGATATTTGTAGGCAAAGTCAAAAGAGACGAGGGTATAATGCCACGAAAAAATGCCATGCGCGATAGCGTCAATGCAGTTCGATCTCGCTTACCGCACCTATCTGATCTTTCACGTGAAAAAATTGAATTAGCACTACTCTACTACGAATCAAACGTTGATGAAACGGTTGCCGCATTTGAACGAGGTAAGTGTCAGACAGAGGACAGTTATGTGTATGAACATTTCTCTGCTATATTTAGATGGAGCAGTGGAGGCTTTAAGCGGTTGGAGTGACACGAACCATAGTCGAGTACATGTAACTAGATTTTTCGATTTGCTTGAATAATCATTCGGTGGACTTTTCGTAGACGTCAGCGAAGCGAATCAATGGCAAACCAAATAAACCATTGACATTGAATACGACAGCACCCAACGGCGTTCTACGGCCATCACAACGTGTTTCCAGCATATTTCAAATATTCGCAGAAGGCGGAACACCATCACCGACTGCTAGTAGTAAGGGATAATAGTTTATAGCGAACAAATGTTTTATTCTCTGTTTAGCAACTACAATCGTGTCAAGCACTTACTCACCATCATCGATATCACCATCTTCACTTATTGAACAATCAGATTCATTTGCTAGTCTAGGTAAGAACTTGATTCTTCTCCCATCAGTCATTCACTGACCGCTTCTGCAGATTCACCAGCGGTGGCAGTAGCAGTAGCAGCAGAAACACTGGATCCATCAACTGCTTCGACGACGATTGATAATACTATTCCGGAAGAACCGACGGATGCACAGAAACCTGTCAAATCACAACGTCGAAAGAGTATTAAAAATCGTAATAGTTCAACATCATCGATAACTCAAACGCATGACAATGGAGGTAATTCGCAAGCGGTGACTACAGCGACGAAAGTTTCCAATTCAACTGCACCTAGTAGCAATAGGAAATGTAAGTGAAACGAAATTATTTTTCTTATAAATCGACCATGAATACCTTCTTATTCATTTTAGTGCTAGTCAAATCCGTGAAGGATCTTCAACGGCAAACGTCCACTTTGTCCAATGTCGAATTATTGTTCAATAGCGAAATTAAAGCATCAATAAAACGTATCGATGATGTTTTCAAACAAATCTATGAAATTCTCAAAGAACGCGAAGTTGCACTGTACCTCGAAATGGATAAAGCCAAAGAACAAGGTCTGAATGTTATTCATCGACGTCAACAACGTGGTGTGGAATTACGTCAACGTATCGATCGCTGTGATCGTCTTGAATCGTCCGAAATCGATAGTCTTCGTCATGATATCAAACAATTCGTTACTGACCGACGTTATGATCTAAGTGAAGAGTTGACCTCAGCACATCGATTCGATTACGATCAAAGTATCATTGATGCATTGAAACATTTCGGAACAGTTCTTACCGTTGATCGAAGACGTTCAATCTCAGCAGTAACAGCAGTCCCATTATTCGAGGCAACAACTCCAGAAAGTTCCGTTGCGAATACAATATCCGATGACAAACCCGTTGAGAATGGTCGAACATCCTTACTATCCTCATCATCCAATGAGGTTAATCCACCAAACCATGCTCAAAACCAACAGCCATTGCCACAGCGAATGCATAATAATAACAATAACAAGTCTCGTAGTAAACGTTCGAATGGTGAAGCTATTCATTCTCCTACGGATAGAAATGGCCCCGGTGATTCTCGTTCGAATTTCTACTCTTCATCGCAAACAAACGGCTATTCACAATACCATGATGACCCATATAATTATCAAAGTAAATGTTGCATTATTCATTTCTTATCCTATTCTCTTGTTCTGCTTTTCAGATGCGAATCAGCGTCGATATCCATCAACACAATATTCTCCAGGTAACTTTCAACGGCCACGTCCATTACTTAATTATCAGAATGGTAATTACCGTCGCACGATACCCAAACAGATAAATAATCGTAGTAATATGTACAATAACAGTGAACCAACAAATACGTATCATCATCCTCGTCCATCGTCTCAATCAATAGTTCCCGTACAAACTTAAACAATTCTGTATAAAATTCGTTCCCCGATGTTCGAAACATTCATACATAACGTATTTTTTCGTCTTGGCTGCTGTGAATTATTTTGCTTTCCGTTCATTCGGTAATATTTATTCTTCTTATTAGTAGTTCAATTACAGCAAAAGGAAAAAAAAACTTCTATGTGAATTTCTTATAGACAGTTGTTGTATTTGAAAGGAATGATTTCATTTTGTCTTTGGTGCTGTTTGTTTTTATTTGTATGTGAGTGTGTGTGGAAGAATAGTCATAAAGCTCAATTCTGTTTTATTTCCTTGGGAATTTTCATTGTTGATATTTATTAACACTTTCATCCAGTTCGTCTTTTTCTTTCAATTGTTAATTGCAGAAACAAAAATGATTTCTATCATGTGTCATATTAAATATATTTTATGTTATTGTATTTATTCACAAACGTCAACTTTTACTTGCGCGAACAAGAGTGCCACTCGACCGATATCCATCGGTACTGACTTCAGATGTCGCTCAATGCTCTTTGTACATATAGACACCATCCAACAAAATCCACTATTTGCCCTTGACATGTATGTCAATCAATCAATCATCACTAGATATGCAATAGAACATATATTCACTCGTGCTCTCTCTCTCTCCCGCCATATGCGATATATCAATCGAAGGAAGGAACCTCACAATGCATCATAGGAGTATCTGAAAGAATAAATGAATGAATGAACAAACGAACGAGCGAACGAACAAACGCGACGGCGCGACCTCCCAGAAGGTCAATACACATATATGCATATGTATACATTTATTGCCTTGCCTTATCTCTCCATATTAACAAAAGAGGCCAAACTGTTTCGTTTATAATATTCTGTCCCGACGTCGAGACATTTGCTAATTCAATTCACATTTTCATTTTTTTGTTTCAAACGTTTTAGATAATTCTCTTCTTCTTCTTCTTCTTTTCGGTCATGTTAGACGATGTGTGTCGTAGTAAACCGTGTATTCGCACCCGCAATCCAGCCTATCGATATCGATGTCACGTGAGTAATCTTCCACACATCACTTATCATAACTCGTTGTTTTTCTTTCCAATCTAGTCTCTGATGACTTTCCTTAGATAACTAATCGAAGTAATCTTTTGTTTTCCCTTCCCTTAATGTGTACGACTTCGGCATGATTGACTTTCTATTTCCGTCATCGTAGTAATCGATCTGTTTTCATTTAGAATTCATCGAGCATAGAATCTTCTTTTACGTTGACACCTTCGTCAACTGACGGCATGATTCAATCCGCGGCACCGAATGAATTTAGTCATCTGTATGCGACGGCACCGTTTGACTCGATCTACAATATCACCGAAGATCTTTGCCGGTACGAACAATGTTGAATACTTAAACGAAGAAGAAAAATGCTTGTTTTCATCTAGCGGTCGGTTCTCATCGGTGAAAAAATGTGTGAAGAACGACTCGTCCGATCAAATCTATGCCGCAAAAGTCATAAAAAAACGCAATGTTCAGCATGCCTTAAACGAATTACGCATCTTTCAATTATCACATAAACATCCGAATTTTGTGACACTTTATCAAGTATTCGACTTACCGACCGAAGCAATCTTTGTTCTCGAATAGTATGTTCGACAGAAAAACGCTTCTTTTCGACATGAAATGCGAGTTTTCTAGCGCGAAACAAGGTGATCTTCAATTGGCTTTAGAATTAGAAGGTTGCTTGGAAGAAACTCAAGCCATACATGTGGCAAAACAAGTTTTAGATGCTGTCGCATTTCTTCATGAGAATAATGTTGTTCATCTTGATATTAAAGTTGGATTTTCTTCGAAGGAATGTTATGTACTTTGAGGATGTGTTTTTTTAGCCCCAAAATATTCTTCTAATGGAAAAATGGCCAAGCACTCAAGTGAAATTGTGTGATTTTGGTCTTTCCCGCGTCTTAACCAGTCAATGCCTATTAGAAATCTCGGGCACAACCGATTTTCTCGGTAAATTATCAATTTTTCTACTCGTTCTCTCGATTCATTTTGCAATTTATTCCAGCACCTGAAGTTGTGAATTACGAACCATTGACTTGCGCAACAGATATGTGGAATATTGGCGTTTTAATCTATGTCATTGTCACAGGACATACACCATTTGGTGGTGCGACGAAATTGGATACTCAAAGCAACATTACACATTGCATACTGGATTTTCCGAAGGATCTATTCGAGAAAATCTCGAAAAATTGTATTGATTTAATCGAAAAGCTCATCGTTCGAATACCAAAGTAAGAACCCAACTGAATCTAACATGACTATTTTCATCTGCTTCCTAGACATCGTTTCACTGTGTATGAAACACTCAAACATCCATGGCTATGTTTCAATGAAGACATGACATTAACGAATTCTTTGGATGATGACAATGAAGATGACGATGATCAAAGACCATTGCTAACGAATCTGTTGAAATAGTGTCTTTTTTCTCAGTATTGAATGATCCGTCGTGTGTGATAAATTGCAGTGCAGTGTTCCCATCAATTTAACGTCCTTCTCGTCCTTTTTTTATATGCAATTTTCTCTTAACTTTAGATCTCAGATATGTATTTCTCAATCTCCATGACAAATAGTCGTTTTTTTTTCTTCTCTTTCTCAGGAATCGATAAAACGATCTATTTTCTCCAAATTCAACTCGTAATCTTTGTGAACTTTTCTTTCCCCTTTTGCTGTTAACATCCATGGAAGTGAAAAAGTCGACCTAGACGGAATGATATGACATTAGAACAAAATAAAATATCGTTATTTGAAATTTCAACAATGACTAAATCGAACAGACATCATCTTATGCAACACATATGCCCATCATTGACTTTTAATAAAAAAGTCACGCTTTGCAATGTCAAGCGTGAGCGCTAGACAGTGTGTCCAGATGAAATTGGTTATATGTCCAGTTCTGCAGATGTCGTACATAGACATGTGAGTTGCTTTGAATTTGTTTAATTTTCGAATCAATCGAAGTTAATAACAAAAAAGATGTATCGATTTTTCTTGAAAATATTCGATGAAAATGTGGTCGAGTTGTGCTTCCATCGGAGTATTTTGATTCGTAGATTCGATTCTCTGACCATACATAGAGAGAGGGATATAGAGATAGTATCGTTTAGTGAGAGCTTAGCTTTACTTAAGGAAGAGAAGGAGACGACAATGATTTGTTGTCTTTCTAGTCTTAGTTTGTATGATTTCGTCTTTTGTTTAGATTGTCTTACATTTAAACAAGAAAAAGTATCATGGAACAGACTTCATCCAACAATCTCGACGTTGTTTCAATGGTCATTTGGTTATCAACCGGCAATGGAAAATTCTTCGAATTAGTAAGTTCATTCTTCGAATATTTCGCGTTCAAATTGTCTCTGTGTAGCATGGCTCTCGTGACATAATTAAACAAGTTTTACCTCAATCGTCCGAGACTGCTTTTCGTTGGGGTTATTACAATTCACCAGCCGATCCTGACCGTCAGTCGTACACTCAAGTACTCGAAGCTTTCCTCAAAGCTGGCTTTCGTATCGAAGGTTCATCCGGAGCTGGCTCACAAGGTCTTCTTCGTGCACAATATATTCTTGTTAAACGCAGTTCCTAAATGTTCTTTCGTGTTTCTTGTCATTTGGTTTTTATCCATCTAATCATTTCTTGTTTGTTATGACTTCTGTTTCTAGTCTTCTGATACTCGTTCATTGCAGGTATTTGAATATCTTTACAGTGCGTTTTCTCTCTTGTTTTACAAGCCATGAGATTGATCTTAGTTGGTAGAAAGAAACTTTTTGGTTACGGTCTTATGTTGTTTTTTAGATCTATGTATTCATCCATGGTATAGGCTGCATCACGACAAAACTACCACTCTGTTATTTTAGATCAGATATTCAACATGAGAATTGTTTTCAACATGAGAATGGACATTCAATGTATACAAAGCCATTTTTTGTCACAAATGCCAACAACCCATGAGTATGTATCTACTTCATGCACCCTCATTAAATGAGACATGTGTCGAGTAGTTGCATTGATGTCTTGATTCCTTTCTCTTCTTTTTCGTATTACTGTCACAGTCCGAAAGGACGAGAAAGAACACATGCGAAAGATTCGATCGGCGCAAAAAAAAGAAAAAAAAGGAATAAGAATGAGGTAGGGAAGGAAAGGCAGAATACTTCAACCTTTTTTTTCTGCTTGCAAACAAAGCGTCACGTCATACCGCTTTGCAGCATTTCAAAGGTATCTTTTATTAATTAAAAAAAGCGAATCGGTGAACGACTTATTCGATTACACTTGGATTCCTAAACTGCTCACATTTATTCATTTCTTTTTTTCATCTCTGTTATCTCATAGTGACCATTCCTTGTCTGTCACATCAACAAGAACAAAAGTAGAATGTAATGTAATGAATATTTTCGTATAAAATATCCTCAACCAAAGTCAACAATAAACAAGCAACAAGCAACAATATGGATCACTCGGAACTTATTCAAGAGATGGTGTTGTTGGAGAAAATGACAGCACAGGAGCGACTCAAACACGCACGACGTAGACGACAACAGCAATTGAAAAATTGGATGCAACGAGAAGGATTAACGAGTAATGGAACAACCGTATCAAATGGTGTATCAACGAAATTGAGAAAAACTGCGGTTAAATTTTCCGAAAATGTCGTCCTATTAGAAGGTAAGAGAAAAGGATGGAATTCTTCAGAAAATTACGAAGATTTGTTGAATATTTCCAGCCACAGCACGGCAAGACATCGAGGAAGTTCGTAATTTACTTCAATCAGGCAAATACAGTCCAAATACCTCAAATGAAGATGGTCTGACGCCCATTCATCAGTGTTCAATCGATAATAGCGAGAAACTATTGCGATTACTAATCGAGTATGGTGGCGATGTCAATGCCAGAGATCGTGATCTATGGACTCCCCTTCATGCAGCAGGTATGAGTCGAAATGACACACATCCAGGAATTCCCAGCTCGATTCTTCTTTAGCAACTTGCGGTCATTTGCAAATCTGTCGAGTGCTGATCGAAAATGGTGCTGAATTGTTAGCGTTAAACGCTGATGGTAATATGCCGTATGATATATGTGACGACGATATAACTCTCGATTATATTGAAACGCAAATGGATCGAATTGGTATTACACAAGAGATGATTGACAAGACCCGATCACAAGTTGAAAATCAAATGTTAATCGATCTTCAAAACCTTGTTAGAAAGAAATCAGTCGGCTCCCTACGCTCGATCGATGATATACTTTCCTTTCGAAATTCCGAAGGTGTAACACCGCTACACATCGCTAGTGCGAATGGTTATCAAACAGTAGTAGAGTATCTTCTAAAACAGCATGTATCCATCAATCTGCAAGACAGCGATGGATGGACGCCGACTCATGCTGCTGCGTTTTGGTGTCAGCAATCGATTTTAAGTAAGTATGAATGAGAGAAATTGCAGTGTCAATTTTTATTTTTGTTTAGCGGAGTTGATTCGAGCCGGAGCAGATATTTACGAGAAAATCCTCGATGGCCGTTCGGCAGTTGATCTGTGTGATGATCCCGATTTGCGTTCGTACATGATCGATTTCTATGAACAGAATCTTCGCAATCAAGAAAAAGCTGCAGCTGCCGCCGCTGCTGCAGCAGCTGCTCAATTACAGCAGAAACTCAATAATCGTCTCCAATTGAATACTAACTCGTTACCCAATGGAACAACTTCTCGTGCAGGTACCTTGTACGAATCTCGTTCAAGTGTTTCTTCTCCATATGGAAGTGGTTCGTCGTTGAATCGATCCAGTTCGATACGTCGTGCATCCATTCGTGATCGTGAGAAAGTCAAAAAATTAAACGAGAATTTCTTCGAAGTTTTACAAGCGAGGGATAAGATTCAAGAAGATGTTGACGAAGGTCTAACGAACGGAGCATTGTCTTCTCCACCGCCGGCTAAATCATCTTCCAAAGAGGAACATACAAATAGTGTTACGACGACAACAGCAACCGAATCAACCGTTCGTGAACCGACAACAGTAAACTCTGTAAAAAAGCCGATGGCACCAGTCATCGAATCGAATCTTCCTCCATTGAAAGCACCTCTTCCACCTCCAATCAATCAAACGACTGCCGACACATTAAGTGACGTTAAACGACGACGTGAAGAACGACGTCGCGTTCTAAACAATGGTTTATCATCTAATGATCCTCCTACTCTTTCATCTTCTACGCTTCCATCTCCAGGAGCTGATACGAACCATAAAGACAATAATCACATAAAAATTTCCAATGGTATTCATACCTCAACAATTTTCGATACAAAAGACAGATACGCTTCACCAAAACAAGTCGAACTTCATCATGCAACAGGCGATGATCGAGAAAAACGCATTTGTTGTACTATTTTGTGATTGATTACAATACTATCTCTCTATCCGTCCAATCAATAAGTTCGCTCTTTCTTTGTCTTCCATATCAGACAGCAATATTCGATAGATCTGATGGCGCTACTTTCTTTCTCTCTTTCTCTTTCTCTCTCTCTCTTTTTCACATTCGTTCATCGAAATACAAAAATCTCTTTACATATACTTTCGTTTGTTTTTGTTCTTCTTTTCCATATAGCCGTTTTTCGTTTTTCTCTTTGTCAAACATTCCGTGCGTTTTCAGTTGAACTTTGTGTAAGTTACATCTTTGCATTTCCACATAATAACAACATTCCTTTCACTTCTCTTCTCGAGTACATTTGATATCGATCTTTTTCGTTTTTCTTCTCATGCGTCCTGTTCTAACTATTAACATACAGTCTGATATACCGAGAAAAGGATAAAAAATGAGAAGATAATTATTGCAATTTCTTGCGTCAATACAACAACAAGTCGATAATGTTTGCGTATGTTAAATGCAGTTCTCGCTTTGTACATTCGGCTTGATAACGACATTATTATTTCGGATGCAAGATTGCTTTGAATTCTTCGTAGGATACTTTCCCATCGTGGTCAAGACAATCAGCTTCAGAGATCATTTCTATCACATCTTCCTGAAATGTGACCAAATCTTAGATTATCGAATAATGAATGAGGGTAGCATTTACTTCAGTTATATGTTCACCAAGTCTTGCGAGCATGTCGTATAGTTCATCTTTATCGATGTAACCATCTTTGTTCTTGTCGAAAACCTGCGAGAAGATAATTTGAAATCAATGAAGTGAATAATAGAGAGCATTTACATTGAAAACTTTTTGTAATTCTGTTCCACTTCCACCTATTGATTTTCGCCTTTGCATCATGATCAGAAATTCGTCAAAATCGACACTACCATCACCTAAATTATAGAGGAAAACTCTTCATAATACTCGAAAAACGCGCGGTACTCACCATCAATATCTACTTTTGATATCACAGATGAAATGTCTTCGTGACTTGGCGAATATCCAAGTGAGTTCATAAGAGAGTGTATTTCCGAATTCGAGATACTTCCATCGCCATCTCTATCCAGTACCGAAAATGATTCTTCGAATACTAAATGAAAAAAGCAGACAAATAATTGTATTGAACATCTCGAATCAAATTTCACCAGCAATTTGTTCTTCGGAAAATCCATGTGCTTCACTTAGTTCCCGTCGATTTTTGCCAGTTGTTCGCTAAAGTACACGAAAATACATGAGAATATTTCATATCATCAGTTGTTCTTTCATTCAAGTTCGTTTCCTATAACCTACGATCAATACATAAGACGTCGTAGTCGTAACGGTATGTTTGTATGATATCGTACGTTCGTAATGCATGACAGAAACTGTTCTGCTATCAATCTGCTCGAATCATTCGAACTTGTTGATAAATTTCTTCTCTTGTTGTTGTTGTCGTGTGCATATGCTTGTGTTTTAACAAGGCTAGATTGCATACGTAGTAGTCGAAGAAAGTAAATCAAGATGGTTATTTACAGAAAATAGTCCATCATTGATTGTGATAGCAAAATGTAATATCTTTGTTTTCGGCTCTCTAATGTTTCTGACGTGCGCACGTCTGACAACAACACAATGTAGCGAGAAAATATTTGTACAAATCTTTTATGCCTGTAACCTTTCCTCTTTGCTGTTTATGTGCTTATCCAGACAGAAACTAAATTAAGTTTGTTCGTTTAATGAAATATTACTGTTAAGATGATTAAATCAGACGGGATCATCGACAGAAAATTAACTGAGTACATACGAAACGAAGTTGATGAAATACCAAAGCAGCAAGAACATCTTGTCCCTAATAGATACCATGTGTAGACGAGAACAAGTCGTCATCAATCTTATTTGTCATCTATATGATTTATCTCAGTTTTTCCAATAAAGTTTTCAATCTCCTCTTTCTAGCGAGCGAACTGTTTCTGAAGAACTTACAATCATCCAATCATCAAGAATTTGTAGATTAGGTGTTAATTGGTACGGATCTTCAATCAGTGGTCGACGTCGAGAATCTTCGAGTGTACAGGATTCGGAATGTTGAAGTATTCGCTGTTCTTCAGTCGGAGTTTCAAACGACGTAGAGTCATTCTCTTGTGAGCATAACGATGATCTCGACGATGAGGTGGGAGAGCCTAAGGTAAATGTCACTGTTCGGGAAGACTTCCTTGGTAGATGTTCGTCGTTAATAGCAAGATCAAGACCTTCTCTTGTCATTTTCGTATCAGATGTGCACATGCTGAATGAGACGGGTTTGTCATAATAGTCAATGATCATCGACTAGTTTTGATTGGTTCGGTAAGACAATTTCGATAAACGAATATGTAATCTTTGGATGTGGTTAATAAGATGGAAGAAGTTGAAGAGACAAAAGAATCAAAGATGCCTAACGTTAATCGAGATATAGACAATAGTCCAAATGGGTTAACTGTCGTCGTTGCTTTTATTGATTTACATCTAAAGTATTACTCGACATCTAGACATGGTAACGAAATAAAGAACAGTACCTAGAATGACGCAGAAGAGGGGGAGAGAGAGAACGATGTCGAAGATTTGCTCTTTCTTTTGTCAATGATTTGGCGAAGAAATTAGTTTTGCCATTGGCGTGTTTTGCTCTCTCTCTTCTTTTCTTCGATCTAATGGTAAACAGAATACAATTGCCTTCATAATGTGTGACTGTTTTTCTTATACAATTATCTTTGATCCAAAACATGACAATAACATGGAGAAATATTCTCGAATAGACTGCTAAGCTTGTATTGATTATCTTACTAGTCGATCGGGATTTATCTAAACAAACAACGGAAAGAGAAAAGAATTCTTTCGCATATATCGATCTATCATGATCAGATACTCAGCGCATCGAGTTATGGATTATTCGCGACTCGTGTATGTGTATCAAGTAGGTGATATTGGATCTGAAAGACAAACTCGAGTGATACAATGTTAGTTGAGATTCGATCTATAGAACAATTCAGTGTCTCGGTCAGTCAAAAATAGAACCGATCGATTGCTTAAATTTCAAATGAAAACAGTAACGCTGAAAAAGCGAATATTAATTGCTTCATTAGCTATAATCGAAGACGAATGTCGTCAACGCCATATAGATTCTTTTCGTCCGTATGTCTTCAAGTACTAAATGCAACAAAATGTAAACAATTAGATTACTGATATATTATTCTTGTAATTAGAATCAAAGTTGTAAGACAAAGATCGGGTCAACTTCGAAAATGATGCTGATAAGCATGTCAACGTTTGAGTACTATTATCAATCATCACGTCATTAGTTACTGAACGCGACTTGCAATCAAATCGTAATCATGAATTTCGCAGTGAAATATATGCTAGGATGATCTTTGGGTTGAAGGCATGGATCATTTGATAAGATCGAATGATTGTTGGAACCGTCGTTTTGACGCGACATCTGGGAATAGTATTTTCCCAGAGAGAAGAGAAGAAGATGCACACACGATTCCAATCGTCTACTGCTAAACCAGTCAGTCATTCAAACAAAACTATCGTGTGTGTGTGTTCTTCCTTTTTTCTTTTCTGTTCTTCGCCTGTCACACACAAACAACCAGACAAGTCAAAAGACGTGTTTTGATTGTTCTTATTTATTTTCTACATGAATTTTCTCTGGTATTTTCTTAACTTTTTTCTCCACCATTCTGTCGTTCAACTTCAATATACCGAAAGTTATGAGACTTCGTTCAACAAAACTGTCGATCTTTTCGAATTCGAGAATCTCTATGTAACGATTTTGGGTGCATTGACAAACAATGAACACATTCAAACTCTCAATGAGCACACAAATCGTTTGTATCGAGCGTCGGTTCATCAAGAAATCTACCTTGCATCTCAATCATTCATCCTCGACTCGAATCCACTACTAATCGCGTTGAAATTATGTGAAATTGGAAACACATCACATGCGAAAGCTATCATTGCCGGCCATGGTTTTGATGGAAATGATTTAACACTAACAGCAATTTCCTACGTCTCAGATTTTTATCATGTCCCGGTTTTAACTATTGCATCACGTGAAAATCTCTTTTCTGATAAAGTAAGGAACGAAAATAGACAAATTGAAAATGTTTATCAATGCATTTTTTAGGCATTGTATAGTTATATCGTTCGGCTGGTTCCACCGTATATGTACGAAGCAGATGCATGGTTTAGTATTCTTCGAAGTTTGAAATATTCCAAAGTGGTTCTGATTTACAGCCAAGATGAAGAAGGTCGAATGGTGGCATCGAGATTTCAAATGTTGACCGAAGAATCGGACATTCAAGTAAAACTGTTTTTTGTTAACATCGATTTGTTCATCGTAGTTTTCAGATCGAACGAACGGAAGAATATGAATCAACTGCGAATTTCACTTCAGTTATATCAAACTTAACGTCCGAAGATCGTTTATTATCACGTGTATTTATCATTCACGCCAAGTAAGAAAAAGTCTCAACAATTCTCATTCATAAATTGAACACTTTTCGTTGCTAGACCGGAAGATATCGATGAATGCTTATCTGCTATTGTACATCTACAGCATTTGAAGGGCTTCGTCTGGATCGTAAACGAACGTGCATTATCAACGAATAGTTCATTTATGTTCGATGGCCTACTAGCTGTTCGATTGCACAGTTCATTCACTGAAGAAAATCTTCTGATTGATGCAACGACAGTTCTGATTGAAACCTTCTACAAATTTATCAGTCACACTTTGTTCTGGAACGAGAAAAAACCGGCGATTAATTGTTCAACAATCGAACCTTGGAAATACGGCAAAGAAGTGTACAGGTAAAACCTTGGTCAGAGATGAGATTTGGTGGAAGAAGTTTGCTTGTAGTAAAATATTGGAAACTGATGTCGTGAATGGAACTACGGGAAATATTCAATTTAATGAAGAAGGCGACCGAGTTGAATCTTTATATGAAATCATCAATATTCAAAATAAACAGATGAAAGTCGTTGGAACGTATCGGACGAATACGGTAGGAAATATGATAATTTCTTTCGATCTTCATTTTCTTTTCTAGACTACTTGTCATAAAAGCGTTCTATGTCGACAAATCGTGAGTTTTAGCTGTCAAATGTATCTCGCACGATACTTCACCATTCATCCCCACCCTCTGTTGTGTGTCAATTTCACTGATTTCGATTTATATGAACAATCTTTCGCTAGATTGATAAAACGGAATTACAACTTGATGAGAATGATATCGTTTGGCCAAGCGGAGAGCGACGGAAACCAGATGGTATTCGAACTCGACGGAATGTTTCGGTAGGAGAGAAAAACTACTTTTTCTGCTCGTTAATGACATTTTTTGACGAATTCAGGTTGTCACAATTCATGAAACACCATTCATCATCGCTCGTGCTGGTAACGATTGTGAAGTGAACAAAGAAGTACCATGTCCACGTTTGAGAAAGAATGGTATGTGAGAAAAGGAACACTATTACCATCTGATGTTCATTTGTATTCCAGGTTCGGTCGTTGTTGGTCATGATGATTTCTGTTGTCGTGGTTATTGTATCGATCTACTGCGAGAATTATCAAAGGAATTAAGTTTTGTTTATACATTACATTTGGTTGCTGACAACAAATATGGATCGTTCGAAAAAGTAACGTGAATCGTTCGTTTGAGGTTCTATGTGTTGTCTGTGAGGGGGAAAGGACGTAGAAACTCTTTCGGAAACATTATTAGTGACATTTATGTTCATTAAAATGGTAATCTCTCTTTTGTTGATAATAATTTGATTAGCGTGAAGATTGATCGAAGTCGAAAGCTTGAAGAAAATAGGAAAATAGAAAAAGAAATAAGAAATCAATTCTGTTTCTCTGATATAGGACAAAGACGATAAACACAAACGATGGGATGGAATGATCGGAGAGTTAATAGGTTATGAAGCAGACATGATCATAGCTCCATTAACAATTAGCCCTGAACGTGCAGAAGACATTGAATTCACTAAACCATTTAAATATCAAGGCATCACAATTCTCGTTAAAAAGGTAGATTCGTCGATAAAACTATGTCAAGATGTTTATGGCAATGAATTTCACATGTTTAGAGCACGAATACATCGAATTTAGCATCATTTTTGCAGCCATTTAAGGAAGCATTATGGATGATGGTGTTATTGTCTGTACACGTTGTTGCTGTCGTTTTGTATTTACTCGATCGATTTTCACCGTTCGGTCGATTTCGATTTTCGCCACGACCAGGAGCAGAACGTGGCGATGGGCCAGTTATTGAAGCGAATGCCGAAGATGATGCACTGAATCTTTCCAGAGCGCTGTGGTTTACTTGGGGTGTTTTACTCAATTCTGGAATTGGCGAAGGTTCGACTAAAGCCTGAGATGACGACCCATAATACATGTATTGATTGTCTTCTTCTTTAGGAACACCCCGAAGCTTTTCTGCTCGTGTTCTCGGAATGGTCTGGGCGGGTTTTGCAATGATTATGGTCGCGTCTTACACTGCTAATTTAGCTGCTTTTCTTGTGCTCGATCGACCAGAAACAACTATATCTGGAATAAATGATGCACGAGTATGTGGTTACAGCTGTTTTTCCCTGTGTATTGTTGTTGTTTGTTTGTATTTTTAGCTACGGAATCCGCAAGATGGTTTTACTTACGCGACAGTCAAAGGTTCATCAGTTGACATGTATTTCAAACGCCAAGTTGGTATGTCGAAAAGCATTCTCAGCTCTTCCATGTTGAAATTCGAATATTCATCTTATGTTAGAATTCTCGACGATGTATCGGACGATGGAATCAATTAATTATTTAACTGCAGAAGATGCTATTGCAGATTTGAAAGCCGAGTAAGATTATAGCTGCAGAGTTTTACCAAGCAGGACAAGAGTTCGTTTTCTTCAGGAAGCTAAAAGCTTTCATTTGGGACTCACCGCGTCTTGAATACGAAGCAGCACAAGACTGTGATCTTATAACAGCTGGGGAATTATTCGGACGATCGAGTTACGGTATCGCGTTGAGGAAACGGGACGCATGGATCAATCCATTATCACATATGATCTTATCATTTCATGAAAAAGGTTTCATGGAAAGCCTTGACAATGTATGGATCTTTTCCAAGGGGTAAATTTCTTATTATTTTTCGCCGAAATAACCATTTCACATTGAAATCTTCAGAATGAAGCAATGCTCAGATCGTTCATCAACGCCAGCAACACTGGGTGTCAGTAATATGCTTGGTAAGAACATGTGTTCGATTTCGTTTTGTCAGATTTACTTGATTTTGAAATGTAGGAGTCTTCCTGTTGGTGGCTGGTGGTATATTTGCTGGATTTTTTCTTCTGGCAATCGAAATCGCATTCAAACGAAGAAAAGACAAACGAGATAAAGAAGTGGAAGTCTCACGAACTGCTTTGGTGCATTGGAGAAAGAAAATTGAGGTGGGTGTTTGTCAACATACTCTATCATTACAAAGATAGTCTCTACGAGAACAATCTCTGAGTCAAAAGCATAGCAGATTAATTGACATTTTTAACCTTTACAACACACACATGTCTATCTACGAGAGAATGTCGCGAAGTGCAGTAATTGTATAGTCTATTAACTGGATAGAGCTTTTAAGTGATACAAATGCAGTGCAAATTTTGTTAATAATGAGAATTTCAAATAAAGAAAATGTATGTCATGAGAATATATCAACAGAATCTTTCGAGCATCGGTACTCGTACGTGACAGCGATGCAAAAGGTCAATGAACCTTCAAGATTTTACATTTTGTCTCCTACACATTTTCTTTGTTTGTACCACGTTTATTAGTAAACAATAATCTGCTCGATTTGCTGTACTTCCTATCCGAGAGCATTATGTCGATTGCAGATGAATATAAATTGCCTCATCATGGAAAGATCGATTAATACCCTTTGTTTCATTTCGTTTAGAAGCGTCGACGATGTTCAACTATGTTTGAACCCGGTAATCAACTTCGATCGCTAACTGATACTGATTTGCATCGTAAGATGTCATCAAATCGAACAGATCAATATCGGCCATCGGATAAAACCAATAATACAACGATCTAATCTATTTTTATCGACATATCTTATTTCTCAACTAATCTTAGTCGACTTTTATTTTCATTGTCTGATAGTTTGGCTAAATCTTCTTCGTATCCGTACTGTAAATCTATTTCTCTAGCATATCTAAATAAAACAAAACTAATCATTCGATATTTTGTCATCTTGCCTTATGAAAATAAATACGGCATCAGTCAGCCATGTGACAATCGAGAACAAACAAGCCGATAGAAAGATATACTACGAAATAAATAATAAACATCAGCGCTACTAACATTCAGATAAAGAATGAGGATTATTGACAGCATATCCTTCTTCTCGGCCTTTTCCTCTCTCTCTCTCTCTATGTCCGCTATTCTTCTGCTCTTCATCAAGAACGAAGAAATAATATAAATCTATACGTAATATCTTACGCTACAAGTAAGCAACCGAACAATTCTATATCTATCTATCTCTCTGTACATCTATGCATTATCATCATTATCATCATGATCATCATCGATTGCTGGTTTACGTTCTTTATATGTGAGAGAGAGAGTATAAGTAGAACGATGCCATTCTAGTCAAACTAACCAAGAGAGAATTGTCATAATAGATCGAGATAGGATATATACATCCATCATCAACGAGCATACTTGAAGGAGAACGTTGACGATGATGACCGTGAATTGTATCACTTTACCGTCCAAGAGATTTCCATTTTGACTTCTCTTGATTATAATGATAAGAATTCATTCATTGTGATTATCAAATATCCAGAAAGAAAATTCTTGTTTCCTTTTGCTTTTCTCCACGGTGAGTGAAAAGATTTGCGCTTCTTATCAGATAAGACAATCATTATTTAGGTTCTTCCTTTTCTTTCAATGATAACCGAAACTCGACAAAGTCGTACACGTCTCCTTCAATATTATGAACGGCGTACTCGTCGTCGACATCATACTCTCGATAATGCAACTTTAGATAAATTTAACTTTATCTGTGTACCATTACGTCTCGATGAGGTAAAAGCTCTAAAGACTTGAAATTGAATGTGTTTTAATCGACTTATTTGGTAGAGACGTCTTGAACCATCATCATCTCAAACCAATTTACATGTGACATCATCGAAAGACTTTACAGTTTGTAAACCAGTTGAGCTATCCTCTCCTACACGCCGTGTTCGTTTTCAATTCGATAAAAATGATAAACACGAGCAAAACGATGATCGTTCAACGAAGAAATACTCAACACATCGTGTCGAATTTCAAATTCCTATACAAAAAGGTAGTGTCTTCTAGAAGCAAACCGCGCATTTCTGCTTTCCGTTTCTCATCAGAAGTCAATCCTTGGTTAAATGTCGATTGTTCCTCCTCATCAGCTAAGACACGTTCAATAACAACACAAAAAATCGACATCAACCACAACGGTCCAATCCACCCACCGAGCATGACATCATACACTGATCTGGTAATAGTATCTGCGAATGTTGTTTTTACTTGATTTAAATGTATATACTGCTGAAAGTATTATCTCTTCAAATTCAATTAGACACAGCTATGAAAGGCAATGATGATATTCGAACTGTCTGTTCCTAGTTTATATATTTGTTAATAGAATGCTATCTAGAGGCGATATGATACTGTTTGATTATCTAGTAGTATTATTCAACACATACATCTTGAGAAATATGATTGACGTTTTGTTTATTGTCAAAAATAGTATTCTCTCGCTCGCATTGATTCAATATAATTAATGATGTTGTTACGACGAAGTTTCTAAGAATCTTCCGAGTGGTCGATTTTGACTGAACTTCTATTGACTTAGAGAGGGAAAAGCCGAATGAGCATTGGGTGAAGAGGGTTCAAAATAAGATTCTTCGTTAGCCGTCTTTTTCTTGTTCTTCTTCTTCTTCTTCTTTCGTTCGTTCGTTCGTTTGCATGTTTAGTTGCGAGAACAGCATAAGCACGCAAGTCATCGCTATAGATCCTTTACTTCCGTCGGCAAGTAATTCTTTACTAGTCCTCCCTTCATCTCTCATTTTTCACAGTCGGTTGGTGCACCATCACACTCGACGGCAAGGCGAAGGAAGGCCTATCTCTCCAAAGCAAAAATAACAACACCGAATGTGCGGACGTTCTTTATTCGTCTTCTCTTTTGCTTTCTTCTTCCCGGTATTAGTAATAGTGGCCTATCAACATTTTTTTTGTTGGTAATATATGTGTCTGCCTTAGAAATCAAAAGGACAAACGAGAGATTGTGTTTTTCTCCTGCTATTCACTGACTATCAATTGATCAAAGCAAGTTTGATCATTACATTCAAGACCGTTGACATTTTGATTCCATTCCACATTGACAGCATGATCGCATCATAGACACAACTGTTGATTTATGGATAAACTACACAAAATATCATTACAAAATGCTGTTTGTCGTTGCCGGCAGGTAGTAAAACAATAGAAATAGTTATGTTTTTTCGCAATTAAGCTCTCTACATAGGTATAGATACATTGCAAAATGTTCCTTTTCTTATTCTTCTTGCTCTCTCTCTCTCTCGCTCGATGCCATGTTCTCTTCCACCTGCATGCGACTCTTTCGTTGTTTATTTGCTTAATAATTTCATGTCAAGACAAGCAATAAAAAGAAGTGATTTCTTTTTTCTTCTCCTCATTTCGATGTTTTTATATAAAACCTTGAGTGTTACCGTTGCCAGCGACTGAAGATCCGTTCACTCATGAAGTCTATCCGAGCATCAGGCCAGGTAAAAACTCTTACTCTTCATTTCGACTATTCCACATACAAACTCACTCATTGCAAGCATAACAACATTGTTATTACTTATTTGATCTATTGTCTTCCCTCAAACTGATTATTGTATAATAACTATCCGAAGATAGACAAGAACATATGTTCAGTGAACAAATGGTACAACGAGCTAATCGATTGACATTGTTTCTTTGTGCATTAGAAGACAGGAAGAGCAGGCAGCGAGCAGTCGAAGACGACTTGTATTGATTTGAGGAGAACATAAGGTATTAATTTATTATGTTTTGTTTTTCAGCCATCAACGGACGATTCGGACAAGACAAGAAGTCAGTGGTATAAAGAAATGTACTGCCAAATTCACAAACCACCGGAACACAGGAAAGGTAATTAGGAAAATCCCGAATAAAAATCGTTTTGTTTTTTTCTCGGGATAAACATTTCGAAAAACGATCGGAAACATTCGTCAAACTCTTCAGATGATTTAGATGTCATTCTTGTGAAATTACCTCTGACACATTCTCGTTATCGAGATTATCGTCAGCGACGAGGTTTGTTCCTGATCCAATTTTTTTTTCTGGATTTTCTACATCAATGGGCATGTCGCTTCCCATTATGCTCCCTCTGCTTTAATGCTACGAAAATGTTGAGTAAACTCGATCAACGTTCTCTCGTCTAGCGTCACTTCTTGTGATAGATTTGCATTAATTTTAATGACTTTTCGACATGACTCAGACCGAGTTGAATGGTTTATTGAAAACGTGAATTGGCGTAAATCTTTGTATAAATATTGTACGCAAACACGTTTTCTTCTGACGCATTGTTTAATTGCCTTTTTTCTTTCTCTTTATTTTATTCTCATGACCCATCGTTGTCTTTATATGTATCTATGGCTTTCATTGTTTAGAGTGCATGTCGTTATTTTCCTTTTTTTTCTCTTATGTTTCATTCGCTTGTCCGTATAGTTTCGAAATCGAACATGACGGAGATCATCGAGAGTTTCCGTTTGTTTTCATAGACGGACCAGCAAATCCGTATAAACCAACATATACGTTTCCGGATGAATACGATGGTGATTTAGAACGTATGGAAGATTATATTCGCAAATCAGCTGTGCCAAAGCTCAACAACGGCTCGAGTAAGAAGTTCTACGTGTACATGGCAATCAATCTTGATTATTTCGCTGTAGGAAATTTCTCCTCGTCACCTGTACGAACGCCAACGGCAACGGTTAAGTAAGAGATAACTAACAATAACATATATGTACATGTAGACACAGCTGAGATGATTGTTTTAGTGATTATCCAGCAAATGGAAAACGAAATCCAGAGAAGATAACGCGTTTCAGTGATCAATTAACTACTTCAAATACTTCTCCAACGATCGAACGAGCCAAACCTGTGAGTTATGATTAAAAAAAGATATTTACACACCGTCGACAGCACATATGTTCATTAACTCTTCTAGATAAATGTTACGATAGCATCGCCCGTAACGGTCAATTCACGATCAAACACAACTCATGCGTAAGTTCATCTGGTCGAGAAATATTAACAACCTTTCGGATTCTTACTCTCAGAACTCAACCACCACCGCTATCTTCTTCGTCAACAGATGATGAACAAAAATCCATTTACAAACGCGTGCTTCGCGGTGGAGATATACCACCAGTGGGTCTACAGAAACGACTTCCTAAGAATCGAGGTAAGCATATGGTTGTTGTTTTTTATCGTAATGTGAATAAGAATCTCGGCACCAGCTGTAATTGAAAAGAAATAGAAACAGACGAAGAAAAAAAGAAAGAAATCTAGACGCGAATCACTTCATTTCATACGTTCATAATGACAGTTTCATCTTCGTCTATACAACGTCCTTTAATATTATCGAATCACTCCTCGTCACCATCGGCGTTGAGATTATTTGCTTATTATGCCGTACATTGGGAACAAAATCAAAGTAGTCAATTGAAAGGTTTAATCAATAACGGTGCGCATATAGAAATCAACTCGTGTTTATATTTTCAAACTCAATCCCAACCTGTCAATCAGACCGATCTCGACGATGATGACAATGAATGGGAACAAACACGTGAAGATGGTTGTGGATATGTCATTACTTATCCTCCTCATATCCATCCAACCGATAATCTTCAAATCTATAATTTCGACCGTAAAAAACATTTTCTTCTCACATCGAACGATGTTTACAAAAAGAGTAAGAAACCGTTTCCATTTTTGAAGTCTCCTTTTGGAAAAGTTCATCAGATGAAGTAAAACAACAGAAAAGATCAAAGAGGTCCGTCAAAGTTCTCTCGTTCTTATCAGTCTATTTCATTGAGAAAGTGTCGAATAAATGCACTTAACCTTTCCATTAGTTACTCGTTTGCTTTCTCTTTGTTACATCGTGATCTGCTTACATCATATTCAAGAGACTTTCAATTTCATCAATACACGCACTCGACAATTTCTTTTCTCAAACTCGAGATGCTCGTCTAGTGTCCGATGAAACCATTGAACAGTAACATAAAAGAATATGCATACGCATACACATATTTATATTTATATACATACACTCGTCGTTTTTTTTATGATTATGAGGAAAAGAATTAGTATATGTCAACCTTGAGAGATAGTGAGAAGGCTCTCGTTCGGCCTCCTTCCATTGAAACATCTGTCTTGTATCGTTTGATATCCATAAATATAATGTGTGATTAGACACGAGGATAGAAGAGAAGTGTGTGTATAAATATAAGAGAGGAAAATGTTGCATATTGATGGACAGATTGCATAAATAAATCTGTCCTCGACAAGAAACAGTACGACAGCACGGTAAATCAAAAATCAATAAGAACGAGTGCTACTACTTGATTTTTCGAGACCAATTATCTCTGCTGAATAATACTTACACCTGTCATTTGTTTTTCTTCATGAAACCATGATACAATCAATTGATTTTTGTTTCGCTCACTCTCCTTCGAAGTAATTAATTACACATCATAGTCGAGCTTGATTTCAACGTGTGTAAATCTTGTTCTTCTCCCCCTTGTGCTTGGTAAATATTAAATTTCATCTCTTTTTTGTATTCAATCGGCTTAGACTCTTACAATTTTGCGTCATATTTTACGATGTGAGAGTAATATTAAACGAGAAGAAATGTCCGTACGTTTTACTCCTCTATCACTGTGACGGCTGAGTAGAAAGTGAAAGATCGCAGAATGTGTACATATGTATGCGAGATACGCTGATGACAAATCGGTCGATGTGTGAGTACACAGAGACAGTACATCAACATCACTGGCATACATAAAAAAAGGAACACTTATTGACACATATTTACATGAAGCAAGGCGTCGATAAGCAAAGAAGAGAAGAAAATCTAAAGAGAAATACTTCCACAATCAATGTGTATACACGACACGACGATTGTACATTTCTTTTGCTTTCTTCCTCGTCTCTCCCCTCCTCTGTTTTTTTGGGCCATTTTTTCATCTTTACTCTTTTTTCTCTTCTCTCAACGGTACACTGCGACGGTGATCATGGTGAGAAAGTCTGTATGGCTTTTTTTTTCTATGTACAAAAGAGAGAGAAAGAGAGAGAAAGAAAAAGAGAGCTGAAAAGTAATTAATGAAAAGAAGACAAAGAAGAAATAGTTAAAACAACTACCCGTCATCTACTCGTAGCATACCTGTACAATTAGACTGAGAGCAGGAACGATTATACTCGTAGTCAATTCAGTGTATCGATATACATACGTGTATACACACACACCTATCTATCCGCTTATGATACTTCACTTGTAGATATATAGACACAAACATTTCGTTTCGTTTTTTTTCTCTTTTCGTTTCTCTTTCATCACTATCATTCCTACGATTCAGTAGAAAAAAAAAACTAGGCGACAAACGTCCAGGTAGTACGCTTCTATATAACATATACGCTGGACCATCATCATATTACGAAGATTCGGATGAGCGCTTGTCGTCTATAATAATTGCGCGATCAACCGTATTGACACAAGAAAAAAACGGGAACAACTATTTTTACTTAATATCTATTCTTTCAATCGAAAAATGGCAAACAACAAAGATGTTGGTAACACCGAAGCTAGTAAAAATAATACGTCCGAACATGAAATCGATGAACTTGTTAATACACATATTGCTGTGGATACGCCAACGTCTTCTACTATCAGCTCAACTCGTACGAATAGTCCGCCGTTGATGGGAATATACGCTCGTTCAGCTAAACGTCGTGTCGACAGTGATTCAACTGTTCCAGTACGTGTCGATGGTACAGATACCCAAAATCAACAAACACAACACCATTATCAAAATGTTCGGCCGATTTCTGATGAGTCACAAAATCAATCGAACAACGAAAAACTACTAGAATCTGGCGAGTCATTCAGTGCCAAACGTGATTATTTCGAGCAGCGTTTTAAGACTCCTCCACCAACCTACGATGCACCACCGATACGAAAGCCATCTGCTCAGAAGATCATCACGACGATTACGACGACAACAACAACAACTGCACCAGTCGGCTCAAACGTTCAGGATCGAACCAGTTCGTCGTCCAATGAATCTCCCTCTGTTGATCGTGTTCTCGAACAAGCCGTTGAATTACAAAAACTCAGTAATATGAATTCATCGAAACCTGAATCGTTACCACCATTAGTTATCGAACGTACAGAAGAATATCAAGTATTTTTAAATGCTGTCAATCACGAAATCCGCCGCACGCCGAGTATTTCACGTACAACAATCGTACCAGCGAGTAAAATCGGACATGCAACTGATCTTGACGAAGCACAAGCTCATGCACAAACGGAACATTTAACTGATGATCACGAAGCGATACAACAATTAACTCGTGCACTTCAGGAACACAATGTAACGACTATTAACGAATACAAACGTTTACCATCTGTAACTACACCGTCGACTCCATCCGCGCTGCCATCCATGCTTCTTGTTGATAAAACTAATTTACCTGTCGTGTCCAATGAATTTTCTGTTATTGATGCTTTATTGAATAACCCCCTGGGATCTATTGATGATCGTTATAATAGTTTACTAAGTATACGTTACAATGATATTGTGAATAATCTGCATAATCCTGAATATTTGAATACAATTAAGCAATCGACGACAAAAACAAGTAAAGAATCGAAGAAGAAACCCAAGGAAAAGAAATCGAAAGAGACAAAATCGAAGAAAAAGCCTGCAAAAACAACCGAAACAGTAGAACAACCTGTCGGGACACCTCGTTTGGAAACTTCTCAAATACAGCAAGCTCAAACTACTGAGTCAATAGTTCCTCCTGTTGCCATTTCATCCGAACAAACACCTCTCATCGATCCTAAGGAAAAGAAAAAGCAAGACAAAGAGAATAAGAAACAAGCCAAACTGAAATCGAAGCAGAAGTCAAAGAATGATGATTATGAAGTCCTTGATGCGATTGTCGGAAGTCCAATATCACTTCGTTTGCCAGATGCGTATCTCTCCAAATATCACGTCAGTGCTCCATTATCACAATCATTTGTCTCTCCACCTGTTTCACCGTCCGTACCAGCAACAACGGCAACGAAAGGCAAAGCCGATAAGGGTTCAACTTCAGATAAAAATCAAACATTAAGTCACCTTGTCAAAATTGTCCATGAACTTCAATTACATAATGCAACTGCTTTAGTGGCTTCACTTAATTCAACATCACCGAAAACGAACACATCAATAGAAACGAAACAACCTGTAATTGCCGACAAAAGAACAGTACCTATTACACACGAGAGTGTTGAACAACAGCCTCTATTAGAACAACAAAAACGTCCCGTAATTCATCACACTCAAACAGAAGTGCGTCCACAATCAGAAGTAATCAAACCGCGTATCATTTATCGATATATCGATGAACATGGGCGTGTACTTAAAATCTCATCGACACCACCGTCGCAATTACGTGAGCAACCATCGCAACAACAATACACCTATCGTCAAGTCGAACCGTCCTACTTTCATGGCAGACACATTGCTGTTGACGACGAACGTCGTCATCCACTGCCAACATATGAACAGCGTGCAGCGTGGCAAGGCGAACCCAAACTGCCTACGACAGTTACACGTGAAGATTTCGAATCACGAGATAAGCGTGTTCCACACGTCAGCGAACAATCAGTTCTGAGTTCTCGAACAATTCCTGTCAGTGTTGATCCGGAATATCCACCCAAATCCCATTCATCCCATCACCGAACGTATCATTATCCCAATCCACAAAATGTTAAACTAGCTTGGCTACCACTCTCCTGTCAATCCGATCAACCCTATGGACCAAACGGTACAGTCGGTTATGATACGGACTCAACTATTAGCGAACGGTCAGCAACATATCGTCCATACGAGTATGGACCTGCCGATAGTCATTACTATCAATCTAATCGACCGTTACATAATGATTATTACTATAGTCGTCCATCAGGTCCATCCTATTATCCATCTCCTCCGCCAGTGCCCTATGGCGGTCGGGGTATATCTCCTGAATACGGTGGTGTACCTCGAAATTACATCGAAGTATTTCGTGGTGGTGATTTCCGTGAAACTAAACCAAGTGAAATCTATTCATTACCATTAAATGAACACATACGCACATCACCCATTACACCATCAAGTAATCGTCATTCACGCTATGATCAATATCAATCGGAAAGATACAGTTCAACACTGAATCGTAACAATACATCTTCCGAACATTCGAATTATTACCCTCAAACCTTACCTAGCTCACGCTATCAAACAAACATTCCACCGACAACTGTACATACATCTTCCTATTACTCACATCGTAGTCCGTATCACCATCGTACAGTTCAAAGTAGCCCTAATCCTGACTATCCAAATTTCGTTCGTCAATCGAAATCGTTCGACTATCGTCCGCTGCGTACTAAACTTCAACGCGAATATAGGATAACACCTAATCTTCTCGTTGACGAATGGGAATATCCTCGTACAAGTGATTCTATAAAATACTCGACTATGACAGCATCCAATACGAATCGCAGTGGTGTTTCATCGCCGGATGATGTTTTCACAACGAATCCATAGAATGAAACAACACCATGAAGAATACAACGAAAGAAGTAGAAAGATAAATCGCGAAAAAATAGGAGACTATGCTCAATTAGCTATCTTTCTCTACTTATCGTGTGTATACGATTACATTGATATGTTTTCTTTTTCTCTTTTGCGATATGTTCTTATCTAGATTTATCGATCGTTACCGATTATTTTTAAACAGAATAGAAAGACGATGCTTGTTTTATCGTAATAGGCATAAAACCTTTTTCATAGACATCATGTTATGGTTTACGCATATGTGTATCCGTATACGTATCGAGCGCATATGAAAACGAAATGTGTAAGCGGCCGTCTCATTAGAAGTAGATGCACATCTCCAATAGAATGAAAGAAACAAAACATCGAGTGTATAATATATGTATGTGTTACGTCGCGCGGTTTGATGAAGATACTTATGTAATCTCTCACTTGTCTTAATTCATATTGAAATAGTTACCATCGCCTACTGTATATCCAAGTAGATGAACAGGTATATATATATGTTTTTCTTGAAAACTTATATAATCATCTAAATGAATAAATAAATATTGATGTTAAGACACAAAAAAAACGCAAGGATATTCGTGTCTATTAATTTGTATTCAAACGTAGTTCTGGCTAAATAATTAGAACAGATGTGCGTGTATATACAGGATAAATTGCAATCAAATGCAATGATGTTCTTAGATTTGTTAATCGAATAAGAAGAAGAAGAATTCTCATTAAAGATCAATATTTTCCATCTTATAGAATTTCGCTGGCATGTCGGTAAGTAGATAGGGAAAAATACGTAATGACTTTCCCGTCTGTACATTCTTCGACATTTTATGTAGAGCCAACTATTGGCTTTGATAAAAATCGATCAGGTTTTCGTAAGTGTGTTCTATACATTTTGTAACCAACTTCAATGAAAGCAAACAAAGTGCTTTTGCTTTCTTTTGGAAGTCACGTCTAAATTTACCACCTGAATTTTTAATTATCGCAGTTTTTTTTTGTCGTTATATTTAGAGAAATCTTTCGAGCAAACGAATGAATCAAGCAAACGGAATGATTCAAATAGTTTACCAAGGTAAGCAAATGATTGATTTCCATTCGTTGACAGTGTTGATATTTTCTTTTAGTCAACCAATTCATACTGCACTTGCTCTATACAATTTTCAAGCTCAATCGAACAGGTTCGCTTGAATGGATTTGTCAACTGGTTCTCGTGAAGAAAATTCATCTTTCTTTCAGAGAATTATCGTTCAAAAAAGGCGAAATGATTGTTGTCAAGCGTCGTGTCAACGACGATTGGCTCGAAGGTGAACATCATGGATTAACAGGTATATTTCCTGTGAATTATGTGGAATTATTTCCTTATGAACACGCTAATGACAATGCGAACGGTGAAGGCATTGTTAAATATGATTATAATCCTCAAACACCACTTGAATTACAATTAAAGAAGGTAGGTAGCTGATTTTTAATATAAAATCAATTGAATTCAATGAGATTGTTTCTTTTATAGGGCGAAAAAGTCATTCTCTTACGTAAACTCGATCAGAATTGGTATGAAGGACGAGTTAATCACACTGAAGGAATCTTTCCAGGAGATTATGTGGAAATAATAACGGAACCCGAAGGTATGTCACGCATGTGACTATTAATCGGATATCATTCGATTCATCTCTAGAACACCCACCGAAACAAAATGATTCTCCAGTAAATAATCTCAAAGCACCCAAGAGTGTCTTGAAAAACTCGACTGGACCGAAAACTGCTTCGGATTTTACCATTCCGATGCAAAAGTAACGCACGCTGACTAATTCTTCTGACTAATTGTCATGATTCTCTCTCATAGGTGCCAAGTGCTTTATGATTACACACCTCAGAATGTCGATGAACTCGAAATCCATGTTGGAGACATCATCAATATTCTCGAAAAATGTGATGATGGTTGGTACTGTGGCATCATGGAGAATTGTGCGCATGGAAATAACATGAAATTCGGTACATTTCCAGGCAATTACGTTAAAATCTTACCTTCTTAAAGAAAACACTCGACTCGGACTTATAACAGTGATGCGCAACGTGCTTGATCGTTTTATTTTTTGCTTCTTGCTTTAACGGCAGTATCTTTCCGTTGGTTTTCTCTTGTATATCTCTAGTCGGTATCGAAATTTTTAATCTATTCTAAAATAGAGATCTATCTCACTGAAAACTGATCTGCTTTCGAACGTAATCGTCATGTGTCATTCAATTGCGAACAAAAAAAGTAATTCGAACGTGTTTATTTTGTCAACACCTTCGCTTTTAACATCGGACTGAGGAGAAATCCACACCTCGAGCATCGCTCGAAGGAAACAAAGGTCAACCACTCACGATGGAAATTATGTTTTTCTTTCAAGTAAAATCGAACGCAAAAAAAACCGTTTGTGAATGTTTTCAAATCACATTGAATAACTAATTAACTAAATAAACATGTCGAACGAATGTGAATATATATATATCGGCATTTTGGCGAAATAATAATCTCATGTTTTTTTTCATGCTCTCGTCAAGCATTGATGGCTCTTGAAATATATTAGAAAATTCATTTACCGAATGATTAAACATTTCATGTCGAAATGACGACGGCAACAAGTCCGATTATTCGTAAGAGCATCCAACTTTTTCATATCGACTGCTGACGGCATGTTTTAGGTGAGAAACCATTGATTAACTTGAAGTCTATTTGCAAAAATGCATCATTGAAATCGACATCGCAATCCGTTCTACCAAATTATCCATTAGTGCGAAAACGTCATACGAAAAAACGCGTACGGTTTGAACTGAAATTAGAATCGGTACAAGAAGAAACATCATCAATAGTAAACAAAGAGAGTCCGATCGCCGAACCAACGACTCGATTTGTAAATTCCTGGCATGACAATAAACTACTACGCAATGCTTATATCAAAGCATTAGACAAAGCGAATACACCAAAACGTATTCTATCCGAAGCCAAACGACCGTCTCGACCTTCGTTATCGCCTCTTCCCGATGAAGGCAATCCGCTCTACTCACGATCATTTGTTGTCGATCTGTCCTCGACAACAACATCGTCGTTTTATCTGCCCAATATCTCTCAACGGCGAGCTTTGACGCCAAAGAAATTCCTGAGTGTCGAACGACAGCATTCGGCGACATTTTTCGATTCGTCTCTCAAACAACGCCTACATTCAGCCACTTCACCGCGAAGATCGGTGAATCCAATCGGAGATAGAAAATTCTTCTCTCCGATTGTCAAACGAATCGATTTAGCATTACCTTCAATAAAAGATTTAAATCCCAACGAAAGACTCATTCGAATTGACAATTGTTCTCAATTGAAACTGATCCACGACTCAACACAAGCAAAAAAACACCCTTAGAACAATGTATACATATCTTTGCTCATCAAAATAAACTTCAATCGCTCTCATCATCTTGCATTTCATGATATCTAGAGACAGCATTAGTAAACTAATTCATACTTTCCTTAAGTAACACTCGCAACCATTCTCCTCTTTCGTTCTGCTTGTTTTTCTTCTAGGTTTAATTAAAAGAGAGCATTCGACAGGCAGCAGCAGGACGTTAGTTAGAGAACGAGAGAAAAAAAATAGAAATAGGAATGTTCAAGACAAACTAAATAGAAAGGGTAGGAAAAAATTTGGATTGAACTTCACGAGAAAACGACTGACTATTCCAATGAAGAAAAAAAAAGGATTTTCTTGTCTGATTTTGATCATAAACAGTCATGCACCTCCTACCCGATTCAAAAATCTTTCCTCTAACCTTCATTTAAATTGATAATTTCTTGTTTTTTTCTTCTATACTTTAAACATCAATTCGATGTTTTTCTTCCATATGTCGAAGTTTTCAAGTGAGCTAAAGCGTTTTTATAATTTCGTGTTTTTCTTCTGATCAACATCGAGTAGCACTCGAATTCATCGATTCTCTATGAGCGAGATCCATCGAGTATATTTGCGTTACTCATTTTATGAATATATAGAATATTGCTCCGGCAATCGAAAATAACAGGGTCTCATGCTAAGTCGTATGTCCCGTCCGATATCAAGGACGTCACAACATACTACAGCTGCCGTGTATGTGTTTTTTGAGGTTTATTGCATACATTTATACAAACATTTTGCTTATGAAAAAGAAGCAACACGAAGTACAAAACGATTGTCAGACAATTGTCGGTTTTTTCTGCATTTGTGTTTGCAAGTCTGTATCTGAACAACTTCTGAGTCACCATTGGGGTAGTTTAATGGGTTATTAGATTCTTTTGTCATTGTTCAACTTTTTTTCCCCTTCTTTTTCTTCTTCTTCGCTTTAACTTGAAGACGAGTGAACTTCGGCGAAACATCTTCGCCTGTTATTACTTAGGTAGAAGAGCTTTCTGATCTTTTCTTCTTTCTTTTAACGTTTCATTCTTTGTCGATTTTGAATATGCGCGAGAGAGGAAGAATAAGAACGAGCAAAAGAGCTACAATGCGGATGCATGCTTCTGTTCTAGTCACTCAATGTGAGGTGGATAGTGATGAGGAAATACTGCCGTCCTCAGCTTATTCTAACGACAAGTTTAAAGAGAAAAAAATGAAAAAGAAGTGAGTCGACCGTTGTTAGACATCGATAAAAAATACAGGGAAGGAAGAAAAGAAGAGAGGAGAAAAATGTTTGAAACGCACTGTTCGACGATTATTAGTCACATTGTCAAACATGGAACCATTAACGCATCAGAGATAAAATGACTCAGTCGCGATACTATTTGAACAAGAATCTGTCAATGATCAAATTTTTTTTTCTCTTTCCTCTTCTTTTGTTGCAGATATCGTGCAATTTTCAAACCTAGTCTTCGACAGCGGCAATATTCTTTCTTTTTCAAATGGCTGGAATTCAAAAACTTACTCTCTTTGGTGGAGCTGGTATTGCTGCCTTCGCTCTTTTACTTTTGATTATCAGTGTAGCTACACCTGCATGGCTTGACGACGGAAATGGCAATACGATCGGTCTCTTTCGAAAATGTGCAGCTACCAATGGATCTGCGAATGTTGATTTGGGTTGTCATGGAGAAAATCGTGTTACTCAAGGTGGCCTATCTGTATTTGGTCTTTTACTACTTATTTTCGCCATATTTGCGACGATCGCAGCAACATTCACAAGAAATGCAATGCTTTTCTTAGTTTCACTCGGTTTAATGTACTTTTCGTCGATGTTTGTCATGTCTGCATATGCCACATGGGGAAGTTACTCGCGTGATCCCAAATCATACCTTTTTCCCGATACATCCTCCATAACTCGATATACAACGATGGGTTATTCTTATAATTTATGCGTTGCTGCACACTTCTTTCTTTGGTCAGCACTAACATTAGTTGCATTTGGCATCGGTCATTTCTGGGGCTCGGAACGAAATGCATCAGGCTAAATGACGACGGATTTTCCTAGTTCATTCTCAAAATGTATGCAGACATATAAAACTTCTTCTTTACCTTCATATATTCAAATATTCTCGTTCTTTTTTCATCGCTGAGTTGAAAAAATGAATGTCTGATCATTCTTTCTTCTTCGTCGTATACACTGTTTTTTGTGTCATTGATATTACAGTCTTAGACATAGTTTGAAAAGACAAGTGACACTTTGTGATATATGTCAGTGAGATGAAACTCAATATGTATTTAGTGCAACCGTTCTCTGATTCGATGTTCCATTCTTCTTCTTTTTTTCATCTTTATTTTTAATCCATGTGTACAAGTGAACAAATCCATTGCTTTTCAAATATAATCATGATATCTTGAAGAGATTTTCTCGTCAATGGATGAAATCCGATGGAAGCAATGTGTTTGCTAACAAAACATCATAAAAAAGAAAAGAAATACTTCTTTTCTTTTCTTAGGTAATGCGATATGTCGAGTTCGCAAACATACGTTGTAACACAGTAGAATATCAAAAGTCATTTGACTAATTTAGACAAAATGATATCAACGAAAACAAATGACTAACTTGTATTTCCCTGCAATAATGCTGGTATGTTGTGAATCATTCTTTCAAACATGCGTAGATGAATCTCTAATAACACACATCACGTGATAAGTTATGGTCATCATAACATAATTTAAATTTAGTAACAATGATAAACAGTTTTCTCTGGAAGAAAGTATCAAACATTGATCAAAATTCTGTTGAAAGCAACAATAAAAACAGACAGTATTCTTATCTCTACTGATGATCCAAATTATCTCGGGCTCTTCAGTGATATAATACAAAAAACAGTGCGTCAATCTTTGTCATTTTTTTCTATCAACATCTCTTCCTCGTTTTCTTCTCCATCTCTCTCTCTCTCTTTCCCTCATTTGGCCACACCATCGCATCAACAGCCATCACAAAAAAAACAGACAAAGCACAGATATGTCTATTTCTATGCGTGTATATGTATAGCGTGACAGAAGTCTGATGCCGACAAAAAGATAAGCGCAAGTCAGTTTCCCTTTTCATTTGCCAACGAAGAGTTGTTCCTTTTTGTATCGTTTTTCGTCTCACACCATCGAGTTCTTCTTATCTCGTTGTCGTCTTCTTTTTGTTTCTTCATCAAATCCTCATTTGTCTTGATTTGTATAGTTTCTCTCGTCTGTTTATCCTGTCTTCCGATTGCAGGTATCATTAGCATCCACGAAGTAAATATCCTATAGTATCATCTTCTAATTGAATTTTACAGTCTTATATACAATTGTGTCATTTATATTACGTATATAGATATACATACATCGATGGTGTAGACTAATGTTGAGTAATGGCCATCGCAGATTGTTCACGAGAAGGAGAGAAAGTGTTTCTTTTTTTCCCTTCTCGCTATTAGTTAGTTTCCTTATTGTTTTCTGTGTTATCAGTATTTCGTTTGACTTGTTTGATTGCTCGAGCTCGTACGTCTTCATCAACTCATCAACTAGCGAAATGTCAACACACTCTCCAAGTTAGATATGGAGCAAAGAGAAAGAGCCAACCCCTCATTCTTTATCACTTCTTCTAGATGCACAGTGGGCGAATAGACGTATATGATAATCAAGTATGTAATAGTATTGAGACAAATGCGTGCTCTGTCCGTTTTTGTATGGAAGATCTACCCGAAAGAGACAGAACTTGTCTTTTTATATTGTTTTCGACTTCTCTGTTCGACTGTCCTGGTCAACAAAGTCGTTTTTGTACCCGAATTGATTTTTTAAGAAAAACTTCGCTATAATTACATTTTGATAGGAGTGCGCGTTCCCATTGGCAGAAAAGAAAAGGGAGAAAAATGGCAAACGACTGATGTCGATACTCGTTTGCAAGGAAGGGAACGAATGATAACGATTGTCAAGTCATTCGATGGAGAAGAGTGTGTGTATTTCCTCAAGCTAGCAAGCAGGAGATAAACAATCTATCAGATGACGATGATGAGTCGTCGTTGTCGATGATAGTGGGACGAGCGAGCGAATAGGAAGGAGAAAAGAGAAAATCGACTGGCTCANGAATGTTTCCAACTTTACAAGTGAAAATTTATGGAATGGATCCGACGGCAACTTATTTACTCATGGTTGATTTTATTCCATTAGATGACAAACGTTATCGTTATGCATTTTATAGGTAAGACAGAAGAGAAAGGAGATTGATACGAAATGGGATTTGTTTTCGTAGTTCAAGCTGGGTAGTTGCGGGCAAAGCCGATCCACACTGTCCAGGTCGCTTTCATGTTCATCCCGATTCACCTCAGACAGGTTCGGCCTGGATGAAAAATGTTGTGTCATTCGATAAATTAAAACTAACAAACAATCTTCTCGACGAAAATGGACATGTAAGACACTCTTTCTTCAAGGTGAATCGTCTGTCCACACATTTGTCTGTGTAGATTATTTTGAATTCCATGCATCGTTATCAACCGCGAGTTCACTGCGTTTACTCTCCATCGTCGAAAAATGATGAATTACTCGTTCAACAAACTCAAGCATTTCGAACGTTTACATTTCCGGAAACGAAATTTATCGGTGTGACTGCCTATCAAAACCATCGAATTACTCAATTGAAGATTGCTTCAAATCCATTTGCGAAAGGCTTTCGTGATTGTGATCCCGAAGATTGGTAAGCTTTGACTACGAACAGACAAGAAAAGTTCTAAAATTGTTTGTAAAATTCACAGTGTTGCCGAAGTTTTAAATCATTTGAATTCGAACCAGCGATTGCTTCGTTCACATCCAAAATCGAGCAACAACTCATCTTCATCCTCATCCTCATCATCAACATCAATAAATCCTCCACTACCAGCAATTACATCTCAACCATCATCGAACGTATTCAATACAGCTGCTGCAGCGATCACCTCACGTTTCATCTCCGATCCTCAAGGTAATCTCACAAAAACAGACTCCTCGCATACCGAATCCGAGCTTCATTCTAGATCCAACTGTTAACTTTATTCCTCCTTCCGCCTATTCATTAGTCAATCCCGACTTGGCGAGTTACGCTGCTGACGCATTTGTCTACTCTCAATTGTCTGACTTGAACTATCGATCGATGAATGAGCCAACTTCATCATCGAATAATCATCATCCGACACGAATGAGTCCATATGCACGGCAAACGTTTTATCCAATGTACACTCAACGTGATATTCATTCACCGTCTCGTACAACCGCTGATTATGCTTAGAATTGGGAAGAGCGAGACAAGGACAACTTTCTGATTATTCTCTCTGTGTGTTCAATTCATTTTCTTTTAGTTTGACTCAAACAAAAAGTCGACTCTTCTTGTTGTGAGCGTTTGGTCAGATCAAAAATACATTTTTTTTTCTTCTTCTTCACTTCGTTCTTTTGCTTTGTAAAAATAAGAGAAAGCTAGAATACTGACAAATAAATTCATCTTTCGTTTTCGATTTTTTTTGTTTGAATCAAAGAACAGCATGTCTCATCATTTCATCTTTACTAAATAAAATTAACTTTCTTCTTTTCTTCATCTACAATATCACACGAGCGGCGTCTTCTTCCTTGATCTACATTTGTCTATCGAGAAGATAAGGAACTGAATGTGTATGTGTGTGTGTGTGTATATGTTTATGTGATGCCTATCTGTCATGATTAGTACTGAAATGTGCACGCACATTGTGATGTGTTTATGTATATCGATATCATTGTGTGAGTACAAAATAGACTAGAATCAATTAGTTGGCAAGAAATCAACGTTCGATACTAATTGAAGTTTGATTATTTTTCTGTTTGATAAATAAACAATTGAAAAAATATCAAAGATGTGATTAGGAAGGAGTTCATCGAAAATAGAATGTTTATTCTTCTGCCGTCGAAAGCAAGAGCATGTCATTTTTCTTCTAATTTTTATTAACGAAAAGAGCATTTAAAAAAACATTGGAAAAAGACAACTGTATTTATCACACACTAAGTTCAGCGATTGAAACGAGACACTTCGCTCGTTTATTCATTTCATTAACGAACATATTATAAGGCATAATTGTTTCAATTAAATAATTCTGTTCGTGATTTCCCACAAAACGATTGAGAGAGTATTCGATGGGTGACGCGATCTTCCATGAACGTAAACATGGATAGTGTTCGCCAATAAAGGTGGCAGCTGCTAACTGTGTTGTCAGTGAATTTGGTCCGCGAACGCTTAAACATTTCAATGTTGACAAACGTTGACAACAAGCGATGAGCTCGAGATAGTCATTCGATGAGAATCGATTGTAATCGAGATCTAAGACGACAAGACGTGTTTGTTTCATCAGGACGATTAGTAGTGTACGCATGAAGCGGTTTAAACGATTCGTGCCTAGATCCATATGTAGAAATTGATGGCGAGTACTTAGTTGACTTAAACTGAGCAGGTCATTTTCACAAAGAGAACAGAAATCTAAATTTAGAATTTCCAATGATTGTTCAATGGAACTTAATATCCGTTCAAGTCGGTCAGTTAATGGCGAGCCACTCAACGAGAGGTTCTTTAGATACTTTAGTTGGGACAAGACGTGACAGAATTGATCTAAATCGTCGTGATTCAGACGAAAGTCGATGAAATTGCAAGACAGATCCAAAGTATGCAATTGCGTTAGACTAGGTAAACGGGGAAGAAAGTACTTGAAATTTTGTCGTGTTAATACATTATAAGGCACGCGGAGTGTATGGACAAACTACAAGGAAGAAGAGACAAGTTTTTCTATGGCGAAGTGTGCAGAGTTTTACTCGTTTATCAACGTGATCGAGGAAACTGCTCACGAGAGCTAAACCGATGCATCGCATATCGATTGTACAGATTTGTAGTTGAATATTTGGAGTCGAAGAACGAAGTGCTGAGAGGAGCTCAACATAAGTTCGATAGTCTTGAATGATGCAATCGAATCGAATTATAATCTGATCGGTCGGATACGAACTCGATTTCGTAAGATCTTCAGTCGAACGAGCTAAATTACAATCGGTAAACGTTCTTTTCCCGCGTTTTAACAAGTCTCATTCGTACCTGTATTCGTAGTGACTGCTTGTTGTTCAATTTCGTCGTCTTCTGATCGGAGAACAGGCAATAAGTGTTGGTGCTGTTGATTGTAAATATCGATCAGCTGGTTCCGTTTGGTTTCTTTTTCTGCCAACCGGCAATGCGTAGAAATGTATCGGATGATTAATTCAACTACAGGAAAGTTCGTCACGTCAAGGATACGTATATTTGAGAGAGGTTTTTCGTTGAATTGCATCTGCTGTTGGCGAATCGAATCAATAAATCGAGGGATAATAATCACGGAGTATTTGATAGCTTGTTTCGTTCGTTGTAAAGCAGTTTTCTCACAGAGTAACATTTTCAAGGAAGTTAGTTTTTTCTTCACGAAATTTTCCAAACGAAACACTCGATGTGGCCATCGTGCGATGAGAATGTTGATGCATGAATCGTCATGTGTCGAATTCAATGCTGCACTAAATAACGGATCAAACAAGTCTTTTGGAATGATACGACATGCACGTTCTGTTAAATATTCGCTTTGTGCAATTTTTGAGCAACATATATCGAGTAATTTCTCTGGTTGAGATTCGTTTTCTTGTCGATAGGGATGATCTTCATCGTCTTGATAGTTTATCTGGAACGATGCGCCATTACGAAAAAATAAATAGGAAAAGTCATTCGCGATTGCAGTTGATTGCTGTTGAGACATGCTTCGATCTAGTTCATTTTCAATGCGACTCTAACCATCCAGGCATTGGATTCCATCAATGATGATTCCATACTTTGTTCGATGATTTCCTATTGGCTAATAGATATTCACGGAAGGACAAGAATAGATCGTAATGGCGATGGATACCATTGCATTGTGATCGTGTTATATGTTGAGAAAAACATTCGATTTATGATTTTTTTATATGTTCCGACAGAAAATTAGTCAATTGAGGCATTTTGGTCCTGTCATTGTTATCTTACTCATCTCATGGATGTAGGTATGAATAAATATAGACTATGTAGGATGACATTGTTCTCTCTTTTGTTTAAAACGTACTATTGATAAGAAGATTAAACACGAATGTATTTTGTACATAGAAATAATTGTCGTTCGCTGAAAGAATAAGAATGTTTACTCTTAATGTAGTGCAAGCAATGGATTCAATTGTCTCCGGAAGTGGTTTCCATGGGATTTACATAGTCCGTTGAGTGTAATCAACTTTACGATAGCTTGCTTTTGGTTTCTACTGGTTTTATACAACTACTTTCAATGTATTTTTCTTGGGCCTGGTTTGTGTTACAATGCAATGAAGAAAACAAGAGTGAATGAATGCTTTCATAGGTTATGTACCAACCAACTGGCGACCAAATTTGATAGAACATGAAAAATATCTTCAATATTGTAAGTAATTAGTTTTTCTATTCACACGCAAACACTATCATTAACTTTCTAGGTGAAATCTGCCAAAGTTTCAAAGTACCGCGAGCCCACCATTGTCGAACGTGTCAACGATGTGTATTGAAATTCGATCACCATGTAAGTTCGCATAGTACAGAGCACTAATCTTGTCATAGATTGATTCTAGTGTCCGTGGATAAATACATGTCTTGGGTATAAAAATCATGCTTGTTTCTGCTGGTTTTTGTTATCATCTATTCTTGGTTGTATTCATGCTTTATTAATGATTTGTCCATGTGTTTATCGGGTGCTCTTCATGCCGTATATGCCATGGAAAAACGAACCAAGGATTGATTTTACAACAATAAGTTTAATGTCATCGATGCTTTCAATCGGACTGGCTATTGGTGTCATTATTGCTGTTAGTATATGGATTTGCACGAACATACTCATTTCGTGTTTCTAGTTAGGACTTCTGTTGCTGATTCAATTGAAGAATATTGCATGCAATCGAACGACGGTGGAAAATAGGATTATACGGGAAGCAAATGACCGACATCGAGAACAATTTATTTATCCATATGATCTTGGCTTTCAAGAAAATCTTCGTCAAGTGTTCAACTGGAAAGATTGTTTTCGATTAGTTGGAGACGGTCTCACATGGCCTGTACGTTCTGACTGTGATCAGTATACATTAACACGTGAACAACTTGAACAAGAAGTAGAACGTCAACAACAAGCTGTTCGTTACAAAGCCATCCGATCGTACGATGGATCATTCTTTCCATTAATTTACGGTTTACCTACATGTATTCATATTCCATATTCCATCGAACCACGTCTTCGAATTAGTCAGGGTGATTATCTACTTGTGACACGTCGGCAGAACTATTGGTTGTATGGCAAATTTCTCATGGCTAACCAAACGATGACTGGATGTCGCGGTTGGTTTCCACGTTGCTGTGTTACACAACATCTTGGCACGAAGAAGAAGCTATCATAAGGCACACAGCAAGGTATGTAATACTTTGCTCGATCAGAAGTGTTTTTTCGCCATTTTACAATTTTGATAAATTGTAAAGATGAAAAAAAAAGCGTTTAATCATCGATTTCATTCGTGAGACTTGTTCGATTCGACATAGTTATCGTAATACATATTATAAACTGTGCAAAATACGGAGCATTACCAGTGCGAGTTTCGTTTGTTAGACAAGCGTTTCGATTGCCAAGTTCTTTCAGAGATCCAAGTCGACCTCCGCCTCTTTTTAGCCATCATCATGGATCTATTCACTATGCGATCTTGTCTTCAAGACATGGTTGAAAATCTAGGTATTGATATGAACTCGATCCAATGAAACTTTGCATTTTCCATTTATTCGAACATTGTTGTTTCTCCTTATCTTCTAGCTTGCACATAATTCGCGTTCGCGTTGCGTTTACGATGTAAATGTACATTTATTTTCGCGTCTACTTCGCGTTGACTTTACACTTTAATACGTGTTTGATCGTTACACGCAATCGCTGATGTTCATGACGATATGTACACAAGATGACGACTAATCATGCGCTACAGACATCGACTTGATTGATTTCCACCAAAAACAACACTAATATGCGAATCATATCAATATTTGTTTTCTTATTTTTTCATGTAATGTCGTGATTTTTTGTTTTCGTTTTATCTTTTCATATGTGATCTGCTCGTTCCGATTTCCAGCGTTTGTTACCATTGTGTCTTGAAAAGTCGAATAACTGAACGTATCACTCTGTTGCGTTTCGCTTCTTTGATACTTTTGATATAATTGTTTTTCTATTCTGAAATGCAGATACGAACGCACACGATGACTGATCCAACTAAAATAGTGAAAACCAAGTTATTTATTGGCAATCTCGATCCAGGAACACAACCAGGTATATAGTTCATAAAGATCTCGTTTATTTTAATCAGAATTTTGAATTTGTTTTAGACGAACTAACCGAGTTATGTTCACCGTATGGTACTGTGCTCGAAGCGTCGGTGATAAAAGATTACGGCTTTGTGGTAAGGAAGATGAAAGACATTTCGTATTCGTTTACTTTGTGCGTTGAGTAGCACTATGGTTCTATGGAAGAAGCTGGAAAAGCAGCATATGCTTTAAATAACCGAGATTTTCATGGAAAACGATTGCGTGTTGAAGTAAGTATTTCGATAGGATATTTTTGAATCTTTTACTGATTGGAATCGTTTTGCTTAGCTTTCAACGAGTACAGTGCGACATAAGCCTGGACAACCAGAACCTGCAAGTGCTTTAAAACAGTAAGATAGGCTATTTTCGAATACAGCATCTACATGTGCTAGATTTAGTTCGCGCGGTCGTTCCGGACAGAAAGGCAACAGCAACGGTGCATCTCGATACAGTTCAGGTGCACCGAGCGGTGGCGGCGGTCCGATGCGGCATGGCTCTTTATCTTGGGCTAGGAATGATGCTCGTCCATACAGCGGTTATCCAGCTAATCATGGTGCCTACGATCGACTTCGTCCATATGATATGCGACCAGATTCACGTCATTATTATGATGATCGACGCGAGAGTAGTTATGATCCACCGGCTTACTTCGGTGGCAGTAATAGTGATTTGAATGAAGGACGTCATTATCGTGATCTACCACATCCAGATGACTACGGCTCAAGCCGGTAAGTTGTGGCCACTTTTGTTCATATCGACAACGATGACTACTACTCAATTTCTCATAGATCATACGATCGTCATCCTGCCCCACCACCTATCGATCCTTATTATAGTGGTGGATTACCTCATGGTCCTCCGCCACCCATGGATCATTATCAAAACTATGACCCGTACCAAAAATACTACGCGAGTCGACCTCGGGATCCCGAATATCCAGGTCAACGGTACGTTGTGAGTCATCTCTATTTCCTATATAGAAATTCATTGTTTGTAGTGATTATGATCCGTATCCAAACTATCGCAATGGTCCCGGACAACTTCGACATGATTTACCTGTCAATCTACCGCCACCCCCACCTCTTCACTCGACCTACTCGAGTTCTCATCGACAACATCATTCATATGGAAATGCTTCGTCGAATCTTGATCATTATTATGGTGCCCGTCAGCGCTAATCTCTAATGACTAGACTAAAATTGATTTTAGTGTGTGTACATATATGTGTTAACTATTTGTCATTGCTTTGTTTCTTACATATCTATTCAAACAGAAAAGAAATCTATACATTGTACGATGCGCTCTCTTTAACTCATATTTTTCTTCTTGTTCATGTTTACGTTAGATGACAGAAGATAAGAGATTTAGCATCTCCATCGTCTTGATTGATAACGACGGACGACGCATCGTTCCCGAATTTGTCACTGTAAGTGTAAACGCAAAAGAAACAACACATTCTTTTTAGTATTCATTTGTCTTTTTCAGCCATTGGTTCAACAATTGAAGCCTAACAGTGAAGATGTTAATGTTGACATTCACTTCGAAGATGGTCAATTGACTATTCAACGAAATGACATATCGAAGATTTTATTTCGAGTACGTTTCATTAAACATGTCATTAGTAAGTTTGATGTTCGAACTCGTTTAGCGACCACCTTATTGTCCATTTACAAATCTTTATTTTCAAAATAATTCTTCAATCATTTCGGTTAATCCATCAAATGCCATTATGGTGGGTGTTGTGATACTTTTTGAATGTCATGATAGTCGTGTTCTTTTAACGAGACGTGCGAGTCATATGCGAACGTATCCATCGTGCTGGGTGTGTCCTGGTGGTGGAGTCGAACGAAATGAAACAGTAAATGTTTCTCAAAAAGTGTGAAGTATTGTAATTGAACAACTCTAGTTAATCCAAGCGGGTATTCGCGAGCTGAGCGAAGAAGTTGGTATCGAAGTCAGTGAGCGTGAACTAGACACATCGCGAGTCCTGGGTTTATGGGAGGTAAAAAGAAAAAACTATCTCATTTAATCGAATTTGAGACACTGATTTCTTAGTCATCGTTTCCAGTCGATCTTTCGCATGGTCTTCCGCGTCGTCATCATATTGTGATATACATACACGTTCGTTCTTCGAGAACAAGCGAAGAAATCTCAGTTAAAGTTGATCCGAATGAAGTCGATGCGTATACATGGCTTTCATACGAACAGATTCATGATATTTCAAAGCGTACAAATTCCGATCCGTCTCGTACTTTTAATGCGCACATCTACACGACAGGAAGTAACGAGCTGTTGTTTGACTTACTCGCAACCAGTGATTTCAATCAGAAGGAAAATCTTACCAGTGGTACACGTTTTGCACTTGAACAACTATACCTTCTTCAATCATAATCTATCTGCGTGCACTTTCTTTTTGACGCGTTACATAATTTAATATCAAATATCTCATCCCGATACATTGATGATTGCTGACAACATGAGATGCTGGTAATGTCAAAGACTTTGTCTTTTCTTATCATCAGTCTGGAGATTAACCTTCGGTTGAGAAATAGCCCGTTGCGTGTGCGTGTTGTTTTTTCCCAAGGTTAATAATCGAACCGGAATGCACGAAAAAGAAAAAAACTGACTCATATGCATATACTATCATTATGCATTTGAGTTTGACTCTTTTGTTTAATGTTTTCTTTTTCTCCTTTCCAGATTGATAAATACGCTTTTTAGACATTTGCGCTCTAACGATTATTGATGTCATCGTTTTCAGGCGAGTAAGACGTTATTGTTTACACGAGAGAATGTAAGAAAGAAAATCTTGCCTCATTTTAGTTTTCTCATGAACCAAGGCGTTTGGTTTAGCGAAAAAAATGTTATCGCTGGCCTCTTGGCTGGATTTTTCGGAGGTACGGTGAAAGATAAAGGATGTACGATTGGAAAACACAAGATTTCCGTTTGTTTGTTCAAGGTCTGGCATTTGGATGGTTATTCAGTTCGTCATTATTCGTAAATAATAATGTAAAAGTCGTTTCGGGTGCATTTGATTCCAAGAGAGATGAACGTGACGATGAACAGAGCGTAAGACAAGAGAATTGAACGAAGGAAAGTTTGGGAATTGTTCATATTTAGTTCGAACCCGGTTGTTCGGATGCTGATGGAGAATATAAGGTAATGATCTTTCATCCGATGGTAAACTGATGTTGTTGTATACTGGCGTCTCTAGATGGTGCTAGTAGTTAGGAATGACTTGAAGATGGGCAAAGGTAGGTTTTTATTTTCCATTTGAAAACATCTGTTTGATCTATTCATTGGTTGATGTTTTATAGGAAAAGTAGCAGCACAAGTGAGAAACTTGATGAACCGAAAGTACAACGAAGTTGATGATTATTTTTTGTTTCAAGTGTTCTCATGCGACATTAGGTTGCTTTCAAAAAGCATGTGAACAAGCTCCAAACGCCGTTGACACATGGTTTTCAGGTGGTCAAGCAAAAGTTGTTTGTAAATGCGAATCAGCTAATGACTTGTAAGATAAAAATTACGCTGAACGATTCTGTATGAACTCTTTTTGTAGAGAGGAACTACAGCGTCAAGCAAAACGAAAGGGTCTCACAACTTGTCTGATACGTGATGCTGGTACGCATAAAACTAACTTGATGCTTGGTTTATTCTTCATTTTTTTATTGCAGGTCGAACACAAATTGAACCGGGTAGTAAAACAGTACTTGGCATTGGTCCAGGTTTGTTTAAATACCATTTTCTTACAAAAAAAGTCCAAACTTTACCTATTCACTTTTTCTAGCTCCTTCAAAATCGATTAACGAAATAACACAACATTTAAAACTCTATTGATTTTGATTTTCTTTTTTTGATTTGTTTTTGACAACTGAACTACGAGGAGTCGTTTCTATTCATACTATTTTTCAGATGAGTGACACTACCACACCTATAGTGTCATCAATCTCTGCAACAAATCGAAATATGATGACGGGACAGATCAATCACTTCGGCAAATACGTCAAACTCAACGTGGGAAACCATTTGTTTTTAACTAGTTTTGATACTTTAACAAAAGAAGATACAATGTTCAAAGCGATGTTCAGTGGACGAATGGAAGTTGTACAGGACAGCGAAGGTATTCGACTTTCTTGCTAGGAAAATCAACTAGAAAACTTTGTTTCTATTTAAATAGGTTGGGTATTGATCGATCGTGATGGAAAACATTTCAATTTAATTCTGAATTATCTTCGCGATGGAACAATTAATCTCCCTGAATGTACTCAAGCATTGAATGAATTACTTCATGAAGCGAAGTTCTATTGTATTGAATCATTGATTGAACTAGTCGAGCAACAATTACGTACACGTTCAAGAAAGAATGCCGGTGATACGGATGCGTGCTGTAAAGTTATCATGTTGACATCCGCGAAAGAATTGCCAAATATCGTTACCACAGTTCGGAAACCAATTGTTAAATTAGCCATCAATCGACATAACAACAAATATTCCTACACTGCGTGAGTAGTAAGACAAAGTCAGGAGAATCTGATCGGATACGGTTTTCTGTTTATTTAGATCATCGGACGAGATGTTGATGAAAAATATCGAATTATTCGATAAGTTAAGCATTCGTTTACATAATCGAATATTGTTCATCAAAGATGTAACTGGTAGCGAAGAAATCTGTTGTTGGAGTTTTTACGGTAATGGACAGAAGATTGCTGAAGTTTGTTGCACGTCAATTGTTTATGCAACTGAACGAAAACAAAACAAAGTACGTGAAAACGAATTCAAATCAAATTGAAAAATGTTTCTCTCTCTTAAACTTAGGTTGAATTTTTCGAAGCGAGAATCTATGAAGAAACTCTGAATATTCTTTTGTATGAAAATCGAAACGCTTCGGTGGATGAAATCATTCGTGCAACAACACCACGTTTTGCATCAGCGGCTCTGACTGATGATGATTTAGACGAAGAACGAAGTGTAACAACTAGTACAGCATCGACAGCAACAGCGTCAACAACAACAACAACAGCAGCAGCAGCCGCAACCAATCGTTCAGCGAGAAAGCGTTAAGAGAATGAAGAAATTTCTTTATATGTTTGCGTGTGTATACCCTCTCTTGTCTATTAGATCTAAATATTTTATTTACGGTTGGATTCAGTCAGTTATTTTCTGCTTTTATTTCTAACCTCACATATTTATCTTGTGTTTATAGTCATTTCAATAAGGATATATCAAATAAACATATTTTCACAGATAAAATACAATGAAAAATGTCATTCTCTTGCGTCTTATGATGTCGTATTAAATATTATCGTTTGAGAAATAGAACCATTATTGGCGGCAGTTTTCGCTCTACTAAATCCAACACAGGCCGTATTATTTAGACAAAACGTTTGACATGTGATCATGTTACCATAGTAAGGATTTCCAGCACAATCTTGGCCAGCTGAAGAACGAATAAATATATTGCTTATGTACCATCGATTAGACCAATCAGCGGGATAATTCGAATATACTGCTAGTGTACAGCCTTGGCACTCACCGAAATTCGCCGTATTGTACGTCCAATTGCGCGGAAGATACTAACTGATAACAGATCTACTTAACGTTGGCGAAAGCGTTGTCATTTTTGTTTCGACTACATCTAACGCTACTTGGGATGAAAAATACCATTGATGTCATGTACAAAGAAAATTTGATTGTATATTAACATTAGAAACGGAGTATTGTCTTTCAATGAACTACTTCAAAAGATTGCTATAACTTGCCTGTATCAGAATTAGGATATTCAATGGAAGGAACTCATACTTAACTTGGTCCGATTTGCGTTCTTTCTTTTGATGATCACTGCGATAGCAATCAAAATGATGATATTCACACTGACAGTCAAAAGTCGTAGTAAGATCTTTTTCGAAGAGAATCGTTGTCTAAGAAGAAAGTTTCTTGAATGAATGTTGGAGAGAGAAAAGATGCATACTTCGTTAACTTTGTTGCAACGGATGACGGATTTTTATCTTCTATTTCAGGATGCACCTGAAACATTATAGAAAAGATTGTTATTCAATGGCATATATCAACACAATCTGCGAATCGTACAGTGTTTTCAAAATGAATATTTGGTTTCGAATTATTATTGTCATCGGTCATTATCTTACTTCACTTAGAGTCGAGTCGAACGGTGACGAAAACAATGTACCTACAATAAAATGTTCGACTTTTTTTAACATTGCCTGTCTCTTGTTGTAAATAGACTCGCACTGTTCATTGTGAAGCAAAACTACACGACGAGAAAATGTTCTGCAATAATACAAATATAACTTCACGTAAAAATTTGTATTTGTCTAACTATTATTTGACGTGTTTTCTGATATTCGCTTGAATTGCTGATGAATTAAATGAAATGGGATGGCTCATGTAGAAACATGTTCTAGATCTGTATTCATTTAATTTCGCAGGATCTTTTACTGCGCCAATACATGTGAGTTTGGAATTTGAAATGAGATCAAGTGAAAAACTATAGGTCATTTTGGAGCCGATTTAGACAATTTTTCAAAGATTTTATCGTGACTTCTATAGAACGGGAGCGTACATATGATTTGGAATATTTATCTTGTATTTCTCGATAGTAAATATTCTTTAAATAATATAATGTTCATTAAAACAGTCGTTTTACTCAAAGACTGAAGCACGATCTGTCGTAATAATGATCGAAATCGAATCTGATTTGACTATATGTCTTTGTTTCTGAGATATGAACAGCCGATGAACGTTATTCTTTCGCTGGCAAGACCGATTTGTCACTATAACAATATTCTCAATTGACAGAGTGATGCTTGTAAATCAATTCATAGAAAGACTATACTATCATCAACAATCTTGCTAGTAATATCAACTGAAATCGAATATTCTAATTGTATTGCCTAGAGGAAAGTGTGAACTGTGTGAAAACTCCATACTAAACCCTCTCATGGAGAACATTGTTGCGTTGAATGTGAAACAAATGATTCATTTTGTAAATATTCGACTGTTTATTTCAAGATATATCTATTCTTGCCAGTGAGAATCTGAAACTTCTCACTCTGTCCAGTTTATTACAATTAATTACTTAGCTGACAAAGTGCCCAGCCGCCTTTGTTTATACGGGAGTGCCAATTGCAATCGATTCTTGATGATTCGATGTAACGATTCATTTTGAATGTTTAATTTCATGTGCATCAACTGATGTTGTTCACAGACAAAAAAGAATAATCAAACAACAACATCCTCCTATCGTCTATTTCCATTGACATGAACAAGATATAAGTTGTCTTGTCTAGTTTTTATTTCCTCCTAAAAAAAACCAGTGCTTGTTTTGACTCTTCAAATAAGATCAATTTTATTTTTCTCAACAACAATCATTAAAACATCCTCTTCTATTGGTCCTTTTTTGGCTTTGCTTTGCGCGTGTCTTTAGGTGTAGATTTGTTTGATGAATTATTCTTATTGCCATTAGAGTCTTTCTTCGCATCAACGGGTTTTTGCCACTCAACGGGATTATTACGGTATATAGGCCATGGTGGTATAGTCAACTATTAAAATAAAACAAATCCATATCGGATACTTTCAATGACTTCATTCACATACAAAAGCAGAAACCAAAACTCCGAATAAAACACTGTAGATCGTCATACTGAATTGCTGCATCATGTAACCCACAATGAAACCAATGAGCTATTGATAAGAATCAAACGAAATGAAATCGAATAGAAATCAATGAAATATCTTACACCAAAAAACACTATAATAACTTGGAATAGTCGTTCAGCCATTTTCTGGCCACGAAAATCCTAAAAATTCGAAATGCTGATCAAAGTAAACAACCACCAATTTCTTTTACCATATGTGTTGCAAAAGGCCACTCGATATCGATCATTTTTTTTTCAATAATAACCAGAAAGAAAATCTGAGATAAAAGACCTTAGTCTCTACAAGAAAGAATCGAATCGTTCGCTCGCGTTTGATTAACTGACACGCCATAGGTTCGCACTATTGGTCGATCATTTCTTCCTGATGTCGCCACTGTTCGTGACTTTTCTCTCTTCCTTCGAGAGTTGTATCCATGGAAGAGCAATAAAGTATGGTCATAAATCCATGTGATTCACCATTACTTTTCTCGCATATTGACGTCAGTAAAACGATATATTTAACTGTAACATTGTATGATTAAGCATTATATTGCGAATGGAGAAATACAACAAGCAGAAAGTCATCGGTTCGGGTGCATTTGGTCAAGCATGGCTTGTTCAATCGAAAACCGATGGAAAGAAATTCGTGATGAAAGAAATCAAGATAGCTAAAGTAAGTTGGCATGTTCGCGTGAATCTGATCGCCAATTTTCGTTCGAATTTCATTTTAGATGGGCAAAAAAGAACGTGATGATTCGCGGAAAGAAGTATATTAATCAATTGTTGTTGTACATGAAACATCATCGTTTTCTTATGTTTAGGTTAAAGTTCTTAGTGAAATGAAACATCCGTATATTGTTTCGTATATCGAATCATTCGAAGGTAGCTTTTATTGAACAGATCGAAGAGATTTTTCATATGAGATTCCATTGTACTTAGATGCTTCAAGTTTATTTATTATTATGGACTTTTGTGATGGTGGAGATCTGCATTCCCGTATTCAGGCACAACGTGGAGTTTATTTCCCGGAAGAACAGATACTTGATTGGTTTATACAAATAACTTTAGCACTTAAACATGTCCATGATCGGAAAGTACTTCACCGAGACATCAAATCACAAGTAAATCGAATTCATATTGTATCAACGGAAATATTCGGTCATCATCGACTCATTTCAGAATGTTTTCCTGACAAGTAGTGGCTCGGCGAAGTTAGGCGACTTCGGTATTGCAAAAGTTTTAAATACGTAAAATTCCTATTGTGATTATTAATAATATAAATGCAATCGAATGCTTTTGTTTAGAACATGCGAATTTGCTCGTACGCAAATCGGCACACCATATTATTTATCACCTGAAATATGTCAACAGCGACCTTATAACAACAAGTCAGATGTTTGGAGTCTGGGTTGTGTTCTATATGAATTAACGACTCTTAAACATGCAGTAAGATATTTTCGAGAGAAATTCTTGACTGAAATACGCCTTCTTTTTTTCCTGTTTAGTTTGATGCGAACAATATGAATGGCTTAATGATGAAAATTATTCGGTACGTGTTATTCTAGAATAAATGATTCGTTTATCTGATCGAATCGATGTATAGAGGATCTTTTAATCCAGTACCACTGAAATTCAGTGCGGATTTGCGAACTCTAATCGCGCTGACGCTTCGTCGAGAGCCAAGGTATGATGGAGGTGATCTGACCCCACAGAAAACGATTTATTATTCTCTAGAGAGCGCCCTTCAATTAACGCAATTCTCAAGAAACCATTCATCAGCCGTCGTATCTCGAAACATTTACCTGACGAGGTACAACATAGTTACGTTGTAAGGCATATTTATAAGATCTATTTAGGTGCATCAAGCTGAGTTTGATCATACTGTTCTGCATGGTCAACGCTTATCATTCGATGGTGCACATGCGAATCCAGTAGCGATAGGTCGCCCGGCAGTAACTCCAAAGCCAAACGTAATTCCTCCTCCACCAGCGTCTTCACGTCCAAGTTCGGCAGCATCGAGAGCACCAGCACATGAGCCACTGAAAGTCTACCCGCGTCCATCTTCGGCCACGCCAGGCAGTGCGGCTCGGTATGTGAACATCATTTGTTTCAATGTGAAGATCATTTCTATTATGTCTTGTAGCGCATCACAAGAGAAGAAAGTCATTGAAAAGAATCCAAAGCCAGCCATAGCCGTTGACAAAGAAAGTGAAATCGAGAAAAGACGTCGTGAATTGGCCAAACTAAAGGAGCAGCGTGAAAAACAGTTAAAAGAAGAAGTGTGTCTAATAATACATATAGATTATCAGCAGTCATGCAAAAACGATTTTATTTTCTTCTACGTAGGCAGATATTTTAGTAAAAAAACAACAAAAAGCAAATATCCAACGAGATCGAGATCGCAATCGCTTTTTGTACAACAACAGCGATTCAGTAAGATTCAAATTACTACCATATTGCTTTATGAAAGGCCGGATCATAGGAGCCAACGGACGTGAATAAACAGCGAGCTACACCACCAGTCATTGGACAACCAAAAGTAAACCCAGTTTCCGTTCCTTCATCTGCCAGATCATCGGTACGTTGGTAAATAGAATAATCTTCCTAGAACTTTACAAGTTTGTTTAAGGCTACACCATCGCCGGTTCCAAGTGTACCTAAAGCAGGTAATTATGAACAATATCATGATTTATTGGATGGACACAAACAAAAAATGGCTGAGGGAGAAAGAAATCTGGATGAATGGAATAAGAGTAGCGATATAGATCTTTCAAATAGATTCCTATACACAATATTTCTATATTTAGTTAATCAACCGCAAAAACCGAATCCCCAAGTGCAGGTATATCAAACACCCGTTCGTGCTAGTCATAATCTACGTCCAACGCCCGGGTAAAGTTGTTCTGAGCACACTTCCGTTTTGAATTTTCGTCTGATTATAGTGCCAACGTTGGTCGACCATCAAGCGCGAAGAATGACTATTTAGAAAATAAACAACAAGCTCAAATGAATAAAGCGCGTGGCCAAGGTGATTATGCCGGGGTAAATTTCATCTAGTAAGTTTTTCAATGACTATCATTCAATTTCATTAAGGGAGCGGCTGTTGCTCTCAGTCCAATTGGTCAATTGGCTGCCATAAACCGAAATCTTGATGAGATTCGACGGAGAAATCTTGCCGGTAAACGTGATGTTAATCATAAACCACCAATGGCGTACAGAAAGCCATTGGTTAGCAAAGTAAATACACTCTTTTCGTATTCAGTTAAAGACTCTGTTGATTTTTCAGCCACCTGTCATCAATCAAGCTGATGAACGGTATCGTTCAGCTTATGATCATGATATTATCATCGCACAAAAAGAAAAAGAAGTTTGTATCGATCGAAACGAACTATTTATGATTAACATTCGTTTCTCTATAGAAGCAAGCGGAAGAAGCATTGAAACAAATTGAACCAGGAAACAACAATCTAACCGAATTATTAAACAATATTGGTGTTCGACCTTCCAGGTTGGTATTACTTAGACTTTTATACATTGAACTTCTCGTACTGAATCATCTTTTTCCAGTGCAAATCAAGTACGAAAGCATACTATTCTACAAGACATAAATCGCCGAAGCGTCCAAGAGAATTGGCAAGAGAAAGGTGGTCCACCTAAAGGTCGTCCGCAATGGAACCAACAGGCACGTCTTGATTCAGCCGTTCTAAGCCGTCAATCGGTCATGAATGATTCCTGTGCACCTGATCTAAGCATTCAAGGTCAAGCAATGAATTTAGCGAATCCAAATCCGTCAAATCGACCACAATGGGGCGCAGCTCCACGAGATACATTGATCAATGCCCTCGAACATGCCAATGCACATGAAAGCACAATTGCCAGCACTGTACAGAAGGATGCATTCGATTTTAATCTACAACCATTACCTAATCGATTGAGTTCCAGCCAGAAGAATGAAACCTATGTGATAAGTAGTCCGAAGACCAGCACTGGTGCCGCTGAGACAACAAAAGATTCGATGGAAAGTCATACAATCGGCAAAGACTTAGATAAAACTTTGACAACTCAATCAAAAGAACCTTCGAAGAAAGATGAACTTGCTGAACTTTTGACGACTGGACGTCTCGATGCTAAAAACAAACGCGTAAATTCCATTCAATACTTCCGAGTTTTGTCGTTCGATATACCATGTTTCTTTTAGCTTCTTCGAACCGTTTCCAATCCGGAATTACACAAAATCGATGAAGTACCTGAAGAGTCTACATTGAAGTCAACGAAGCTGAATCGAAGTTTGACCAGTATCACTGATTCCTTGGACGATCCACCGTTATTCTCCAGTACAAAAAAAGAAGCTACTCCAAGTAGTAGCAGTGATTCTAGTGCAAATGAAGATAAATCCATGTCTGATGATGGTGATGAAGATGACGACTTTCATTCGTTATCATTGGCTTACCAAAGCTTGTTAATCGAAGATGATGAAGAGGAAAATGAGAAGGAAATGAAACATGCAGCAAGTGAACCTATCTTAAAAGCGGATAAGAAAGGTAAACGAATTCCTTCTGAAGTCAATGCAGACGATGACAATGATGATGATGATGAGATATGGTGTAATCAAGAAGATGAAGACAATCTTAAACATCGTCTTGAACTAGATCAAGAAAAAGAAGAACAACTACGACAAATTCTCGGTAATGAAACATTCGAGATCGTCCGTGAAGCATTGAAAGTACGAACGCATCCTCATGTTCACACCATACAAGATTGTCATTCTCGTTTAGAAAGACGAGTGTGAATTGCCGGATGTATCCAGTCTCATACCTGAAGCAAAACGTGGTCTATTCGACAGCGCTGCTCTATTTACTTTGATAACAATGAATGCAAGGTTAGCGAAAAAGTAAAAGTCATCATTGCCTAGTTTACAAAACGATAATTTGTATCTATTATTCACTTTTTCGTGTGTTTTTTTTTGTATATTGATGTTTTCATGTTGTTAATCGGTACGTTACTTCACAATAAACTATTCATCTTTCTCATAAGTTATCCAAGAAGTTTATTTAACAAATTTTATCGTGTTGTTTCTTGAAAATATAACATTCCTGGTAAACGAACATTATCATATAATGAAGATAAAGGTGATGATAAAACGATATAGGAAACAGATGTGGATGAGAGCGTGTGCATACGAGTGCCAAAGCGGTTCAAACGATTGTGCGCAACATAGGTTGTGGAACTGATTTTATCAATCGAATAGATTGTTGGATCAGGTTGAGCAGGAATTTGCTTGGCAGGAACGATGTAAACGAAACCTTCGGATTTTTCGAATTGTAGTGGTAAAACTTGATGTTTTCCCAAGGGAGCTGATACCGCTAGATCGCCATTTGATGTCCATTGAAGACTTGTGCCAAGTCGCTCGAAAATTCGACTTCCGCGAATGGAAACAAGGATTGGCATTGAATCACGGGTGAAATGTATTTTTGGTTGATTGAATAAGCTAACTAATGAGATAATATCTATGTTACCATACCAATCTTGTAATTGAATAGGTGAACCAACAGCTAACCAGCATTTATCGTTACGAATAGCAAAAGCTTGTCCGAAATGTGCATGAACTTGTGTACCTTGTATTGTCATTAGAAGGCGTGGTCGAGGTGTGAAAGCATAAACATACAGTTTTCCTTGATTAGCTGGTGCACTGATAAGAAGAACTGGAGATGTTGTTAAATTACCGGTACATGATGAAGGAATTAGTTGTAAGGAATGGCCGAACTTTGATTTAGCAGATTCCCCGAAAATCGTATAAGATGCATTATTGACACTAAATTGTTTCTGTTTACTAAATTGTGAACTGAGAAAAATCCATACAGCACCTTGTTGTGGTTGATCATAACCGTTGGGTTGTGCGTAAGGACTGCTGATGATCAAATCTAGCCGAGTATCGTTATCTAAATCTGCTGTGTGCAGGTCAAATCCGATTGAATCGTGTTCATTGACACCATCGATACGAATGAACGGTTTGCTTTGAAGACCATCTTTACTACCAGCAAAAACAAAGACAGCACCACGATAACCATATCCATGCGATGGACTACTGACGACGAGGTCATTGAATCCATCGTTATTCCAATCCAACGAAGCTAAACTGGTTCCAAATCGATCGCCATCACAGTCAGGTGAGATTAATGTTTGATCAGCAATTTGCTCGATTATGCTAATCTTTCGTTCGGGCACTGGCTTTTGATCTTTCTTTCCGTAAATGATAAAAATCCGACCACCTTGTGAACAGCCTAAATTGTAATAATCAGGTGCGGATACGATCAAGTCGCTTAATCCATCACCATTGAAATCACCGAAGATGGCCTTGTGGCCAAACGATGCGTAACTTTGATTAGATATCACACCGGTTGAAATTTCTGTATACTGTAACGTGGGAAATGATGTTTGAGATTCACCTGACCATGGAAGATACTTCGCAGTTTTCGAACGAACGTATGTAATCGATTGCTGCTCTTCTAAAGAAGGTTTATTCGAATGTGGAATCGTGCAGTTCAAATAGTACGGATTATTTGTTGATACATGGCATATATCAGTGCCATTTTCATACATAGCGATAATCTGATCCCAATAACGAACTGATCGATGAGCCATATTCATCAAACCTCCATGGTAATATTCATAGAGGCTGTCTAATATAAATGAATTATTATGTGCGTATTTTGGATATTCAAGACCGAGAAAAAGTGCGTCAGCAAATCGCCCGATGAACATGAAATCGGAACATATTTGAACCCGTTCGGCGGTTGCATTGTTTTCCAAAGGTGAATCATAAGCAACAGCGTAACGCTTATAAATCTCTTCCAGTTCCTGACTGGGAATATACCATTTGTTAGTTAAACCGATATAAGCAATAGGTAATTCATAATCAATAACACTGTCACCACCAGGATCATCACTAGAGTGCGCTTTGTCTTCATCATCATTGTAACTTTCCCAAGCAGTAGCATCGATAAATCCATTCGGACAACCAGTTAACTTTCCGTGCCACACAGCATCGGCTATTTGATGTGATGCTGTGCCGAGAAGAAAAGCTAGGAATTTCTGACCTTGAATATTATCTGCCTGTAATGGTGGAGGATAACGCTCACGCATATACTCAATAGCAATTTTCATGAACGGGTACCTAGAATATATTCATTTTGAATAAATCCATGAACAAAACCTCTTATTCTCATACCAATGTGTGTCTTCAGCAATTTGATGTAAAGTTCCACGGTAACAAACACTATCGTACATAACATCAGGATAAGGCGAACCGCCTTGTAGAGCGTCTTGATGTTGTAAAACATAATTCCGATAGACAGACTGATGTAGCCAAAGATCTTGTGCGCGATGTGATACTTCAATATGTGTGGTTATTCCGCACCCGGATATAATGGACACGAATGAAAAAACTAGGATAAGTACACTTGTTAACATGTTAAATCTTGCCGAATAAAATGTCGTCTGTTGTGTTTCTCAAAGTCACTTTTGTTTTATAGAGAATATTAACAGATGAGAATGATTCTCAGGAAGAGTCAATTATATAACACATGTTAAAAACAGTCCTTGTTCGAAGCGACATCGTATCGATCACAGCCAATCGTGTTTCTTGATTGTTGTTCAGTTTCTAATTCTAATAATAGTTTATTTTCATTATTTCGTTGTACACCTGTTTGCAGGTGACGGAGTCTTTTCTTTCTTTGACAACAGTATTCGTTGAAATACACAACCAGTTAGAAAGAAGAACATGATCGATGTCACGCATTGCCATTACTTACTAAAATACATTTTCAACTGAAATGATTCAAATGTAGGTTGCATACTCTTATGAATCATTTTCTTTTCGTCTCTAGATAAAGAGACCTGTGGCTGAGATTACAGATGGAACACACACTTGAGATAAAAATGATTAAACACTATGCATATCTCACAAGGTACTATCAAAGGTAGCTTTGCTATTACTAATAGATCATCTATATATGCAAGATTCTAGCGATGAGTGTATCATACCATGACATTCCAAACGAATTATCCAACTGCTCCGCGTCAAGATGCAGGGTTTCGTATCTTTGCACGTAGTGCTTATCCGGCGAAATACAATTTTGCTGTTGATAATTACAATTATGTTTGCTCGATTCATAAACTGAACATGCGCGGTGGTCATTTGTTCTTATTTCGGTCGGTTGTTACCATCGTTTGGGCAATTTCTCTGCTTTTCGCTTTCCTTTCTCTGTTCAAGTCAATCTTTATGGTGGTGACAGTCATTTGCAGTTTATTTTACATTGTTTTCTCAATTTATAACAGCTATGTCTTCTTTCGCAACCGTGATCTTTTGAATGCGACTCGTTTGCTGGCAGCCAAAGTTCCAGCGTTGAACGGCGCTGATCACGAATGGGTAAGTATTCCCTTGAAATCCGGACACATCAATAGTCGCTTAGCGGATATTGATCAATCATCGTTCATTCGTCTTCAAGAAGAATATCTTGGTGGTAATCAGCCTGAAGTTCCTTGTATGATTTATACGAAAACTTATGCTGAGACATATCCAACATTTCCTAAAGAACTTTTGTTGCATTGTTTTGCGTTTTTATTGACAACTATATTCGCTTGTATAATGGCAGCACTGTGATTTTTCAAAGAAACATAATAAAAGACTATGCACGAGAATGATGCAGTGGTGGACTCATTGTTTCTTATATACACGAGGTGAGAAAAGCAGAATCCTATGAATTAGTTTGCCTATTTTGAATCCTTGTTGACCAGGAAAATGGCTGTTCGGAATTTGTTAGCATAGGGACTATTTTATCGACAGGTACAATATTTGTTAATACTGGTGAAGTTCTTTCAGAATCTGACGCGTCAGTTTCGTTCAAATTAACTGGAGTGATTGGACGAAATGGTGTGAAACCATTTGAATTAAAGCGTAGAGTATTCGTCGGCCGAAAAGCAGATCTCTCATGAAAACAATGTTGATTGGTAGTTATTCGATTATTCGATAAATCCTTTCGTCTATATTGAAGTCTATTTCGATTGCAATCCAACTCAATCAAATCTTGATCTTGCATAACATGAATCAATGTATCCCAATTGATATTATTGGCTATTACCACGTGGATTTTCTCATTGACATGCGAGATTGTCTCTTTCAATTGTGTCAGTTGTGCCTTGATCTTTGTGAGTTCATTTTCTAAATAATTCTCTTCTTTCTGTTGTTGCTGCATGGTAACAGACAATTGTTCTAACTGCGTACGGATATCTTCGAGATTCTTTGTCATGATTATCGTGATATTCGATCGAATCTTATTGGCAACTTCTCGAATATGCACAATCGAATCTTGTTCCCAACGGTTGATCTCGATAAAACAGGATAGTTTCGTCTGATCTTGCGAAACCTTCTCTGCTAAATCACTCGACTCTTTCAATTCATTTCTCATATTTAGCAATTGTTGAAATTGTTCCATGAGTTCAGTTTGATGTGTCGTCATGCACACCAAACAGAGTAACATATCACATCCTTCGCATCTTGTACTACCCTTCTTTTCATTACACAATTGGCATTTCATTTCAGATGTATTCTTATCTAAAATATGACAAAGAGAAAAGAAACGATGATAGGTAGAAGTTGATCGGTATTCTCTGGAAAAAAAGGATTACGATGAACACATGCGTTAATGACAGATACGGAACTACGCTTGGGCAAAATGATTCACATAACATTTTCCTTCTCTGACTAGTGGAATCCCCTCGGTACATTATGGTTGCATAGATTACATTGATAATCAAAACTGTTTGGAATACGCTCCATGAAGGCCATATTTTTGCAATGCGGACAGTGCATCAGTAGTGTTTGGCTAGGATCGAGTCTTGGCGAATATGTATCTTGCATGGATGAGTAAAAGTCATCACTATAAGGGAATGTAGATAGTTGGGAGTTTCGATCACATTCTGTACAAACACCACGAGATAATAAACCATTATTATAGTTTGCAGAACACGTACATCTGCCGAACCGATCTGCATGTTGGTTAAAATTAAATTTAGCTGAAGTGCTTGATGCGCCGTTGCCATTGAGCACCCGAACCTGTACAATGTTTGATGCTGTATCATCTATCACACGAAAACGGTGAATGTAGAACAACAAGTAGTTATGTGGATTTACCTGGCGTTAGTGTTGGCTTGGCTTCATTCGTTACTTCGTCTTGCATAATAGATATCAGCGTATCCCAGTCAATTTGATTTGCTTTAGAATAATCAACTCGAACTTTGGTCTGTATATTTTCGATATCATTCTTCAATTTGGTTAATTCTATCTTCATTCTCTCAATATCATCCTCGAAATAGCTTCCTTGTTTTTGTTGTTCTTGCACATCATCCGACAGTTGTTGAAATCGCACACACAGATCTTCCATATACTTCGTCATCATCTCATTCGCATCCGTCCGAACTTTCGCCGCTATAGCTTGAATTCGCTGGATCATATCTTGTTCCCATTCGTTGACTTTCTTCAGGTACGCTACTGAGTCTTCATTCAACGCTGACAGGCCATGAATATCAAGTGTTTGTTTGACTTCATTTCGGGCGTCCATTACTAATTGGAATTGCTGCGCAAGTTCATCATGATGTTTGTTCATACATGGTAAACAGAATAAAGTATTACATCCTTCACATCGCGTATTTCCATTTCGTTCCTTGCAAAGAGTACATTTGTTTTTATTCATCAATCTAAGATGGAAAAATAAAGACTTTGAATACATTTGTCTGTCATGGAGTGAATTAATTTTAGTCAATAAGAAAAATAAAAACCAAGTATACACGTCAATGTTGTATATCGCTGGATTCGTTGCACACAAGATTCAAATGACAAACTATACAAATGAAAATGAAAACACCTAGTATAACACATACAAAAGCACCAATTCATCACAATCGAATTAGTTCTGTTCTTCTCAAATCGAACACACGTTCAATAATGATACGCAACACTCAATGGTGTTTGACAAGCAGAACACGAAAAGCCCGTATGGTGATATGCACCAGTTAGATCATTGATACTTCGACAATGTGGACATATCGTTCGGCCATTGGAAGGTATTTTCGGCACTGGTGTCAAAGCAGACGAATATCCTGGTATGTACATATTAGTTGAACCGGATCGTATCTGTGGTTTATTCGCAGGAGGATTAACAGGAGCATTATACTGCATTCTATGTTCACAGTCTGAACAATAAACGGAAGAATGATGTCTATCTTGAAGATTGCGCTGGCATACGAGACAGTGACTGACTGTGTCGCGATGACGATCGGTACTGGCTGATTGGCGAGCACTAGCAGGTGGTGTTGCCAGTATTTTGCGCACAGGTATTTCTGTGCCACTTCGATCTAGAATAGAAATCTGAAATAGGCACTAGTTGCACTGCGTGCACAAGCCTGAACCTGATTTGGTAAACGTATTTTGCGGATTGGTTTTGGAGACATTGACTGGTTTCTCATTATTTTTGACGTTTTGGATATTTTCGGGAATATGAGTGACGTGTAATTGCCTAGTTGCTTCCTGATTGTTCACAACTATACTTGCATTTCGGGTTATTGCTTTAGGAGGATCAACAGGCTTATCAGAGTGCTGTACTTTTGTCGGAGACTTTTCGAAATGAACGGCGCCATTTTTCGGCACATATCCTTGTTCTTTATTATCATCTGCACGAAGACACCGTTGTTCCGTTGTCTGAGTAGTACGATTTCGTGTATGAACACTGTCAGCACCGGATGCCGTTCGTGGTGTGATCGCAGGAGAGGGAGGCGAAGGTTTCATTGGGCCTTTTCGAATCAATTGCCAACCACTGTGATCATTCGAAATTGAAGGAGATGTATAATTATTCGCGTCACGTTGTTTTTGTCGTTTTCGTTCTTCTTCTGCTACAACTGCTGGCTTTTGCACTTCGAAAAAGTCCACTAAATACTTGTGATAGACTGCAAAGAAATTATTTCGTAACGATAAATTTCTTCGGCCCAGTTCAGCGCAAACGATCATCAACGGGACTGCTTTTTTATCGAAATCGTATTTGATTGTTCGTATCCGTAAATAATCATATAATAAACTATCCGAACGATCACGACTAATATCATCACCTAGAAATCGAATCGGCAACAGACTTTGATCATATGTATGATTGATCGATTGATAAAGAGGAAGAAAATTTTCAGCTGTTGGATCTAAATCATTGATAATCGTTTGTAATGGACAGAAATGGGAATGATCATAAACTAGAACGATTGGTTCACGTATGCATTCATTTGGAATTGATAAGATGGGTAAATAGATTCCAAATAAATCATTGACTGAGATGGGCTCGCCATTTTTATTCCGTATGACATCTTCAGCGAGAACAATTATCGGTCGGCGAAGCATGTTCGAGATGGAAAATATATGTACAGCTTCGAGGAAGTGCAAATACCGTGCTGTTTGTCCATCACCGGATTTTTCATAATGAACAAGATTGCAGACTTCATCCCACTCCTAAAGTAAGATATACAATAGGTTTTATTAGAGAATTTCTTACATCATTCAGTTTGGAATCTTCGGAACGTATGCCGTAGCTGCGATCGGATCTAAGTCTTTCAATTCGCCAGTAGCTTTTCAAAACATCTCGATTTTCATCCATAAATTGAGCAAGACGATCTCGTAAATAGAGATTCGAATCGTGTATACCAACCATAGCAATCAGTACCGCATGAAGAAGGCAATTACCATTACCTTAAACAAATAAACACCTATGAGAAATTATCTTTCTTTGCGATCATTTCCTGTGTTTACCTGCTGTTCGAATGGGGTGTAATTGCTTTAATGCCGGATTCCAATTGATGATGTGAGCTTCATTCATTGTCTTCAGTACGACTCGATCGATGAGATATCGCTGCAAATGATGATGATCATCGGCGTTGAAGAATACTTTTGGTATGTCACTCGTGTAACTCGTAATTTCAGTTAAATTTTCAATCAGACAACCGTGTATATGGTTTAATAATTGTTCTGCTTCGGTTTTAATAGTTTTTGGAACAGGGAGTATATCTGTAGGTGGTGCCGTCGATGGTGTTGTTGTTGTTGTTGTCGTCGCTGCCGTTGTCGAGTCGCTTTTGCTTTCACAACAATGAGTTTGAAATGTAGTGTAGTAGTGCGGTCTCAAGCCATCGATTGATTTAACTGGTCCATTCGTTGTGTCCGTACGATTTGATGAATTCGTCATTGCGGGTATTTGAGCCATGAAGATAAGAAAAAAATAAGAAATTTTACATACTGACAGACATGCATATGCTGAAAACAAGATCTAAAATATCAACAATGATTCACTACATTGCTATGTCAAAGAGAGAACACGTCACTATGATAACTATTGCCTGAAAATCAAGAGCAAGCGGTAGAGGATAACGTTTAGAGGATTAATCGAAAGATTGACCTAAGTAATTCATCCTACATAATGATATTTCGAATGATCGATTCATCGAACTGAATTTCGAGGAGAAGAACTGTCGAAAGTTGGCAGTAGACAAGATTTTCAACTTGTTCTCGCCATTCAGAGTAAAAAAACCTCCGACTACCTTGTTGGTAAGATTTTCGTTCTTTCTTTTCTTTCTTCTTTTCTCTTTGGTAGATCAAGTTTTGTTCTGTTGTTTTTTTCTTTCGACAACATAAAAGATCGTTCGAAAAACGAAACAACATGCCTTTATTACCAGTCATCACCCTCAATCATAATGAAATGTCCATTATCAACGAGAAAAAAGATGTTCGAATCATACCGATAGTTTGCTCAACTTACTTTGACGTGTTCCTACCGTTATTTATCCGTTCTGTCACTCCTCGAAACACGTTTTTTCGTATATATAATGTATCTTTCTGCATTAATATCATATTATTACCAGCAGAGAAAATTATTCATGTGAAACGAAGCAAAATATAAATCGCAAAACAAAAAAAAACACATCGGCGTATAATATTTAGTGAATAATTTGTCGTATCTTATCATGGTATCACAAACATTAACAAGCAAACACTTGTTAGCACTACTTGAAAAGAGTCGAACCATTTGTGAAGCATCACGGGAATACCCTTCATCACAACAACCATTACCTCCGCGTCATTTATGCACATCGACGACAATCTCATCGAAAGCAAACCCGAACACCATACAGAAGATACTGCAGACGTCAACAAATGAATCTCAGCTGAAAGCTTTGAGTGAATACGCGAAACATGTGAAAGACGAAACCGAAGTGATTGAATTGCTGCCCGGTGAACAGCAGGATGAAAGAAAGAGTAAATTCTTGCGGAAAACGCGCTCGCAATCGATGGAAACGAATGATGACGACAGTGATGAGTTAATGATCGAGACATATGACAGGTTTTCTTTTTTATAATAGTTCAAACTTTATTTTTAACAAGATTCTGTTTGATCTCTCGAATACCTAATGTTGCATTCGGTACTAAATCACATTGTTCAAGAGTTGCGTTTTCATCTGTGAAGAAAAGTTTTGTTCCCATAGCAAATAAATCGAAATCAAATGTAAGTTTTCTTAAAGAAACAAAAAAGGACTTTTGTTCAAGGAACATCTCGTTTTCATCTTCGTTACTTCTTTTTTGCAATGACTTGTTTAACATCTTTGATTGTACTTGTCACTTTCATTTTAATGACATAAGTTTGTTGACCATCGTGAGAACGAATACGAAGTGTACTGACGGAAATATGATCATCAGCCCCGTGTTTGTGTTCGCTGATCGCACTTGAATACAAAAAAGACACGCGAATGTGTGAAACGTTCGAAACAGAAGATATTTTATACCTTTCACATCGGATTGTTGATTCCTGTTTGCCCTAGGAAAAGATACCAAAGAAGAAATTCTTAGTTTTCAAATTTCATATGATTGATAAATGAGTATTCTCAGTTTTTTTTCTTGTTTGAGTAACCTTCGTTTCAATATTTGAAGAACTGTTCGACCGTTAACATCAGCAGATTATGTAATACTTATCAATATTCATAGAATTAGTTGTCGTGTAATTTTTTTCAATATTCATCTCTCTATCACGAGAAGATCTCTTTGCTTACTGTTAACTGTTGCTCGATGTTTTGACGAATATCAATCACTTGACCGTTTTTAATTACAGTCTTCGGAAGACGATTTAGAAATTGTTGCACATGAACTTTCGGCCCTAAACAAAGCAGTCTTAATAAGAGAAACGAAGTATGGTTTATTTACGTTGATCATTCGATTCTGTCTTTGCACCGTGTGGGATCGGCGGTAAATGATCTGTCGTTTGATTACTATGTACAACACGACTATCATGCAGGACATAACCTTCGCCATGAAAGGCTTTCTGTTTACGATCATCCGTGAAGTAGACCTCTCGTCTATCCGATACCTGAAACATCAAATATCGAGGTGACGATGACTTAAATGCGAAGTTTTTGTACATGAAAAGGTACTCCATTTGGAAATCGTTTTTGTAGTTCTGATGGGAAGAATCCATCGAGTATATCGCGAAGAAATTGCTGAGTAGATGGATCTACAACTGAGAATCCGAAGGAGAAACGAAACGTATGGAGATTCTCACCAGTAAATGGTCGAAAAGGTCCGTTGAATAGGAAAATACCATTCGCGTAAAGTGTTAACTGAATTGGCTCTGTACGTTTCAAGGTTGAGATATGTCGTTGACAGTTAGAATTATGTGGTTCGAAATGCATTTCACTTTCTCCAGCTAAGATATTCAATTCACGAATATTTTCTAGAAGAGAGCTGTAATTAATCGGCATTATCGATGGCACTGATTCCTCTACAAAAAAAAGTACAGTTCAAACTAGTCAATTGTGCGGTTTATTTCATACCCGGCCGCCAGGTTGATGCTGCCGATGATGTAATTGTCTGTTGTTGTTGTTGCTGTTGTTCAATACGATCAGCTTCATCGAAAGTGAGAATATTTACATTATCCGGCTCGTTTAATTCGCCGACAACTTCGAGACCACGTTCAATGAGTAAATCCTACTAGAAGCAAATCAGTCAAAGTCTGTGCAATTCAATCATAGATGTTACCGACTTCCATGCGATCGATAATGGATTGCAAACGTGCACATTTTTTCTCGAGAATTTCAATCTTATACGATTCGTTCGATTGATTTTCTAGAAGAAAAGACTTCTTTCTTTCTTATATTCTATTCTTAGCAGGGCACGTACGTAATGCTTTTTCGTAAAGTCGATTCTTCTCTTCTAGTACAGCAATACGCTGAGTCTAAAATAATATCACAAGTTATGTTGTGGTCAGATGCTTGTTCATCTTACTTTATCTTTGACTTCGCTGGTTAAATATCGAACATCTGACTCTGCTTTCTGCATGCGATTCATGGTCAATTGGAGAAGATCCAAGTCAGTTGGAGCTGTAACAAATTCAAACATTGTAAAACTTTTATCAAAAGAAACCGCCGAAATCACCTCGAATTCGTGACTCGTTTGTCGATCTATGACTTTTCATGTTATCCAAAGCCATACGTGAAGTGACTTCGTCTATTAACTGAGCATCTTCATCTATGATAAAGTATACATGTCTTTCCCTTTCATTCAAAAACGAAAATATTAGTTGATTTTTACTAGAATATCGGTAATTATTTGATCTTGCTGTTTGAGTGGCTGGTGTCGCGCTAGAAACATTACTAAACGTAGATCAATACCAGAAAAAGAAAGTTTTCTAATACTTTTCATCAAGTGGAATGTCGTTTAACGAAATATTCGGACTTTTCCCTACCGGAACTTTTCTGTATCGATTCAAAGACGTATAAGGTGTCGACATAATTTTGGTACTTGAATGTCTTTGACAGAATCACATTCGTGAATAGCATTTAACTTTCATTACAATGTAGTAAAAAGAAATCACTATGTGAAAACCTTGAATTTAAAAAGAATTCGAGAGATGTCAGACGCATCCATTCACTACTATCGGTATAAATTTCAATTTCCAATGAACTCTACAATGTTTGCGTATTAGATTTTTCTAATGTTCTTGTTGTATTATATATTTCTACTAGTCATATTCGATTATGAATAACCGAGATGACACACGCGCACACAAAATCGTCCAGCTGACATAGAAAAAGAAGGAAGAATAGATGAAAGAACAGATGTATGTAGTGCTACTATTAGTTATGCATTATTCTAGATCTGGTTCAGTCAAAATTGCGCTACCACCAAGAGCTGAAGACGATGCACCCATAACCGACTAGAAAAAAGAATAGAAAGAGAAAATAAATATCAAATCGTTGATAGCAATCGATGAATATACTTGGGCAACTCGCGGTAAACGCATGATGATTTCTTGAAACAATTCAGGTGGTAGTGTTTGTTGAAATAGTGAAAGGAGACTTTGAGGCTGACTACAAACAGCGACAGCTTTAGCGAGATGATCGACACCATTATCAAGATCACCTAAACGAACATTCATGAAGAATTCGACTTTGACGAAAGAAATGAGAATGAATACTCACCTCGGGACAGACAATCTTCGCCTTGTTGAATTTGTTCAAGAAAATAGCGACGCATCTCGTCGGGATTACTGGAATCAACCTGATAGACATCGGCAATCAATCGCTAGTCATATGAAAATACAGCAGAAAACTTACTGTTAAACTGTCACTAGAAGTCGGACCATGTTGTTTCTGTTTCTTTCGTTCTAAAGAGAGTAGAGTTAAGGTTTGGTCGATGATAATCATCATACTGACTAGCTTTTAATTTTTCACGAAATTCCGGCGCACTTCGTCGTTTTTGATCGAAATAAAAGCAATAACCAACAAAACCTACACCGAGACTAACTGCAGCCACAAGTGGCCAAAATGCTTTGCTATTCGTATTCATCTAAAATGAGAATATTGACGTACATGAGTATATCATCGTTTATATTGATACAAAGAAAATGAAACTGATGAACAGATAAATTGTTACCATGATTTCTATGACGCAATTTGTTCAAACGAACAAATATGGATTGATTTTATATTGAAGTATTTCTGACAGCACACACGAGACAGTGTTTTAGTTGATTAAGAATGATTTTAAGGTATTAACGCTATAAATAGTCACTTTCGATGACTCATACTGATACGACGTGTCACTTAAGTACAGTTTATCTCCATTTTGACGATTCTATTTAAAAGCAAAACGTCAACTTACGAAAGACACATCTGATTATTCAAAATGAGTCTTGATCTTCAAGGTATGTTTAATCCGTTCGCATCGTTTGGAAAAAATGATCACGCTCGAATTCTCATGCTCGGCCTCGATGGAGCAGGTAAAACAACCATTCTCTATCGAAGCAAACTGAACGAAACGATAAATACTGAGCCAACGAATGGTATGATGTTAACGAACAAATTCTCGGACAAATGATTTCATATTATAGGGTTTAAAATCGAAATTATCAATCCTTGTCCTGGGATGTTCTTCACTGTATGGGATGTACGTAGATAATAAGTTGCAAGTATTTCATTTCAAATGAACGCTTTTCTCTTTACTAGATCGGTGGAGAGAAGAAACATCGCTATCTTTGGCATTATTATCATCCGGGAATGGAAGGTCTGATATTCGTTATCGATAGTACTGATCGCGAGCGAATCGACGAAGTTCGAGAAGAATTTCACAACATTCTCACATTTCCTTACATGACCAATGTACCTGTTTTGATCATCGCTAACAAACGCGATCTGCCTAGCAAGTAATACAGTCGACACTTTCGTTGTAATTTTTCAAATAGATGCGATGGATCGATGGGAACTAATCGATAAATTAGGCATGAAGAATATTTCTACTCAACACAAATGGTACCTTCGATCGGTGTGTGCAAGAACGGGCGAGGGCTTAGACGAAGCAATGCTGGTGATGGCTAATTTAATAAAACAAAATCGCAAGGAAAACAAATGAAAAAAGAATGTTGTTTTCTGTATATTTAAATACGTAATGAGAATAAAATTATTGTAAAAAAAAACAAACAATATCACATAAAATATGTTTTTTCTTTTCAACAGTTGCACGTGAGAAGTAGATCAGAGAGAGAGAGAGAGAGAGAGAGAGAGAGGCAGTTTTATTTGACAAGATCAATAGAAAACGTTTGATTCTGTATTGGCCTGTGTGGAAAGCAGTAAGGCTTTCGGATTGATAAAAGTCAAACTCGGAACGGTTTCTTGGACTACTTTTGCATCGTCAGTTATCATCGTCGTCGAGCCTGGAAAGAGATCCATCGTTTTGATCGATGTGGACTGTAGAGAAGGGTTCGGACTGGAATTTCGATGAACAATCGTGGCTAAACTGGATTGCTGACGTCGATTATTCGCCGTCGAAATCGGTGGAATGTAGTAATCCAAATCAAGGGTTTTATTCACATCAACAACTGAGAAAACAAAAGATTCGATTAGAAGAAACATCACCGATGATTAGTGAGATATTTAGGGTAAGTTATGACGTACACCAAACTTACCGTGATTCTCACTCCTGTTCGTATCTGTTGAAAGGAATGTACTCTGATTGTCTATATGAACAGAAGATTAGCTATGAACTTGCTTTCTCAGCTCTTTTTTCAAAGAAAACGACTGATGATTTCTCTTACCGGTAAGAGGATTTTCAAGACCATTGGATTTCCAATCGAAACTTGGACTGATCACCGGACATGATAACTAATCGAATACAAAAATAGATGAACTAGATCTGGCGGCTTCAGTAGAGCATTACTTTTGTTTCAACATCATCGTTTGAAATCTGTTTTTCATCATCACATGGCGAATCAGCTGGAATTGTTTTAGTCTGCAAAGTTCTCATCAATTCCTTTCCTTCCTGTTAGTTAATCTTCGTGACTTACACGAAAACGTTCTTGCACGCCTAGTGCTTGATGAAATGAACGTTCAATATTTGATTTTCGCCATTGATATTGGATTCCTAATGGATCATTTGATACATTTACCAAGACACTCCACAAGCTAAACACTGACATTGAAATATTGTTAAGCAAACCACCAGAATAACTTACGAAAGACTATGCTGAAAGGCGGGGCTTTGTTTGATTTGTTCTTCACGTTTTGTAAATGTCGGTAATGGAAAAGAAATGAGATTATCATTTTCGGTACATAAGCTTGGAGACTCCAATGGAAAACAAGCTGAGATCACAGCTTCAATCTGATCGTTACTAAGTGAATTCTAAAGCAAAGAGAAATACGAAACTTGCCCCGAAATCCATGACAAATCTACCACTGAGAAAGTCGGAGATTTCGTTTTCGGACGCTCTTGTACTTCACCATAAGCGCCGAACGCGTCATCGTCTTCTTCGTTCGATCGATCGACATGTTGAAAGTCCGCCCAATTGCTGTTCGACGCTTCTTCTTTATTATTCTACGATTTCAATGAATTAAATCATCAAAAAATACCTTCGAAAATACCTCGGACTCTTGCTTTTCAAATGCATTGAAATTCGCCCAGCCATAATCAGTCATTGAGTCTTGTTTCCTATTTTCAGGAGACGCATCCGACGGCATCACATTATTTTCAATCTCATCATTGTTCAATGACGAAGAAGAGTCAGTCCTGTGACTCATAACATCTATAAATAAAAACACATTTATTTGTTTTGCTCTTAAACACACGAATATAGACGAAGCCAATACGGAGTATTCCAGGTCAAATATTCGAAGTGTAGAATGTCATCAAAAACTCTATGAAGTGTCCTATTCAATCAATAAGAAGGAAATTGTGATATAAAAAGAAAAGCTCGTTTTTACATATCGTGATGGGAATTTACTTGTATCTCCCGAGATGATTAATTTCTATTTCTTTCATTTAATAATTACTCAATATAGTTTCCTGTGAGCGTCCAAAAGATTGATTCGTTGAAATTCTCTGTAGACGGAAAAGCACGAGGCGTGACCGAATTATCCCGACACGAAGGTTCAAAAGCACAAAAACAACATTCCGAGAAAATTGATCTCAGCGGGTAAGTGTCGAAAACGAACATCGGATTCTTCTTCTCACTAACGAATCAACCATGATAACATTTATAAAAAACGCAAATGCCTCGATAAGAATGGCGCTGATAGTTAGTTACACATGGACGTGCTATACCGACATCTCAAGGATGAGACGAAAAGTAAATCGAGTCTTGAAGCTTTTTCAATTCAATGTATCTTGTTCGGCATGTGAGTTTCTTCATGGAATCGAAGGTTTTCATCACGACAATTCCCTGTGCTCATCTCACATAATCTGTAGGCGTTCTTTTCCCTTGTTTGGAATTAATAATTTCAGTATGCAAATATCATGAACGATCTTTATCTTTTGGAGAGCAATACAATGAGTATTGATGCAGAAATTCAATTGAAATAAGACAATTTCCGTTCAATTTTGAGTTTGTTAGTATCATTTACAGATGGAAGAATTTTTCTAATCAATTATCCTAGGTTTGTTTCGTGTAAGCACCACATTATTTTAAGAGTTGTTGTCTCGTGTATTAGAATCTCATCTCGCTTGAGTGGAAAAGTCGAAGAAAGTTAGGTATGAAACAAAAATAACATCGGATTTAACAGATTAACAGTTATTTTCTCTTTTCTTATCATCGTCGACGTCAATCTCTAAAATGTTCAACCGTCCGCGTGGTAACCGTTGGCAGATTAATAACTAGAACAGAAATGTGTAATGTTTTTTTAATTCTAATCACCGATTACCTAAGGAAACGCAAATCATGAAGTCTAATGTCATGCCAATGCAACGTATCGAGCATTTCAGATGATTATTTATTTATCTGTAGAAATATTCAATATTATTCCGTGGAGTGTTGAACCGTTTTGTTCCTAAAAGTAATTTTCTACTTGTTACACACGAAGGTTTTCGTTGAGATGATCATATGGAGATATGTTCGGATGTGCTGATTTAAACTGGGAAGTCCTTATTCTATCCCATGCATACCTATAGTTCAAACGAAAATAATCTAGAAAATTATCGCTAAATGTATGATTTCAGGCTAAACGCGTAGCCATGACTTTTCAGCAAAGAAACCAGTGCATTTCTTCAAGCAGAAGACCTTAAATACTTGAGGTAGGATTAATTTCCTTCAACGTTTTTCTCAAATGCTGAGGATAATTTCAAAAGTGGTGTTGGCTTTATTCCCTGTATACATGTTTTCATAAGGTTACCCCAGTAGATTACAATTTTCTATGTCATGGCAAATATGGAAAGTCAGAGAGAGAGAGAGAGAGAAAACAATTACAGTAGGTGTTTTCTACTTATCACCAATGACGTCTGACAAAACTAAAAAAATAAATGAAGACATATGTAAGTATTTTTTCTTCTACATTAGCGAGAACACTATATAATACGAGAGTTTTCAACAGTGTAGAGATCATTTTTCTCTGAGAGAAAGTCCAAGTAAGTCAATATTTTTTCGACTGTCAAACAGAAAAATGACTTTATTGAGTTTTTATCTAATAAGAAGTTAACTGTTCTCTTAATTAAAAGCACTTACTCAAATACGACAATAACAACATCTTGGTAACGCACGAACTCAATATCATTCAGGGAATTCAAGCACTTAGCTACATTAAATTGTATATAAGTCTGTTCATGTTCATCATTTTGTTCACAGATGCGTTCGAGAGTGTTAGCATTTTATTTCTTAACAACCTCCTCCGTATAACGTGTATTTTAGATCTCTAGTTAGCATTTTAATTTTCTAAATCGACATCAAATGGCATCCATCACAACCTCTCTCTTAATTTTAACCATCTCATTGGGTAAGTTTTCATTTTCGAAGATCTATGATAAAATATTTCGAATGAATTTCTTTAGCTATTCTCAGCATTCAGTTTACCAACTGTGCTCCAGTTAATTCCGACGTGCCGAATGCAATTGAAACTGTTATGAATGCAGATCAAAGCGATTCATTGAAACACAATGAACCTGTTGGAAGAGCTCCTTTGACCAAACGAGATTATCCAATGGAAGGGATCATGCTAGGTAGACGCGAATATCCAATGGAAGGGATCATGCTAGGCAGACGAGAATATCCAATGGAAGGCATTTTACTTGGAAAACGTGACTATCCAACTGAAGGTATTCTTCTCGGTAAACGTGAATATCCAATGGAAGGGATCATGTTAGGCAGACGAGAATATCCGACGGAAGGCATTTTACTTGGAAAACGCGAATACCCGACTGAAGGGATTCTTCTAGGTAAACGTAATGTGCGATTTTCTAAACCCAAGTCATCTGGAATGGCTCATCATGGTTTCAATACTTAAACATGAGATTTTTCATATGATACACTTTTATTATCACAACTATTCGTCTATCAATCATACGTTTCTGTATATGAACAAACCTTTCAATAAAATCTGATCGTCAATAAAACAAATCTAGCATCATGTCATCATTGCTTCGATTTCGTTTTTTCCTGATTTTTTTCTTATTCAATAAAATTTGAAAGAATTACAGAATTCATAAACGTGATAGGAGCACATTTGTAACAGTCGTTTTGAATAAAAGAAGAAACGATCAAGTTGTTATTAGTTTGTTTCTTTTATTGATTTTTGAATAAAATGATAACATGGAAAAAGAAAGGACAAGACAACTATTGTTTTTACAATAGAAGAATGAACAGAAAGACGATAACGTACAGAGAGACACTGAAAATATGAATTTATACGTGCAAAGAAAATAGTCGTTCGATGAAGGTCTCTATTTGATACAGCAGAAAAACATTTCTAAGAACCTTCTTGACCAAATTCTTCTGTGAATTTTTTCTGTAATTTCAGATCATCCTCGCCGACAGTTGGTTTTTGGGTTGAAAGAGCAGCTAACATATCCGACTAAAAAGACAAATTTTATCTCGACAAGTCACAACGGTCTTTCGTCATCAAAATTACGTACGATGGTTACTGGTGGTTCGCATAACTCTTGCGGCTCAATTTTATCTAAAGTCAATTCTACGGCCTCTGAATCTCCTGGTGAACAAACGAGCCATAATTGTCTAGGACCATCAGGCTTATTATTAGCAATCTAGACATTCAATGTCAGACAAAGATATACTTTCATATTATTAGTTTCTTACTCGTTTAAAATGGGTTGCTGAGCCCAGTCGACGAATGGGTCTTAACAGCGCTTCTCGACAAACAACACCGATATCAGCACCAGAATAACTACGAATAGTAAATGTATGAACATCATCTAGTGCAAATAAACATGTCGACTTTACTGTTCTGATCTCTGCGCAAGTTGCATCCATTCATTTTCTCGAATTGTATGGTAAGTATTCGCTCCCAAATGAGTTTTAAACATCGCTGCACGTTCATTCACGCCTGGTAGTGGGATATATATTCTCTTTTCGAATCTACAAAAACAACAAATCTCTTCTGCCTGAGAAATCTTCATCTTCTTCGTCAGCTCTACTACCGTCGACGAATAGCTGTGTCCAACGCCCAAGGTATGTTCGTCGCTGCAAGCACCAGCACTCCAGAATTATCTGTTCCAACACCTAAATTCAACATACACACACACATACATACATTCTGTACACATAACTCTGCCTTCTATCACTTACCTTGCATCTGAACAAGGAACTCAGTCTTCACTCGACGAGACGATTCAGATTCAGTGTCGTTTCGTTGACCACACAACGCATCAATTTCGTCGATAAAAACGATGCACGGTTGTCTTTCTCGAGCCACTTCAAACAAGCATTTCACGCCCTTTTCACTCTCACCGAGCCACTTCGACAGAAGATCAGACGAACTCACAGAGATGAACGTGCTCTTGCATTCTGTTGCAATGGCTTTAGCAAGATAAGACTTTCCAGTACCGGGAGGCTAGAACGCAGACATTCGTGTAGAGAGTAGAAGTGTGATCGTGAGCTTACTCCGTAGAGAAGAATACCAGCCCATGGTTTTCGTTTGCCTGACGAATGAAGAAAAGAAGAAGAGTGAAATATGTATGTGAGTGAAGATAGGGTACCTTGGAAAAGCTGAGGAAACTTGACAGGCAGAATAACAGCTTCCTTGAGAGCTTCTTTTGCTTGTTCTAAACCAACGACATCGGCGAATGAAACATTAGGATTGGTGACAATAGCTCCTGCAATTGGATATATATATGTATATGTTTCGATGCATTAATCAAAGTGTTTACCTTCAAACTTTTGCATCATTCGTTTTCGGTCTGGATCACTGCTATCGTCATCATCTTTATTGTCTTTCGAATTTCCTCCATCGGCTACTGCTTTTTTCTTGCCTCCATTCTTAGCAAGTCCCTTGATTTCCTCTGCTCGTTTCAAGTAACTGTTCACTTTTGCTCGTATGTTTTGCTTCATGGCTTCATTCATCGCACCATCTACGGGCAAAAATACATTTATTTTGAAAAAACTTTATTCAACTAGCAGGTACTTACATTTAACGGCTTGCATCAACCATTCAGCTGCTGTCATATAGTGTTCAGCAGCGACTTCGTAATTGTGTGCTTTGTCTTCTGCTGTTGCTTGTTCAGCGCTACGAATACCTTTCTATGAAAGTAGACTCGTACGTTTCATGAGATGTGAATAATCATCAAATCTTCCTACCTGAATATAGTCATTTTGACCGCTAGCCATTCTGAAATAATGTTAACAAAGAAGTAACTGAAAATAAAGATTAAGCCGATAAAATTGTGTAGTCAAAGATGAGTAAGAGCAACTTGAAAATTATCTAGTGTGATGATGACGATATAAGAAAAACAAAAACGAGATGTTTTGTTTGTTAACGTGCGTCAATCAAGTCAAAATAGAAAGAATATGGCACGGAATGATTCATCATATCAGCAACATCCATCCTGTCGTTTATCTCGAGTTCACAAGTAGACGAATAAAAAATTAACTAATTGAATATCGATAGAAAGAATATTTTTCGTAAGATTGAACGTTGGTGTAACAATAAAATATTCGATGGCGTCGACATTGTCCTCATTTCGACACGACTCACTAGATGGCAGCACTTGTCATATTTTAAGTCATTGTTTATAAATAAATACAAGAATCAGCTGTGCAATTTACTCGCCCAAACACTATGAGAACGACTGGGCAACTCAAAAACTTTTAACAAGCAATAAAATATAGACATTGAGGTTTATTATCAAAGTAATCAAAACAAAAACAAAAATGTACACTATATCAACTTTAAAGTCATTGCTTTTTATGAGCCATCTTGACCGAATTCTTCCGTGAATTGCTTATATCTCGACAGATCGGCTTCACGAACGGTTGCCTTTTGTGTCGAGAGAGCGGCTAGCATGTCAGACTGAAAATGTAGTAGATCTATATTAATTTATTCGGAAAGAGGCTTTCGATATACCAACCATCAGTACGGGTGGATCGCATAGTTCTTCCGAGTTGATCTCCTCCAATGTCATTTCCTTAGCACCAGCATCGCCAGGCGAGCACGAAATCCACAGCTGTCGAGGACCATTTTTATTAGGATTTTGAATCTAAATCCGTTTCCAAAGAATAATTAACAAGAGGCAATTGAAAGATCTGAACATACTCGTTTGAAATGGGTTGCTGAGCTCAATCGTCGGATAGGTCTCAACAGCGCTTCTCGACAAACAACACCAATATCAGCACCAGAATAGCTTAAAAAAGCACGAAGAATATAATACTACGTGGTTATTCATCTAGTTACTGATCAGCTCGTTGCGCAAGTTGCATCCATTCGTCTTCTCTAACTGAATGGTTAGCTCCTGAACCCAAATGCACTTTGAACATTCCGACTCGTTCATGAACTTCCGGTAATGGTATGTATATTCTCTTTTCGAATCTACAAAAACAACAAATCTCTTCTGCCTGAGAAATCTTCATCTTCTTCGTCAGCTCTACTACCGTCGACGAATAGCCGTGTCCAGCGCCCAAGGTATGTTCGTCGCCGCGAGCACCAACACTCCAGAATTATCTGTTCCAACACCTAAATTCAACATACATTCTGTACACACATTTCTGCCTTCTATCACTTACCTTGCATCTGAACAAGAAACTCAGTCTTCACTCGACGAGACGATTCAGATTCAGTGTCGTTTCGTTGACCACACAACGCATCAATTTCGTCGATAAAAACGATGCACGGTTGTCTTTCTCGAGCCACTTCAAACAAGCATTTCACGCCCTTTTCACTCTCACCGAGCCACTTCGACAGAAGATCAGATGAACTCACAGAGATGAACGTGCTCTTGCATTCCGTTGCAATGGCTTTAGCAAGATAAGACTTTCCAGTACCGGGAGGCTAGAATGCAGACATTCGTGTAGAGAGTAATTAGAAGTGTGATCGTGGGCTTACTCCGTAGAGAAGAATACCAGCCCATGGTTTTCGTTTGCCTGACGAATGAAGAAAAGAAGAAGAATGAAATATGTATGTGAGTGAAGATAGGGTACCTTGGAAAAGCTGAGGAAACTTGACAGGTAGAATAACAGCCTCCTTGAGAGCTTCTTTTGCTTGTTCTAAACCAACGACATCGGCGAATGTTATTTTTGAATCCACAACAATAGCTCCTGGGACCAATACAAATAATAATCAATCGAATGAGATAGTGTTTTTATAGAATAAACCTTGAAACTTGTGCATCATTCTTCTTCTGTCAAGATCATCGCTTTCATCTTCATCGCGATCATACCTCCCATTTCTACGATCTGACGCATCATCCGCTATCGCCTTCTGTTTAACCGGTCCGTTCTTGAAGAGATTTTTGAGTTCTTCTACTCGTTGGATGTAGCTTTTAGCTTTGGCACGAATTTGTATTTTCGTATGCTCACTCACAGTTCCATCTAGAATATTGTTTATAAAAGTAAATCTATATCATAACTATCAATGTGTTGTCACTGCATACATTTGATTGCGTGTAAAAACCATTCCACTGCAGTCATGTATCCTTGAATAGCAGCTTCGTATTTATGTTCTTTATCGTAGATTGCAGCTTGCTCAGCAGACTGTATGCCTTTCTACATTACAAGAAAAGAAATGTTCAAGGTCAACAAGCGACGGTGAAATTGTCAGTTCATACTTGGATAACATCTGTTAAATTGCTTGTCATTCTTTCAATATTTATCAAATAGAGGAATGAAAACGTTCCAGCCGTACTGGCTGATTATTCACACGCGTTGTTGTTTTCAAAATGTGAGTAATGTACAAAATACTCTACGATTAGCAATCGCAACCGAGAGAAAAGAAACAGCTTAGCAAGGTAAATGGTATACTGGCTGTTAAGCATGTCTTTTATGATGCAAAATAAAAGCTAAAAGTACATGAATTCGACAGAATGCAGCTGATTGTTTATGATTACATTTTGGCCAACTTTTCATATGATTTGTATTAGCATTGTTTTCCTATTAAACGACTGCGTTTGTAGAAAAAAAAGTCGGTAATTTGATTACAATATAAATTTTCAAGTTTTCTCTTCATCGATAGACAGCGACACGCATGTGTCAGTTAGTTATTGGGTTAAATTCACCTTCCAATCTGTTATTCCTTGAATTTTTATCGAGTATTCAACGAGCGAGGCTTCCCCTTCTTAAACAGAACACAGAAATGAAAAAAGTATCCTTCAACGTTTATTTTATTGATGATCTTGAATCATTTCGAATCTTGTGTCACTATGCATTTGTTCATTTAGATGGCATCCGATACACGCACTGAAAAAGAAAAGATGCTGGCCGGTGATTTGTACGATGCATACGTCCCAGAATTATTGAATGAACGGTTGAGATGTCGAGAACTTGTTCATGATTATAATTTAACTCGGCCAAGTGAAGAAAAACAACGCCATGAAATCTTGAAGAAATTATTCGGTACATTGGGAGCCAATTCAATCATTGAGACGCCGTTCAAATGCGACTATGGTTATAATATACATTGGGGCGAAAACTCATTTGGTAACTATAATTTAGTCATTCTTGATACATGTCCAGTTTACGTTGGTAATTATGTCTTAATGGGTCCCGATGTGAAAATCTATTCTGCGACGCATCCAACTGATCCACAAGCACGACTTGACGGATCAGAATACGGAAAGCCGATCCGAATTGGAAACAATGTCTGGATCGGTGGTAGTGTTGTGATTGTTGCTGGTGTAACGATTGGAGACAATAGTGTGATCGGTGCTGGTAGTGTTGTAGTCAAAGACATCCCAGCGAATGTTGTAGCTGTCGGAAATCCTTGTAAAGTGATTAAACAGTTGCAAGCACCGACACGGCCACCAAAACAGCTCCAACAATTGACGTCGTACGATCAAAAGAAGGATAATAATGCTTAATCGTGTGCAATGATCGTGGTTATGCAATTAATTTTTTAGAAAGAAATGATTTTTCTAATAAAAAGAATAAATTTGTTTTGGTATTTAATCTTTTACAGAAAACCGATCTGTGCTATCTTTGAGAATTTGTAGAGTGAAGTCCGTTAAAGAAGAGTTTCTAATTTGTCCTTCATTAACTTAATTGAATAGAAGGATCGACTGGATGGAATCAAGTTATGCTCTTCTATGTTTCGTTTACTTTTAGATTTCTTTTAAGAGCCAGTCAATCCCGTCCGACGTTTCTAAATGTTCCGAGGTCGTCTGTGGCGATTTATAACATTCTTTTTATTTCTGTACATTCTATTTGTTATTTACTCCTTACACTTGTTCAGTTCGGACAACACTGATACCACAACAACATCGCCGAAACCTCCAGTAGAAGTTAAAGGCGATGATCCAGTCAAAGTGCCGAATCCAGTCGAGCCCCGTCAGGAGGAAAATAGTGCGAGAAGTTTAGAGCCTGTTATGCGATCAGGTATCTTAGGTAATTACGAACCGAAAGATGCCGGCAAAGTATCTGGCCCAGGTGAAAACGGCGAAGGTGTACGACTAACAGACGAAAAAGAAAAGGCATTAGGAGACAAATCTGTTGCAGAATACGGTTTTAATGAAGTTGCAAGTGAAAAAATCTCGTTGAACAGACACGCACGTGATACGCGGTAAGATCTATTCAACTTATTTGCTGTTGACTTGAGGATTGTTTTAAACTAGACCTGATGAATGTAAATATTGGCACTATCCAACGGTAGATAAGCTACCGACAGCATCAGTCGTGCTTGTGTTCCACGACGAAGGTTGGTCAACGCTAGTTCGAACATTTCATTCGGTGATCAATACAAGTCCGAAAGCGTTATTAAAGGATGTCATTCTCGTCGATGATTTTAGTGTGGATAGAGATATTACTGTTCGTTTGCCTGAGTATATCAAAAAATGGAACGGCCTGGTGAAATATGTTCGAACGAAAGAACGGTAATAATATATTTCTTTTCAATTAAATGAGACTTTTCTTCATTCAGTGTGGGTCTTGTGGAAGCTCGTGTTATCGGTGCACGTGCTGGTGAAGGTGATGTGATTGTGATCTTAGATGCTCATTGCGAATGCGTAAGTTTCATGTTTTCATCTGATTCTAATTTTCAACGAACTGTCATTTTCAGGTCGCAAATTGGTTACCACCATTACTTACTCGTATAGCATTGAATCGCAAGACATTGGCTGTACCAATTGTAGATGGTATTCAATGGGATACTCTACAACACAATCAAGCTTACGGCGGTAGTACACTTTTCCGAGGTATATGGGAATGGGGATTTTTGTACAAAGAGACAGAAATACCTGAACGAGAACGCAGCCAAATGAAATATCGAACGGAACCTTACAAAAGTCCCACAGTAAATTTCTTTTTCTATGAAGAGATTTTTTTCTACGGGGAAACGTTGTTTTGCATAGCATGCTGGTGGTCTTTTGGCAATAGAAAAGAAGTGGTTTTTTGAATTAGGCGCGTATGATCCAGATATCAAAATTTGGTAAGTTCAAATACGAAAAAGTTGCTAAACTTGCTGTTGATGAAACTGTTTTCTCTTTAGGGGTGGTACGTACTAAAAGGTATTCTAATAGTCATTCATTCTTGTTCTTCTCTTGCATTAGGTGAACAATATGAACTAAGTTTTAAAGTTTGGATGTGTGGCGGACAAGTCGAATGGTTAGTTACATAGGAACATATGAATTGGTGCATCATTTTCGTTCGTTTCAGGGTCTCATGTAGCCATGTGGGACATATTTATCGAGGACCACGTACACGAAGTATGCATCCTCATGGTGCAAATCATTTTCAGAGTCATATCAATCATTTGCGAGTAGCTGAGGTGTGACCGTAGCTCTCTACTTGACTGTAACAATGTATAATCTCTTATTTCGAATAGGTCTGGATGGATGATTACAAGAAATACTATTTACGTCGTCAACCAAGTCATGGCCATCTGGAAATCGGTGATACGAGTGCCTATAAAGCTCTCCGACAACGTTTGAATTGCTCCAGTTTTCAATGGTTTATGGATAATGTAGCGTATGAAATGAAGGACAAATATCCTGTCCCACCTGAAAATGTCGTGTGGGGTGAAATGCGCAATGACCAGCATAGCACTTCATGCGCCGACACGCTCGGCAAAGGATTCGGTTCGATCATCGGTGTCTCAGGATGTCATTCTCAAGGCGGAAACCAATTGTTTCGTTTGAATGCAGAAGGCGAATGGTCAATGGACGAACGTTGCTATGTTTCTCAGGGAACTTCCATTGTTTCACGGTAAGACAAACTGTTTTTTCTGACCGAGATCAGGAAACATACTCTCACAATAGATTTTGCGTGAACAATGGCAGATGGATTCCTAAAGGCGAATGGAATTACGACAACAACACTCGACAAATCCGTTCGAATACAGTCGATAAATGTGTAACAACTGACGGCAAAACTTTATTCCTTGAAACCTGTCAAGCCAACAACACAGCACAAACATGGAAATGGAAAGAAATCTATCTAGGATAAAGCTTGCAACGATGCATCCAAATCAAAGCTCAACATTTCATGACACGATCTCAACATTGACATAGTTTTCATTCTTTGTTATTTTTGTTTTCTTTCCCATGTTCTACAATAATTTATTTTCGAATACATTTTATATGCTATGCGGAAGCCATTCACAAACGTCCAAAAAAAAATAAGAACATATTTTTCTCTGTTTTATTTCAACAGTAACAAATAATAAAAAGGTCAACGTGTTTTCCTGCAGCTCAAACTGCTTGATTCATACGATCAGCACACAGTTTTTCGATATCATCTAGACTCAAACGATCGATCACATTTTTCATTTCCTAAAAAGTAGCCACTGAGTTTTTGACGTGAAAAAGCAAAGATGATCATTACTATTTGAAACGCTGTAACAAATGCTTCGCGTTCTGTTGGATTGTTCGCCCATTTCGAAGCAAGTATTCGTAATTCATTTATCAATGAGTTCGCAGCCATTGGTTTTGTCGGTGTACTTTGCGTGGAAATGATTAAATGCAGTTTGGCACCATCGGTTATTTGATAATCACAAATCGATCCATCATGCAATGGTTTACCTTTCAGAACAAGTTTCTGCTGATTTTCCGGAATATGTAATTGTTCCGCAAGACGAGATTTGATCTGTTGAATTGTATCATACGGTGACACCTAGGTGAACATGGTCTTATACAAGGACAAGAACAGACTTGAACATACATCCAGTTGGATTTCATTTGTTCCTGGACTGTTGAGTTGTTTTATGTAGATAAACATCTGAAAATGAGCGCATATGCGCGTACATACAACCGTTTATTTGAATATGTTTGTTCTCGCGTTCACACACAGAGAAGGAGATATACAAATGAAATTTAGTTAGATATCATTAAGTTTTCTTTCTAAAATATAGAAGTCGTTGATGATACGTTTCACAAGTTATTCGAAATCCAAACGCACATATTGCTTGATGAAATTGTGAAGAAAATAGACAAGCAAAAAAGTGAAAGAGAGAGAGAGACAAAGATGAAAATAAACAAAAATATTCAAGTCATATCCATAGGCGCAAGTTATCTTCATTATTAGAACGAAGAAAAATATATCGATCACAAAAAAATACAAATAAGCACGAGAGTAAGATTTTTGTATGTATATCTTTGTTAGAGAATCGAATCATTGAATATTCATTCTTCAATGTGCGATAACGATTCAGGAATCGTTTCTGCCACCGCTTGACGTTGTCGTTTAGCAGCTCGTTGGGCTATGCGAGACTTGCTCGGTGTGAGGAGATCGATATTTTCATCTTCTTCAACGTCTGCACGACGTTGTGCATGATTAGCGGCAGCAACTAGAGACGAAGAACATTGTCAAAGGGCAAAGTTTAGCAAATCAAGCTCACTTTCGACCTAGAAAAAGACGAAAAATTCCGATAAGAAGTTCTTGTAGAATTCGTTCGACTTACTCTCATTTGTTCAAAATTGTCCGCGTCTAAGATTGATCGAATATCAATAGGTGTTTCGGGTACAGTGCCCGTAAACCACGAACATCGAAGAATCCAATCAATCGTAACACGTGCCGCTGGATCGACTGTTAACATCTTTTGTATAATCGATTTTGCCTCTTGAGAAACATTTTTCCACTCAGCTTTAGGAAACTGATATTCACCAGCTTTTATCTTTGTTTTCATTCCAGCACTTATAGCACCACCATGTATAGAAAAGAACGGAGGATAACCACATAAAAGTATATACATTATCACACCCATTGACCAAATATCGCATGCCTTAATTTATCGACATAGATTAGCACGAAAAATCGACTGATTTTGTCTTACTTTGTCGTATTTATCGTTGGAGAGAATTTCTGGTGCAACATAATATGGAGTGTAACTAAAATAAAACAGGATTAGATTCGATAACACGTTTCACTTGAATCTTACCAAGGTGTATTCAATGGACGTTGTTCATTATTTCCTAAAACCCGAAGAAATTCATAGATGTTTTTGTTCGATTTTGTGTTATTACCTTCTTTAGCAAAACCGAAGTCTGTTAATTTTAATATAGCGTCATCTGCTGTAGATGTAAATAGTAAATTTTCCGGCTTGAGATCACCTAGAGTAAATGATTTTGCCATAAAAGCAACAAAACCACAAAGTCACTTACGATGTGCCTAAAAAACACAAAAGAGGATTAATTGAAATCAAAATTCTATGAAATTTTTACCATATCCATATGGTGTAAATGCGCTACTGCTTTGGCTATCATTAGAATAGTATTTGCAGCTTCTCGTTCAGTAAATGGTTTGTCTTGTCGATCTCGAATACGATTAAACAATTCTCCACCTTCCATACTAAATTCAAACAGAATAGAGATGAAATCAAATGATTTGAAAACGTACCACTCCATGACAATTAACAAGCATCGATTAGATGCATAGATATTCTCCTAAGAAAACAGAGAACTTGAGATGATGGTTAAGTAAAAGGGATTTTGAACGTACATAAACGTCAAGTACACTAACGATATATTCACAACCATCACTGGCTTTCTTATGAAGGATGACTTCTCGGCGAGCCTTATCTGAGTCTTTTAAGATCTAAATTGATTCAAAGATAGAGAAAGCATTACAATCAGTATTAGAATTGAGATAATCAATTTACTTTTAGAGCACATTTACGCTTTGTTTCACGTTGCCAACAAGTTAACACCTTGCCATTAATTCCAACACCTAAGGATTCTTTTGAAACCTCATATTCATCAGTGATTGCATTTCGGTGTGTTGGAAATGGAAATTGGCGATATTTCTCTGAGATATTTGTTGGTCTAAAATAAATTGTATAATTATAGATTACTTGGAAAGACATCAGCATACATACGCTGAAGCATTCAAGTCAACGGCTAGAATACCACATGGATTTGGTTTCTGTTGCTGTGATTGTGTAGTGACTTTCTCATTCTTATTCGAACAAGAAGACGATTCATTCGGTTTAATGTACTTTCGAAGTAAATCTCGGATTCCCATTAGTAAACGAAAAGTATTTGACTAGAGTGTTTCTGAAACTGACGAATCGAACGTTTATTTTCGTTATACGACACGTACTGATGGATTATTTTCCTTCACTCCGTCTTTATATAACTCGATACATACTTAAAGAATGAATTAAAGAAAGTATCATGCACTATCAGTGCGTGACGTGCGAACATTATGGACACGACCCTATAGTTTCTCCGCTTTTATTTTCAAATATTTATCATGCAATGACGTATTCTGTTGTTATCGATCTTGCCTCATACATGTGTAATATTTGCACTATTATGTATACCTTGAAAACATCAGTAGACGCTCGATAATAGACACCTATGACTTGCGTTAAAACTTGAAAAGAAAAACACGTAGAATCCTCACTCGAAACCGATTGACGACATCGCCAAAAAACAATCGGAAGCAACAGAAACCATACAAAAATCCTCTCTCAGATGTATTTTCGTGTGCGCGCGCGTTGGTTATACTCACTTTTTACTCGGTGACGTTTTCGTATCAGTCATTATTGATCGAATTTTTTAAGTCGAATGTCCAAAGTCTAGAAAGGAAAACGATTGGATTTTGTGCCAAATTATCGGTTACATGTTAAAAGAAACAATCGACTAAGTAATAATGATAATGCGAATAACAACAACAATAATACTGTCAGAAACGAAAGAAAAAAAAACAGAACAAACATTACAACGACGAACCGACCAACGAATAATCATGAGCTGTCTTTTTACGATAATGTCAGATGTGTAATATTAGGTAACAAACGTTATTCCACTCGATTTTTCTTTTGAAAAAACAAAGAATTCAAAATGATTGAATATCTCAATAGGAAATGTTCATTTTTTACAACTCACAACTACAGTAAGAAGAAAATGCATATTGATCATGCTGACAGCGCTGTTTTTGTATTTGTCATTTCCGACCAATCAAAGTGTTTTTTTCGTATCAATTACTAATTTGCTTATTCCATATCATCGGAATACTTTTGCATCAGTATCCCCGCATAAAAACACGAGAATTCAACGTTGATATAAACATTTACTTGAATACATGTCGGTGGAAATTAGTAGGTTCTATTTATCATCAAACAAGAGCCTGTCACGAATGGTAACACATTCTCAAGGACTGAAACACGTCTACGAGCGGCAATTGTGAAGTTTGATAATTTAATTGCTTTGAAGAGCATTTGAGAAGTTTAGTCGTAAACATTAAGTAAAGAGAATTTGAAATGCAATTCGAACGAACATCCTGTCCTCCATCAATCATGTTTATTGATTGGGAAAAAGAAACTTCGTTGATATCGTCGACGTCTTTTTTGTCTGAGCATGTCGAAGTGTTCAATCGATATTATTCTTTCTTTGTTATTTGTAAATAAACAAAAGCGCATGATAGATGATATTAAGTTTTATCTGTTTGTTTCGATCTTCTCATCGACTGTGGCGAAGACAAATGTTCACTCTGTCTATCGTATCGAGCAATCTGTTAAGATACATTTCACCTATTCAAACTTCTTACTTTTTCACGCTGACACTAAGTAACATTTTCTCATTTGTCAAGCGTCGAAGTTAGTTTTGAAGAGCTCTTCTTCTCCTCTCTATCAGATAAAAGACAAGCTAATTAATTTTTCAATTTTCCATTCCCATCTGCTTTTTATTTCGATGTCCATTTTGATATTATCATTGAGGTGATATCACACATAGAAATCTTGTCGCATAAAAGCTAATTGCATCTGACAGAACGAGTAACAGCATTCATTCATTCATTCATATAGATATATAAGGAAACGCCCTATTCAATCTGTCTCTGTTTCTGACACTG